CCCTTACTCTCCGGACATCTCGCCCTCACTCCTACACACCTCGTACATACACGTACAAGCTTCCCGATGCAAACTGAATGAGAACGCGGGCGCAGATGGCGCCGCGTTAAATAGTTGAGGCTGACACCCCCACCACTGTTCCATAGGTAGGCTCGCCGGCTGGCGCGAGACTCGCAGGTTTGGTTAACGCCCACACACAGGGTTCTTAGGTTGGCTGCCTGCTTCCGTAAACGAGGCTCGCCGGCAGCATCCTCGGAGTTTACAGCCTCGGGTATTTTTGGCTCTGCGGCACTACCTGAGTCAACCGCCCGAGCGCAAACTCCCGGATGTTCAGGCTCAACCCCTTCCTCCCCCGCAGCGTACTTTCACCGACCTAACGGTTCTGGCCCTCGTGTTAACGACGCCACACAATGCCAATCTCTGGAGAATCAGTTACGCCTTCGTAATGTCAGTAATTTGCGTTCTAACTTTATCAGGAGTTCGAAGTATCTCTTGTGATAGATCCGTACCTGCTTCGGTCATTTCTTTAGATTTTTGGAGAAAATAACCGATAGAAGTTCTCGTATTCAAAAGAAAATTGTTTATACTTCGCGTCAGTGCAGATGTGTTTGGAATGTTGTCATGAGGTCTCTCTGCGAGCTTTTGCCTTCATCTGTTTATTGTGCCAGAGAGGGGGAATCAAGGTCATCGTTCAAGAAAAGTTGCGCGAGTAATAAGACACAATGCATATCTGTTCAGGAACAGAAGGGTTCCTTCTGGAGAACGACCTGGCAACGCCGCAGCGGAGTGGAGTGCGGCTGTGGGGTCGTGTGGCGCGGGAGAGCACGGCGCCACTGCAGCTGCCCGAGGGTCAGCTGAATTTTAACTCAACAAAATTTAATACAAAAATAGCATTTTTTATTTTATTTATTTTATTATTTTTTAGCTAGAACGATTGGAGAATATTAGTTTTCGAGAAAATTGGCTGAACGGTTTATGCACTAGCGTTGTGTACAGACGAACAGATTCTGTCGTCAATTTTGTAGTTTGGATTCTTTTTGCATTTTTCGAAAAATAGGGGTAGTACGCAAAAAAGGACTTACACGATTCTCTTAAACGTCCTTCGCACTATTGATTTTTTTTTTTAATGTATAGTGGTCATGTAAAGTAACCCACAAAATTGAAATATGTTTCAAAATCCCGGGGCTGCGACATCAGCCAGAACGATTGAGGAATATCAATTTTCGAGAAAATCGACTAAACGCTTTATGCGCAAGCGTGCACAGACGGGCGTTTTGCTGTCAATCGAATTTTCTGTTTGAAGGACACACAAAACATGGATTCTGGCTACACCACGAATTAAAGTTTTTTTCTAAATTTTGTAACTGGATTTATCCACTTTTTTATCAGGGCTCGGCAATAAGCGTTTGTGTAAAAAATTCACCGTTCGCACGATTACACTACTATCTCTTCTCACGTTAGTAAAAAATGCATTTGGGCAAATTTTGAAAAAAACAAAAGAATACATCAAAATAAACTTTGTCCTTTCTAACAGCGCAATTAGCACTAACCGTAGGAAGAGTTTGAAGAAAATATTTGGAGTAATTTTTGAGAAAACCGTTGTAGCGTTTCTGAAAAAAACTTTTTTGAGCTCATTTTTGCAGAAAACATTTCGATAACATTTATATTTAAAGCACATGTACTCATAAATTCAATAATGTGAACAAATTCCCCCCAGGGATTGTATGACCTTGCCGTTGTTGGAGGTGCTTGTGTGGTCTCGTTATCTTATGGGCTATGTCGGCGGTAACGCAGTTACCAGCAGGGCCTCCGTGGCCGGACGGGCTAAAGGTGAGGACAGACGAAAAAGCAACCCAGAAGAACTCCGCTCCTCGCAGCGACTGACCCAGAATGGGCTGCTCTCGACGAGGAAAACGATCAACGGTCTCAAGACAAAATGGATGACATTTGTATGCCGGAAGGAGCGGCATCTCGAATGCACTGGCCTGCAGGCTTGGAAGCAGAAAGGTGGCAAACCCATCACCAAGCTAAGCCGGCGCAGCGCTCGTAACGCGGCCACGGAATTTAACCCATCTCGATCATGTTTTTGTCGTATCCCTGATCCATTGAGCAAATGCGGGGCTTGTACTAACCTCTGTCGAACCACTGCTGATAAGGATTGATGTGTGTTTGTGTATATAATTTCTTTTGAATAATATATATTATAAATATGTATTCCATTTATTCAAAATCCATCCATTCTGTTCCCTGAGAACGCGGAATTTGGAGAGGTGAGTTTTATCTAGCTTTCGACGCTTTCTGGTCGTGTGTAGCGCATCGAAATGAGAACTCGCCGCCACTGTTGGTGACTCGACTGTCTGCAGTGATTCATATCATGTTTCTCGGCTGATGGCACGCTTAATCATCGCTGGCTTCGGGGTACCTGGGGGTTTTCTTCCGTGCCTAGAAAAACAATCTATTAGAACTCCTCACAGTATTGACTTGTTTTGGGAAATATTACATATGCCATGCTTCGAGTCAAAAACAATTTGATTCACATAAATTGCAAAAAAAAGCTTTTGACGGTATAGAAGGACCCTGCGTTAGGCTATTGAATTAGACAACTGAAGTTACGTAAAAATTGTGTCCACCAGACACCTTGCAGCTCTCCGACACTCAGTTTTTCCTTGTCTTTCGTTATTACAAGAGCCCAATACGCAAAAATGCCTTGCCTCGCCACTGACCTAATTAAGGGAGAGAATGGCTAGTTGTAACATGGGCAAGTTGTGACATCGTGTTTACTGACCGATCAAATAGAGCTCACCTCGCGAAACTTTACATGCTCGTTTCCAACCTTTGCCTCGGTGTGCTCTACGAGTTGTTGCGGGAACCGTTGCTTGATTTGCTTATTTACGAACATTTTGTGTTTTACACGTACTGAAGTAAAATTTCAGTCCACCTTTGCAACAATAAATTAGAGGTATGTTCAACTACTCCGTATCATTGAAAAACTCAATTTTTAAGCTCTAATTTTCTATTTATTTAGTTCCTAAGAATGGCAAAATAACCTAAAATAAAAACGGAAATTCATATTAGTGACTTGGGGCTAGTTGTGACAGGTTCTAAGGGTCACGTTGTAAAAAAGTGTTACTACTTGCCCCAGTATTGTTTGACAGTAACTTTAATTCCAGGCAATGTAGTGAGGAATTACGAAGCTTACCATTAGATTTTGCCGTGGAGAACAAAATTCAAGTGCCAGAAAATTGGATAACGAATAAGACTGCAAGTGTTGGTTGGATGACGTATAAGCAGTGACACTAAAATTTCATTTCGTTTCCTGAAGCTACTATTTTGAATGAAAACACAAGTTTCAATAAACAATGTTGACACGGCCTCTTTTGATAAATATGGTTTCAAGGCAAATGACATTTGGAACTGAAATAAAACTGGGGTAGTAACAGTAAAAAAGCAATAGGCCAAGCTGCTAACGACAAGGGCAATATCTCTGTTTCTGTGGTAGAAAATGGGTTACCCGCATCAGCGGTTAGTCCTTTAGAAATCGGACCTCGAGGAATAACCGTAAGAGGAAAAAAACTTCGAAATCATGCATTTTAACTAGCACTCCTTTTAAAAAAGGAATTCGATTACAGCAACAAGGAAGATTAGAGAAAAGACCTACACTAAAAAAAGGAAAAATAAAAAAGAAGCTTATGAAAATTCTATGTTTCTGAACAGAGATCTAGATGTAATATGTCGAAAAAAGAAGACAAATCAGAGAGCTCTGAAGATGAGTGTCCATGTCTTGTTTGTTTAGAACCATTTCAAACATCAAAGGGTGGAGAGAACTGGGTGCAGAGTATAACTAGTACGAAATGAGCTCATGTAAACTGTACTAAAAATGAAGTATATTATGTGTATATCCACTGTTATTCGTATGTTGAAAACAATTGAGATTAAATGAATCAGCATTGTAGAGACGTTTGTTATATTTGAATATAACAATATTTTAGTTTCTTTTACATATGTCACAATGTATACCAGTGTATTCACAACTTGTGCAACTGTGACAAAGTGCACTGCTGCATAAAATTGTTTACTTATCATTAAAAATATTATGTATATATAGCTATACGGAAATGTATAGAAAGTGCCATTCTATTTGTTCCATTTACTAGAAGTTTTAAATTATGGCCCACACACCTCCAAAAATTAAATAAATTAAAATTGTAACACCTAGCTCCCGTCTCTTCTATACAGAGTGGTCCAAAAATTACTTCCCAATAATGAGTTATTCTTATCTTTTATTGTACATTGTTTCAAATTGTTTTCCCTCTGCAACGCTACACCTATGAAATCTGCGAGTAGACTTTTTAGGACTCTGTACAATAGCTTGTAATGCTTTAAACGTTGTCTCCCCACTTAATGATGACCTATTGATCCATTTGCCGCAAAACATTTCCGAAAAATGAATACCGCCTTCCGTGCCGATGGAACAGTATTGAAGTGTTCATTCCACTCATTGTTTATTAACGCATGGCCACCTTTGTACCATCATTGAATACAAAAAGGAATTTCTTCTTTCGTCAACATATCAACGTGGACACGAAACGTACGTAAGCAAAACTAACTAAACATCTGACATCGGATGATTGTTTAGCGATGCACTCTAACGTGTCTATGAGTTATTATAATGTATGTCAGAGGCGGGAAATTAAAAATTATGTGGGATTAAAAATAATAGAATAGAAGTAATAATGGGTAATGACGTTTGGCCCACCCGGTATAAAATGCTTATACCTAGCATACCGCTAAGTATATTAACCACATCTGACAATCTGTCAAAAGTTTTCAAGCACGTACGGTTTAATAATTCCTCAAATATTATAAAACTTTCCTAATTAATTACTGTTATTTAGAAAAGGTTTTAAGAATTCTCTGGGATGTCTTCCAGGGGCTGTCGAACTTCTGGACCGCAAAGGAACCCAAAAACTGTTGCTAAGAGACGTTGCCTATCTGTTCAGGTGCAGATGCTCTCCCGCCGGTGGATTACCTGGCAACGCCACAGCAGAGTGGAGTGCGGCTGTGGAGTTGTGGAGCGCAGGAGATCACAACGCCACTGCCGCATTCGGAGCTGCAGCTGCCCGAGGGTCAGAGCGAAGAGCAAGTCCTGAGCGCCAAGGGCGGTAAGGCGCTTACGTCGTCCAGTAGCCTTTCCAGTCACAGTCTCACGCATACCAGGGAGCCACAGCTCAGCTGTGACGTTTGCGGAGCTTCTTTCTCCTGCCCCAGTCACCTCATCATTCACAATCGCACGCACACGGGAGAGCGACCGTATCGCTGCGACGTGTGCGGCAGCTGTTTCATTACAGTACAAAACCTCTCCCGACATAAACGAATGCACGCGGGAGAGCGTCCTTATATCTGCGACGTTTGCGGGAAGACCTTCATGGAGAAAAAAGACCTCATCTACCACAGGCGCACACACACGGGAGAGCGACCGTATAGCTGTGACTTGTGTGGAAAGACTTTCATTCAGAACAAGGACCTCACCACTCACTTGCGCGCCCACTCCGGCGAACGCCCTTACCGCTGCGACGTGTGTGGTAGGGCTTTTATCCTCGCTCACCACCTCTCCCGTCACAAACGCACGCACACGGGAGAGCGGCCGTATCCCTGCGACGTGTGCGGTTTTGCATTCGCCAGGTCCAGCACCCTCGCCGATCACAAGCGCATGCACACGGGAGAACGTCCCTTTATCTGTGGTATTTGTGGAAAGAAGTTTAGAAATGCAAGCGGTTTGACATATCACAAGCGGACTCACGCGGACGAGCGACGATAAGGTAAATGCTACCGCCATGTTGGTGACCACATCAAGGCGTGCCTCAGGCTTTTAAGATCGTATTCTGATTTTCCGATGTTTGCCTCACAAAAGGAAGTAAGTGTACGTGTAATTCGCTGTAACTGCCATTACTTTATTGAAGAAATATAATAGTAACTAGTGACCTACAGCTTCATAATGGTGCTGTGGAGTGTGTGAGAAATAGTGTCCTGGGGCGGCAAAAAATAGATGTACTGAATCTGTCTGTAAACATAAATACTGAAGGTTATTTCTTCCATGTCGTGTGATATCTATACATACGCGCAGTAATGCACGGAGAATAAGAATAAATCAAGTATCAGAAATTGCGGAGTAAAAGTTAATCAAGTATTTGTATTTCAATCAAAATCGGAAAATCAAAATACAATGAATGTGTTTCAATTTTCCTGTGTATTGTTGTAAATTGAATTTGGAAATGCGAATCAGTATATTTTTAGATATGAAATCACTATAATTTCTAATGCATGACAACTTTATTTTATTTGTACCTCTTGCGTGTGTTTGTTAAGGCCAGAAATTAAATGTGAATGGTAGAGTGTTGAAATGCTTAATGAAACTGTAAATCTGTAAAGGATTAAATTTGTTGTTTGATCAAAGTTCGAGTATTGCATTGTACATATGATCCCTTTTCAGGTGCAGATTTTTTTTCATAGTATGTTAGAAGTCACCTTTTTCTAAGATTTTTTAAAATTATGAACACTTCAACGGATGTATAAAAATATGGGTTTTTATGTGCTGAGGCGCGTACGTGAAGTTGGGCTTTACTTAAATAGGATAATCAGCGGACCTAAAATCCTTGAAAACTGTGGAAAACCGGGAATTTGTTTTAAAAATATCGCCAACTTTTAGTACTAAGTTACATACAACGTATTCTGAGTGCGATGAACATTTGAATCGTTCACTTTTTTAAGTGGACGATTCAAATAGGTACGTGATAATGTCGAAAGTCAAAATCGCAGAATGTATGAAAAATACCATGTGTATGCTTTAGAATTGTGAAGACCTTGACTTGCAGGTCACATTACCCCGAACACTGCTGCTTGTGTAGGTGCAACATGGGTAGAACAGATAGCACCAGACAGCACCTACGTGGGTAGCAACACAATTACACGTACCGGAAGACCGGTCGGGATCTTATATCTTGTCCCGGCTGGGGCGGTGCCTCGTGAGTGGGGGTCGTGGTTGAGGAAAACCCCGCTTGCCGACGGTAGATCTGCGCCGGATTTCGCCACCCAGCGAGGGAAAGATGACCACCGATGGAGGACAAAACGCCCTACACTTACGAGACAATGGTCTTAGCAGTTGACATGACGGGAATCGCTAATCAATAAAAAAATGTGTGAGTAGCACGTGCACGGACGAGATTTTCAACAAATGTCTCACCGGGAATTTAACCGCCCCGTTTTGGTCTTTTTGATGACATTGATGGTACCAGTTCCTTATTCCGATTGAAGCGGCCATGATGCTCAAAGGGAATTTTACTTTATTCCGTAGAAGAGCACAGGCTTCAAATTTTAAAAAAATCTCGTTTTACGGAGACTCCAACTTAAAGAACGTACTGATTGAATGCGTCAGAAGTTCGAAAACATTTAAATGTTTTAATACTTTAAAAATCAAACGCAAATGAAAGAGAGAAAATCAGATTATTAAAGATATCCTTTATAACTGTGTTCATTATAAAAACAAAATCACTGTTTTGAAAAAAATGAACTTTTAAAACTTAAGTTAATGTGAAACACATGATTTACTGATAATCATTTAAAAATTGTATTGCAAAATCGATTATGCCGTATTTAAAATTCTTGAAGTTAAAATACGTGGGATATTTCAAGCAATAAGATTAATTCCCAAAATTCAAAAGTTTTATTGAAGACGAAAATCAATAATCAATGTGTTATTAAGTGTACTTTTCCATATTCCCGTGCAATTAATCAGAAGAAAATTATCATTATATGTATAAGTTTGAAAATAGATTATGAATGTTAAGTAATATACAGTTGTGAGTCCTGTTTAAGTTAATGTTTATAGTGATTAATAAGTTAATTAATCATTTTAAAAATTGGCCTATTTAATAATTTTGAAAAAATATCTCTCTTGTTCTCTTCGGTAGGACACGCATTTTTCCAAAACATGCATGAAATACGGTACCTCAAACCCTGCGTTAACAAGCCCATAGATCGAGTTTCCGGCTAAAAAATACTTCCTTGGCCATTTTAAGTATTAGTACTTAAAATGGTTAAATATGAAGTAGTAATATGTTTCCTTGCAAAATAGAAAAATCAGAGTTATCGTTAAAGCTCGTTTTTGTGAAAAAAAAAAAAACTACGCTTTAGTACTCGGTTGCAAGAGAAAAGAGCATGAGTAACGCAGTAGTGTTAAGTAATGAACACAAAAAAGTTGTAAACAGAACCTCAAATATTTTTGTTTCCTCGAACCTGAAAAACCAGGGGAGGGGGAATCTTTGAATGCCCAAAAGTCAGATCGCTGACTGCCCTGTTAAAACATCTTTTAAAAAAAGGTACGTCGCCGTGCGCAAATGACATTTTCACGGCGACGTCGGGTAACGAAAAAGGAAATACATCCAGTTGCTAAAATTAGGGGAATATACTCTTACATGTGGTGTAGCTAGAAACTACGTTTTGTGAGTCGTTGATACAGAAAAAATCGAATGACGGCAAAACGTGTCCCTCCGTCCGTCTGTGAACAAAGCTATTATGTACAGTTATAAACCCGTAATTTAATTTTGGGGGTGTTTTACATGAAACACGTGGAATATTTTCCAAATTTTCAAAAAAGACGTTTAAGAGAATGGTGAAGGTTTCATGTTAGTTAAATATCCTGGTTTTTCGAAAATTGAAAATGTTTTGCTTTTTTTCTTTTTACTCTTTTAGGTTATGTATTCATTTGTATCTAGTAACTAATAAAGCAATCACAAATATTATGTAGCCAAGCATAGCCTGAGTGCGTCACTCAGTGAGGTTTTGAATGCGAAACTGTCATCGTAAGAGTTCCCTATGTGTCAACTATAAATACGGCCCTAAGTCTATTGTACGATTGATCGTTAATTTAAGTATGTCATTGGATGTGTGTTCAGGGGCAGTCGGGCCGCCTGAGAACGACTTGGCAACGCCGCTGTGGAGTCGCCAATCCCAGGAGGGCGAGAGGCTCCCGAAGCAGTCGGAGCTTCAGTTGCACGGGCACCCGGGAGAAGCGCCTGGCTCGAGCGAAGTGGCTGGTAAGGCGTCTTCCTCGTCTTCTCACAACCGCTGTCCGAGCGCCGAGAAGACGCTGTACAGCTGCGACGAGTGCGGCGCTTCCTTCGATAAGCGCAGACTTTTCGTCGCCCACTGCCGGCGGCACAGGGGCGCGCGCCCGTACAGCTGCACGGTGTGCGACAAGGCGTTCGCCACGAAGGCGATCCTCGCGAAGCACCTGCGCACGCACTCCGACGAGCGGCCGTTCGCGTGCGACGTGTGCGGCAAGACCTTCCGTCAGTCGGGAGGCCTCGCCTACCACAGAGCCTACATACACGGAGTAATTTGGTATCACTGCGACGAGTGTGGGAAGGCGTTATCCGACCCAAACCAGTTTTGCCAACACAAGCGGGAACACGCCGAAGGACGGAAATGAAGTGCACGCCACTGCCAGTGGCGCTTGGGATTGGCCGGAGAAGAAAATGTTTCAACTCCCGGACCCCAGCTCTCCGAGAGTTACCTTCAAAATAAGCAGTTGCTTAGGGTACCCATTCATGGGGGAAGTAGGCATACCCCTACAAAACAAATCCATAAAATAATCGGAAAATGTCATAAATGCATCTGTAAAATAATTACGAATCAAATTGTCTTCCTCAATAAAAAGTTGTATGTAAAAAATTAAAAATTGTTTATACCAAACATGTATTTATGGAAAAGACATTGAAACATTTTCATTCAAATAATTAGAAGGTTCTGATTTCTTACCTTTTCCATCATTTATTTCTGGTGGCCTTCCATCTTCAATCCATTTTCTACATTTAAAAAACTATATGGTTAGGTTTTTTGAAATAACATATTAGTTTCTTTTTCTGATTGGAATATTGCTTGTTGAAATTGATTGCAAGCAATTCTTAAGACATATATTCACTTCCTTTGCTGGATAAAGCTTTTTCATAGGCATCCAATTGATTTGTTAGATTATCCACTGCCCCGTCATTTTCTGACATAAGCATCCAACTAGATTTCAATAGAAAATATTCTTCTGGTAATGTTCCCAAAATTTTGCAGATCAAAAATATAAGAGGTACCTTTTGAATTACTCTCAGTATCTTTAGCCATTTCTTTCTTCAATTGAGATCACAAATTCTACAGTTTAGATTTAAGTGTAGCAATATGTATTTTTCTTGAACCCAACGAATTGCAAACACAGATCATAAACCTTGTCTTCTGAAACACCGTCAAACAATTTATGAACTTTTTTAAATTTTTTTCTTGAACTCTAGTCAAACATCTCGATCAGAGTTTAGACGCATTATTTTCTGTAGAGTATCTTCAGACACATTTGTTGTTAAGACAATCATTGCATTACTGTGTGTCTTGAGAAATTTCGCGTTTGCAGTTTCGTATGCAGCCGTAACATCATCTACATCACTTTCGGGTTCTTTGGGTTTCACTACCCTGCCTTCAACCACATCAAGGGATCCAGGTACACCTTGTAAACAAACACTAGATTTATATTTCCAGGTACTCCAGTTTGATTTTCCTTGCAAACAGCTAATGTTTATCAATCTTGTATCCATTTCGAAATGTTTTTACAAGCCAATAGAAAACTGATATCGACTTCACTTATTAACCACTCGTCGATATTTAATTTAAAGTTACTTTCCTTCAAGTCAAGACGCACCTGGGCTCATAACCACTTGCATATTTTCAGTAATTAATTCTTGAATTACATTTATTAAGTAGTTTTAGTTAGCTTGCATTTGTGCACAAGATACTCGAACGTTTTACTAAACGAACCATAACCAAACGAAACCACCACCCTGGTACAAAAACATAGTCAAAGAATTTACAACATAAAAACTGAGAAAACAGGTTATTAAATAAATTGTGCAAATGTTCGATTTTTCTTCACAATTTTTAAATCAGGCACAACAAATTAACAGGGCATACTAAGGTAAATATTTTCTTCAATTATTTCTTCTTAAAAGTAAGTTAGATTATGGTATGTTTGTTCAAAATATATATTTTCATTCCAAGAATGTTTCTCCTGAATTTTATCAAGAAAGGTTGAATCATGATGTGAACATATGAGGGAAGTCCGCCAGGCGCGCGGGCGCCGCAGTGTTTCACTGAGTTGTCGTGGCCCAGTTGCGCGTCGATGGGAAGGCGTTCCAAGGGGTCAAGGCCGTTCCTCAGCTCGGTCTCGTGGGTCGTCGCCGGTAGGCCTGTGTTGATCCCGCGCTGCGCCCTGCCGCCCTCGCCGCTATGGTAATGTTAAAGCTCTCAATTGGATGAAACCGTCAATAGGTGATACCTACCAGGGGCAGAGTTGGCTAAATCGCAGTATAAATACTCTCCGCACCAGATGGTGAACGATGGTGGGATTCGCTACCTGGCCGCCGCGGAGGGCTGACGCACCTTCCAAGAGCTCCGGCTGCCGTGGGATCAACAGTTCTTTTAAGAGCAAAAGAATATCGCGGCGAGACCTTTTGGGCCGATTTAAAGCGCGATGTCGTCGCGTGCTCCGTTACCTATCGGCAGCGGCTTCCTCGCTGCTTCGGAGGGTGGAAGTACCTGCGGCGGACGTATTGCTACGCCCTCAACGGAGCGAATTTGCGTTAACGTGCGCGCTGCTTCTGCCCGTAGAACTTCCTCGGATGCAAAACGGATCGTTGTATCGCCTGCGTCATCATCTCCGTCGCCTGCTGCCACTACCGGGGAGGACGACGACGGGTGCATTCTCGACAGGCTTTTTCGCCGACATTCTCGAGTCGCAATTTCGACCGGTAGAGGAGCAGCCGCTTGCGGAGCACGTCGCAAGCGTGCAGGGCACTGTTGCAGCGGTCCTGCACGCCCCCGCACGGAGCTCACGGATGCCTCAGAAGTAGCGGACGCCATTGCCGCCCTACGGAGCGGAAAAGCACTCGGACCAGACGGCATTACTAATGACGTCCTGAAAATGCTCCCGCAAAGTGCCGTAAATTACATCGTGTGCTTGTTTAACGCAATTTTCATTTTTCAGCAACTTCCGGCGCGATGGAAACATGCTCATGTACTTAATTTCCCCGAACTAGGAAAGAATAAGAGTTTGTCGCAGTCGTATAAGCTTATCAACACTCTAAATACGCTCGGCAAAACACGCTTTAATTTATAATCAGCAATTTGTTTTCATGGCGAACCACAGCACCACGCATCAACTAGTGCGCATATTAGGCGAAACTCGGCGTAGCTTTAAAGAGTAGCGATTCACAGGCGGCGTTTTCCTCGACGTAGCCAGCGCCTTCGATAAGGTTTGGCACGACGGCCTCCTCGCCAAACTCCTTCCTACATCACGCACCTCATTCCCTCCTACATTGTAAACAAATCGTTTCAAGTGACAATTCTGATCGCTAAATCCACCTCTCGCCGCATACGGGCGTGCCTCCGGGCAGTATCATCCCCCCAGGGCTCAGGCCTGTGCGTTCCCGATATACCAACGTCCACCCAGACCGAGCTCGCAGCTGTATACAGACGACGCGGCAGTAATTGTCACGTCCAAAAGAATCCATCTGCTCGTTAAGGTTTTGGATCAACATTTGCTATTGATCCAGGAGTGGCTGGCGCGTTAAAGTCAAAGTGGAAAAGAGCATGGCTGTGCCCTTCACACGTAGATACAAATACGACCAGCCGCTCGTATGCAATTCAAGCATTGAATGGAGAGTATATAACAGCCAGTACAAACCAGTAGAAACTCTCTTCTCATCACGCTCCCCTTTAACTTTCCGCGAGCACACGGACGCGGTTGCGATTAAAGCGTGGCAACGCCTGGGCATGCTGCGATACTTATTACACAAGCGAAGCAAACTGTCCACGACGAAAAGCCTACTGCACTATAAATCCATTATCAGGCCCATTGTGGACTACGCCTGTCCAAGTTGGGGAATAGCGGTGCACGCGCACTTGAGAAAGTTGCAAATAGTCCAAAATGCGTGACTTTGCAGCACACTGTGCGCGCGCCACGTTTTATTAGAATATCATAACTTTTACTAGGACATTTAACTTTAAATCTACCACTCCTCTAAGAGCTCTTTAAAAATGTAGTTGCAAATAACGACATTATTAACATTTTAACTTTGTATGAGCCGGGTCCCACGTCCACGTACAAGCGCCCGAAAGATATGCTGCTGTAGACATAACGCCAATACTTGCATAAAAATTGCAGTAAACAACACCAAAAGTCCGCCGAACAATTATTGTCTTTCCTCACCTTGTTTATTTTCTATGTTACATATCAGCCATACGTGTCCGAAAGGATAGGGATGGCTACACAGCAGGGAAGTGTTCAAATGTGGCGGCATTGCACTTCGCGGCCAGGGAACTTTATTGCAAACCGAGCGAGGTGAACGGCATCTAGCGGCACGACCGAGAAAGACGCGAAATGCCGTGAGATATTCCTATATATTCCGTCGAGAAGACCAGAGAAGACATGCTTTGATGCGCCACGTTATATCAAAACCCAAAAACGAAGTATATTTTTATGCGTGAGTGAGTCACGTCGAGGTTATAAGGCATTTAGCTGCGTTATAAACTCCATATTACCATGTAACTGCTGTATACGTATCACCACTGTGTAAGGTATTCTTCTGTTTTGCTAGTATATAATGTAAATACAAATGCGTAATTTATACGGTACGGTTTAGGACGTACACTATTGATATGAAACGTGGTTTGGCAATCCTGATGATAACCGTCACGAGCCAAGAGCTGCTATCTTTTTTGTGTACATTGCGTTATAAATTGTTAAGAAATTTGTATATAAATAATGCACTGTGGATGATAACCTGCCCCGCCAGTGTACGTGGTGGTATTTTTATTACTGCTTATAAATAGCGTATATGTATTTTTTGTTGCCAATCAAAATATTTTCATCTGTTAATATTGTGAGTCTGTTAGTGAGTAGTTTTGTAAACATGACTGAATACCGGAGGAAAAAATTCAGGTTACGGAAAGGACGATTTACAATACAAGCAGTTAAATGCTTTCAAAATGACAGACGAAGCACTCTGGGTTCATCAGAGAAAACTATATGCAGTATTCCTCTATTACAGTAAAGCATGATCAACTGGCAAAAATTCATAGGAATGGAATATCACCTAACAACACTAATAAATAAATCCTTGCCTGCAACTATGCCCTAATAGACAACCAGATGGAGAGGTCAAGTCCGATACAGCAGATAAAGGGGTACTACAAGGGGACCATGTAAGTCTCTTGCGTTGGCTCTTGCAAATGGGCCAACTAGAATGAACTCAGATATCTGATTACACGATTCACTGTACACAGTTTTTACCACAGACTCCGCAGTAACAAAATATCAAGAGCCAGTTTTTCAGTGTTAGTGCAAAATGTGCAACAAGTGCTGCGACCATTATCACATGCTGATATGTGAAAGACATGTGGCTGTCTTCAGTGTAGCATCGGGTAGTTATAGATTTTCACTTTTCGCATACATGCTATGTTTGAAATTGCTCCCTGTGTGAGCATAAGAAAGCCAACAGAATGTGCTTGTGACGAGAAGACAACAAAGATCAGTGATATGTGAATAAACATGCAGAAATATTACCAGGAACAAAACAGTGTATAAATACAAAGTGTAGATATACAAACACATGCTAATGTCCATTGAACAAACCTAAAATACTTATATTGTATTCAGATGGGTTGATATAGATCAGTTTATATTGTAGTTGCTACACAAGCTCTTGAAGAGAAACATTCTTGTTTTAAGATTTTTAAGGAAATGTGTTTTTGCATTCTTTCAGTGCAATTCAAGCATGGCTGAATCAGTTGTGACTGTAAGTTGGGAAGACCACACCAGTGAACTTGTTACAGAATTTAAAAGTTTATTAGAGAACAATACTTTTGTTGATTGCACTATATCTGCCGAAGGTCAGAGCCTCCAAGCTCACAGGCTAGTTTTATCTGCATGCAGTCCTTATTTTCATGTAAGTATAGTGTTTTTATAATTAATTTTTGTTGTAATAATTATTGTGTATTGTATATTGTGTATGTATATTAAGTGTTGTAATAATTATTTTTTTTCGTTTTGTTTAGCACTTTTTTTACTTTAGCTATAGATTGGAATTTTAAAGAATTTTTAGAGCCGAAAAATAGATTGAATGATCAAATATATACTGTAACATAATGATGGTCAAAATTTTAACATTATTTCAAAATTTGGCCATTTTGAGTTAGTCACTCAAAACATATAATTGTTTTTTAATAACACATATCACAGAAATGAACGGGCAATGTGTCAAAATTATGGCAATTGAGAACATGTTTGTTAGCTTGTAATGGAGACTTTTTTGTTGTTAATAATGGTACACCTCAATTTTTTACACACATTGTAAAATTATTTATTTGAAAAACATACTTGTTAGAACTTTCATAACTTCTTCAAAAATTTTACAACATTTTAGGGCATAATGTGGCTCAATCACCAGGTATAAACTATAATATAAAATTTTTACTTTTTTCCTTTCTTTACTCCATAATAATTCTTAACCCCTGTAGTACCAGAGGTTATAATATAATTTTGATAGAATATTATTAATATTAATATAATTTTGATAGAATATTATTAATATTAATATAATGTTGATAGAACTGTTTATGAAATAAAAAAATATGATTTAACATTTTTGTTAGTTGATACAATCATTTTAAAGTACCATTTCAACCCGTATTGGTACAGTGTGTTTAGTCATGTATTTGCTTTTTTTGACAGCTGTTGTTGCCAAATCACAGGGATCATATCAGGGGGCACAGTTAATAATTTATTTATTACACTGAAAAACGCACATGTGTGCTATCTCTCTACAGAGAGTAAGACAATAAAAGAAAATAAGTATTACAGTTAAAAATCATCACTAAGTCACACAGTTACTTTACTTTAACTATAGATTGGAATTTTAAAGGATTTTTAGAGCCGAAAAATAGATTGCATGATCAAATATATACTGTAACAGATTGATGGTCAAGATTTTAACATTATTTCAAAATTTAGCCATTTTGAGGTAGTCACTCAAAACATATAATTGCTTTTTATTGAATTTCGCTGACACATATCACAGAAATGCAGATTCATGCACACTGGTTGATTGACAGCCTTCTTTCTTTACTCTGCTAGATGTGGTATCGATTGCAGACACTTCTGATAGAGTTTGCACTCACAAGTTTGCTCTGGGTCATGGAAAGTTTTCATTTTGCACAGCAAATGGTGAAAACTGTGGACCACGTGACGCATCTCGAAGCCTGCCGACCTCCAGTTTCTGTTACACATTGCCTCAGTAGTGTAGAACTCTGGCCGTATTTCCTCCCTTTTCCTGTTCATGCTTTGTAAGAGTGATTTCGTTGCTTTGGTATTCGATAGGAGGAATTGCAGTCTGAACTTTTCCACCAGGAAAGCTTCTTGGGAAATTAAATATGCCAGTCTAGATCTTGTTCTTTTAGATATGCCCATGGCTCGTTTGAGGAACTTGGCTTTCCCTTTTTCCAGGTCGTATAGATTTCTTATTGTGAGTTTTTCCCAGATATCAATACCACACCAATACAATAAGTAATGACTGGTAAGACGTTTGCTTGAAAAAGCCTCACAGCTGTGTTCATGTCCAAGAGAATAATAAATTTGATTTTGTTGATGGCGATCATTGCTTTAGAGGTTTTCTATGCAATGTGTTTGGTGAAGCTTCTACCACTTGTTTGTAGTATAATCTCAAGTATTTAAAGTGAGGTACGACTTCTATCTTATTACCATCAATTTTAAATGTGTTTTGTGGGGCTTTTCCTCTCTTTCTGAAAATCATAGACTTTGTCTTGTTGGTTTTAATTTCAGAGTTTCAGGTTTTGCACTGTTTTTCCATTTCCTCAATAGCTTCTTGTAAAGTGTTCATTTCCTCCGAGCATATTACGTCGTGGGCATATGTGTGTACAGTTACTCCCTTGTTTCTTGCTATGTCGATCAGGTCTGTAGTTGCAAGGATGAATAGTAGAGGACTTAATGGGTCACACTGAAGCACTCGGTTTGTTTCGATAATTGGGTCTGATATAGTTAAACTGTCTTCTATGCTCATCACATCATATCTCAGTACAGATCTTGTAAGTCTTGTCCATACATTGTGTGTGCCGAGTATTGATCTTGAGTTTGTCAATAACCCATTGCCTGTTGGTGTAGTTGAAGGCTTTTATAAAATCGAGAAAAATGTAGTATAGGTTTTTTTCTTCATCATGGCATTATCTATGTTCATTAGTAGGCGTATTGCTTTGGTGTTTGATCAATTTTTGCTGAAAACAAATTGTTCATCTGGTAAGTTGGTCTCTAGTTTTTCGGATATTCTCAATTAATATCATTTTGGAAAGTAGTTTGAATGGGGCAGATTACACAATACCTCTATAAGCATTGATATCCTTACCATTACCCTTTCCTTGAAGAGCACCTTGATGGTTGATTCTCTCCATTTTTTGGGAATGTCACCGATTTCTGCGCATTTGTTAAAATTGTTTGCCTACAGTTCGCATAGTATCGTTACTGATTTTGTAAGGTGATCATAATAAATGCAGTCTGGACCTGTCACTTTATTGTTTTTGAGTGATATTATTGCTTTCTTTACTTCCTTCAGTGAGAAGGGAACCCAGGGATCTATTGACGTTTAAACTTTTGATGCAGGGATGTGTTGTTTTCCATCTTGGTGTAGTATGTCTTTGAAATGAGCCTTCCATTTCTTTATTGCTGTGTATTTATTATGTACCTTATATTTAGTTTGCAAGGCAGTATATTGTTTCTTCTTGCTTCTTCTACCAATTGTTTCCCTTCTTTTTCCCTGAATTCTCTTTTTCTTCTCTTTTATCAGAGCCTTGTATTTCTTTTTAACTTGTTCTGGTTTTTGCCCTGTTCTGGTTTCTGCTTATGAGCATGCAGAATATTCAGTACTTTTCTTCGTTCCTCATAACATTCTGCATTGAACCATTTTTGTGCAAATTTCCCTTTTGGTTTTGTACTTGCTGTTGCCTTGCCAATTATTTTCTTAATTATTTTGGTGGCGTTGTCCAGCTTGTTATTGAATATGTATTTGCTTCTTCTAGCTCTTCTATTGCATTTTCTACTACTTTGCTTTGGGCCTTTCTTGATAGTCTTGCGCATTGTATTAATTGCTGTATATTATGTTTAAAGGAACACTTGACTAACAGATGTTTCCTTATGGTCACCGCATCTAAGAATCTGAACAGTGTGGCGTACCCAGTTGTGCAGGCTCTTGAGAAAGCTAGATCGACGGTGCTCTGCCCATTTGGCACTATGTAAGTTGGTTCTTTTTCATCGTTACGAAGAAACAGTCCTTTCTGGGTTAATGCTTCATCTTCGATAGTAGTTCAAACGGTTTATCTATTATATCCTCGGCATCGTGTCACAGTGAGAAATATGCTCCTATGATTGCGAGTTTTGCCGTATCTACGATTAGAGTATTGCTTGTGTTATGGTTGATGATTACGAGTGCCAGTGAGGTTTAATTAGGATCAAGACTCTGCCTGATGGTCTTCCCGGTTTGAGGGTTTTTTGTAGCCAAGTGATGAGTGCTGTAGAATTCTTTGTGGTTGCAATGCTCTAGTAGAAATGTTTTTGTTAGGATAACGGTGCCGCAGTCCATAAGGAGATCGTGGGGGGGGAGGATCCAGGCGCCTTTAATATCTTCCACTTTCCAGATGGGGGCTATGATGTGGTCGAGAGACTCTCAGAGTTCCACGCTTTTGGTCTCCCCCAAAATCGAAAGGGCTTGACTGTCTGTCGCACCTTCCAGCCATATGTTGGGTTTTTTTTACTCTCTCTACATGAGACTCAAGAACCCGCAACTTGAATGCCTTGTTTGTTCTGGTGTGTATTTCCTCACAGGTAGTGTCCTTAAGTTGAAGAGATTTTAAGAATTCTAGAAACTGGCAACAAGCACCTCCAAAGAGAGAATAGCTATTCTGTTTTTGTAGCTGCTTTAAAGAATTGGTTGTTGCATTTTCTTGTTCCTATTATTGAATTTTTAAGTGGACTGTTTCTGTCTTTGTCCATGTCTTTCAATTTTGTTTTTGAGAGTTCCGTGTGCTGATTTCTGGTAAGGTTGGTTCTTTTTCAAGATATTCTTCATTTTCCTTAAGTATCTGTTCTTTTCTTGAAGGGACTTGAATGTCAGAATGTGGCATAATTAATTCGAAGAGTGTAGTGTGCTTAAAAATAGTTGGTTCTCTCCTTTGTATGTTGTGTTCTTGAATCTTCTATTTTGTCTGTTAGGGATAAGACAAAATAATTGCCTGCATTATCAGGGTCTTCATTTGAATTTCTTTATATTTTTCTGCTTTTGCCTCTATTGTTTGCATTATTCTTGCTTCTATTTTTGTCTAGCTGTCTGTGAGTATGGTGTTCATTTCTCAAACTCTTTCAAGATAACTACTTTTAAAAGCTAATATTTTCTATTCACATTTAAAGAGATGTTAAAAAACTCAAAGAGAAGTTCTGCTAACTATAATTGTTTGTGTGATAAGCAATTTTGTCTGAATCTTTTTGTTCACTTCTGTTTTGTGACATGATTTATAATTGGAAGAACATGAACAATCGCAGAACATGAAAAGAAATGATATTGTTTAGCAAGATCCAATTTTGTAATGGAATATTTGAAACTGAAGGAAGGAGGTTAGGAATTTGTATTTTGGAGCAAGCCATGGTTATATTTAAAAAAACAGAAAAACCTCAACCAAACTCTTTACAGATGAAAAATATGAAATGTAACAAATAATTGAATGAATAAGTGATATAAAACATGATATAAATGTACAGAAATATGTTACTTGTGAAATTGGAGTTATCGTAGTTGTAGTAGCAGTAGCAGCAGCAGCAGCAGCAGCAGCAGCAGGCTATCGTTTTTCAACTTTCCTGTATTTTACACTTTCCTGCATTTTATAATTTTTTTCATCGGTCCTCTGAAAAATTTAAGAAAGGGTATTTTACTGTATGTGTGTATAATGTTACAGGCTATTATTGTAAAGAAAAGGAATTGCATAAAGGTCCTGCATATGGGGGTTCTTGCATTTACTTTAGAAATAGTATTGATTCGATCTCCTTGACAGAATTAAATGTGTATTCCGTTGAAAATCTTTTTGAAATATCTGTAGTACATCTTCCTATGCTAAAAATTACATTACTTTGCATCTACAAACCTCCAACAAAGAGAGCAATAGATTATATTATATTCTTAAAAAAACTGGAGATAACACTAAACAAAGTCTGCAATCGCTCTTTTGAATCCATTGTTTGTGTGGATATTTTAACATTGATTTTCTGAACAAATCTTTAGAGTAAGAGCAGTTTTTCAACTCAATTCATTCCTTCACTTTAGATATTACAATAAATGTACCTACATGGATCGCACTAAATTCAAAGAAATCGCTAAATTCACTAACTTCAACACTAAAATCAAATTATAATTAATAAAACCGCTACTCGATATGAAATTGAAACAACAGATTCGGGATGCAGTGATCACAATGCACAAGTTCTTACCATTATATGAAATGTGAACGTTGACACATTAAATAATTCACATATGAGTAGATTGTTTACGAAAAGTAAGATAAAATTATTTATCAATTACTTGCTGGAAGACTCATGGTATGCAGTTTAGAATACTTTTGACACAAACAATAAATATAGTTCTTTTTTTCCAACACTATCATATTATTTTAACACTTGCTTTCCTCTTCAAAAAAGAAAATTAAATATTTCATGGAAAAGCAATTCTTGGATAACACAAGGGATTAGGACATCCCAAGAAATCTCAAGATTTCCTTCTCTACTTTAAAAAGTAATAAGTCATTGTTAAGAAAAGTCATAAGGCGAGCTAAAATCATGAAACATGATCAGGATATTTTGAACTCAAATAATAGCACAAAAGCAATGTGGGATATAGTAAAATAATCGACCATATCAACTAGAAACCTTGGAGTAAATGTTTTAAAAGATAACGATAGAAATGTGAACGATCCGGCAACAGTGGCTTATCTCTTTAACCAATACTTTTCAAGAAATGCTGCCGGTCTTACTAAGGGACTTCAGGCAAAAAATTCAGCATCAGACATTTCCCCAAAAATTTTAGGCACGAAGTTTGTTTCCGAAACGTCTTCCTACGAAATTGTCAAAATAATCGGTAGACTAAAAAATCAATATTCTGCCACTTTAGACGAGTTTTCAGATTGTTTGTAAAGATTAGTTACAAGTTAATCTATCTGACAGTGATTAAGAGTGAATCGATGCTAGTTTATTCATTGTTACATTGCCAATGATATTTTAATAGACTAATTTAAACATCTGTTAAGGCTTAAATGGGCTTTTAAATTTTGTTTCTTTAAAACCGGTTACATCAAAGAGCCAACAATTAGATTACTAATATTACTTTCTCTATTATACTCAAGGAAGTAAAAAATTAATACTACCAAAACTACTGTTGATTACTATTATTATTTTCAAATATCGCAATATGTTTTAAATTGTTGAAAGAGAATCCTTTCTGCGGGGAAATGGATCTCTGCCTCCATAACTATCAGAAGCCAATCAGGGCTCTAGATCTGGACCTTTGAAGTAAGGGTTTTAGAGAAGAGAAGCTAATCTTCTTCTACATTATTCTTTATAGAGGCTGTTTTGTGAGGAGACTGAAGATCATCCACTTGTCATGCTCTTAGATGAATCATTTCAAAATCTGAAGGCAGTGATCGATTTTATATACTGCGGGGTCACGCAAATTCCAGAAGGCAACTATAGAGCATTTGTGACTCTCGCTAAGTCCCTGGAGGTCAAAGGATTAACAGAGGTTTCTGTATGTAAAGCAGTGGTGGATGTAGTTTTTACTAATTTTTGAAAACTTAATTACATATATTGTTTTAATTTTTCCAAATAAGAACAACCTACCTGGCAGTACTACTGATAATGACCCTCAAGATCCATCTGCCAAGAATCAAGTCACTGGAGAAGTTCAAGGAATTAGTGCTAGCCTAAGGGACAGCTGTGAAAATAAAACTGAGAAGATTGCTCACCATTTAGATGGCAACACAGACCGTGTGGACACACATTCTCCTGTTTCCTGTAAAGGAAATAGTGCCTTGGGTGAAGTGAGACTAAAATCAATGATGACACCTTCACAAGAACAAGAGAAACCTCAAGGTAATGTTAATACATCCTTAACTATAGAAATAATAGTGGAAAGCGAAATTTGTATGCTAGGGCAGACTTTTGCCCTCATATAGCTGCCTAGGGATCTTAAATCAAAAGTGGCTTCTGATAGTAGTAATCAAGTACAATTGGATCTCCAATAAATTATCCAAACAGGGGCATTAGACCATAATGAACAGCAATTTTAAACTATTTTACTTATTAAAAGCTTTTAAAAATATATTTAAGTAAATCAGAGAAGTTCTTAGATCAGGAAATAATGGACAATAAAAAACAATTTAATGAGACACAAGTTTTGATTTGGTTGTCCATAATTATACTTTATAATTTTAATATTTTTTAAATTTTGTACAACTATAAATAAATACAGTTGATCCAAATTTATTCCATTATTTTATTTAAAGAAAATTCTCGATGTTTTGGAAACTGTTTCTTCTCCCCCATCGGGGCACAATTGATAATGTACTTACAGTATTATTTCACGACTAATATGTACATAACGAAAATGGTAAATATCATTTTTCCTTCTAAATTCGTGAACTAATATTGTAAATATATTATCAGTAATATTGTAAATATATTAACCTGATGAGAGAGACAAAACAGTCACCAAAACTTTCACAATTTCCGTTAAATAAAATTATGGAGTAAATTTGGATGTAGCATAAAAATTAGTCCAAAATTTCAAAGAAAGGGACTGAAAAGTGTTAGAAAATATAAAAAACCCAATAATGTATAATATTGCTTGCACCAAATATTTAGAAGTATACTATCAACACTTACCTTGGTTAAAACAGTATAAGAAAGTGATTGAACACAACTATGTCATGAAATGTTAGAGAACATTTTTTTAGCAAAAAAAAAAAAAAAAAATTAAATATGTTCGGTTATATGTTTAAATATATACAGTTTGCATGGCAATTAATAGAAACATTTGAAGATTATTACATAGAATGTAATAGAGGCCTATTTAGGTTTGTTCTGTTTTGTCGTCATCCTCCTCCTTCTAGCTGTGATTATCCGACTTCAATTTCATTTTATCCAATAAGCGTTAATTCTATCCATTTCTGTGTCTTAATTAAATCTTTGTAAAATTTATCAGAAGTCAATAGTAAAATAGTACTGTCTGGGTGTTTCTTCAGGGATTAATTAGTGAAAATGTTTGGTGGGAGTATATATTGTGAACCCAAAGAATCATGTTTATAATTAAATTAGCAAAAAAGGCTAGTTTTACTATAATTCTCATAAAATATAATGAATTAAGCTCACTATGCACCCATTGTAGCCATATGACAACAGTTTATAAAATAAAACTAAACTAAGGTGGGGAAAATGTTCAAAACTAGTTTTATTGTCTTCTTATGTTCCTCTTTTCCAATTTTATGCCAAGATCCTTCTGTGAAGAATCAAGTCACTGATGAAGTTCCGAGCATTAATGCTAGTAGCCAAAAGGACAGCTCTGAAAATAATTCTCAGAAGATTGCTCACCATTCTGATGGCAACACAGACCTTGTGGATACACATTCTCCTGTTTCCGTTAAGGGAAATAGTGCCTTGCGTAAACTGAGGCCAAAATCAGCGATGAACCCTTCACAAGAACAAGGAACGCCTCAAGGTAATGATGATACATCTGTAGCCTGGGAAATAACTGTAGAAAGTGAAATTTGTATGCAAAAACAGACTATTGTGTACAAAAACTAGGCAGCTGCCATTAGGGTCTTCAATCAAAGGGGGCCTTAGATGTTAGTATAAAATAGAATAGGGACTCTAGTAAATTTTCCAAACAAACTTGTTTAGTTCACATATATGGAAAAGTAATTTTGAACTATTTTACCACTTAAAACACCTTTTAAAATATATGTAACTAAATTTCAGACCTTTAGATATATAGTGCAGTGTGCAATAACTAGTCTCCTTGACAAACAAGCTTGTGCATTTATTTATCTGTTTATTTACAGAAATATCACATACAAAGATTGTAGTAATAAGTAATTTAATTATTATCTATACAAGTAATATAATATACACGTAATTAATTTTTATGAGTAATAAGTATATAATTCGTAAATCGATTACAGTGTCATGGAATGATAGTAATGTTGCTCAAAGTCAATGACATATTTGGCATCATGTGTTATGCTTTCATGATGTAAACTATAAGAAAAATCAATGCATATCAAATAGATGAAGTAAGAATTAGTCTTAAAAATAAACTATCAACAAATATCTTGGTAAAACAGTAATACAAAATGATTAAATCCAACTATATCACAAAACATAACAGAACATTTTTGTTGCTGAAAACAGAGTATCAATTGCTGTTCGATAAGGTTTAATGCTTTTTTCCAGAGATGCGAAATTTTTAGGATCACTGGTAAAAATCGTTGGTTCAGAAATAAATGCAAATAGAGACAGTACGCAAGATGTTATAAACAGAATTGCAAAAGGTAGAGTGGCTATAAGACAATTACATCCACTGATATGGAAAGATAAATTAAGTAAGAGTGTAAAAAGAAAATTATATAAGACTGTTTTAGAGAATATTGCCCTTTATGAATCAGAGCTATGGGAAATAACAAAAAAGAGCGAAAAGAAATTAAAGGCAATGGAAATGGATTTCTGGCATTGAAGTTGCGGACTGATATTAATGGATAAAGTTAAGAATGAAGAAATTAAACATAAAGTGGAAGTGAGTTTTAAAATAATTGACACCATAGAAGGTTAAAGACTAAAAAGGTATGGGCACATGCAAAGAATGAACAAGAGTGATAACCGAAAATATTATGGTAATGGCAACCAGCTACACATCGATGAAGACTAAGACCTACACTTACGTCAGGATAGAAATTTTGAGAACTGCTTTATCATAATGTTGTGTTCTCAATGTCTGATATTGGGCAGCTGGTATTAGATCTGTTTCCGATTCTGGCTTCATTCTTCTCCTTTTAAGTCTTGACTCTCCACAATTCCTTTACCATTTTTTGTTTTGCATTTCATGTTTAGTAGCATCAGAAGTTTAGTCTCTGTCTCTCGCATGGGTTTCTTCACATTGCTTTTGCTACACTAACAATGCCTGTGTTTCCCATTCTTTGATCACATTTAATGACCTGCCTTATTAGTGGGTCATCTTGATGACTGACTTTCCCATCCCAACTGTTGCATTGTGCCAAGAAGGCTTTAATTTGTCTGAGGCCTCTTCCTCCTCCCTTTCTACACGACACGTAAAGTCTGTGTACATCACCTCGTGGGTGGGCAACATGATGCATTGTGTGCAGTTTTCTGGTTTTTCGATCCATGATTTGAATTTCTTTCTCAGTCCAGTCCACTAGTCCGAAACTGTACTGGATTACAGGCACAGCCAAACTACCAATTGCAGATATTTTATTCCTGGAGTTTAAAGCGGACTACCTTTTATAATACCCAAACATTTGTAAGTTTTTCCTGGCTCAAGATCTTGAATCACAGTATGCATAACAATTTCAATGCTTTCTGACATCTCTTTGCCTCTCTTTAAATTGATTTTTGTATGCTTGTCAAGACCAAACTTCATGCAAATGTCATTGCTAAAGTCATTCATGACAGACCACATTTGAGGCATGGCTTCAGTCTTAGCAAGCAGTTCAAGATCATTCATGTAAAACAAATGTGTTACTGGTCTTTCATCACCATGCAGCTTGTAACCAAAGTCAGTGTGCGACAACTCTTTAGACAGTGGGATAAAACTATTGCAAAACAGCAGAGGGGATAGCAAATCTTGAAAAATACCCCTCTTTATCTGAATACTTCTTGTTTCTACAGCCGTTCCGCTGTATATTGGTAACCGGGTACACCATGTATTCATACTAGCCTAGAAAAACTCAATAAGTCTAGGATGAAATCGACAGATTTCCAGGGTCTTCAAACTTCAATTCTGTGGTACACTGTCGAAGGCCATCTGGGAGTCAATCCAAGCTATACTTAAACTACGTTTCTGTTTCCTTACATCATCCAAGGTGACTTTATTTAGTAGCAAGATTTCCTTGCAGCCATAGAAACTTCTACAACACCCTTTCTGTTCAACTGGCAACTGATGGTTCTTTTCTAGGTGTCTTGTTAACTTTCGCTGCAGTTAAAACTTTGTTCATTACTGGCAGACAAGTGTTAGGCCTATAGTTCTTCATCAAAGAGTTGTGTCCCGCTTTGGGTAGCAAATACATGATGCCGTGTGGGAGCTATTCTTCGAGTTCCTTTGTTGTTGTGGTTTAATTTTAATTTTGTTTAATGTTTTTTCAATTCAGGTGTTCTGGATCTTATCACTCCCGTTTGGGGGGTGATAAGATCCAGAACTACTGAATGGATTCCAGTTTCCCATGTTCTTAATTGCTTGGAAGAGGTCCTCTTTCAAGAATTCATGAACATGTTTCACTGTTTTCACAAGTTCATCGACAGCATCAACTTCAGATTTAAGACAAGATGCGTCTTTGTTGTAGGATCTGCTTTCCTTCCATATTTCTGTCCAAAAGTCTTCAACATCATCTTTTGAAGGAGTGACAGCATTGCCATAGTTTTTGAGTGTGATTGCGATAGAGTTTCTTCTTGTCTGTTTCAAACAACTATTCTGCACACAGAAATCTTCTGTACGTTTGTAAAATCTAATGTGTTTAGTCCATGCTTGGATTTTCTTGTTTAGCTTCCCACCTTCCATTAACCTACTGTATGAGTGTCATTTTCAATTTAGTATTTTTGTTCAACATGGAATATTTGTCATTAAACTTTAGAAGTGTGCATTGATTTAGAAGATGCCTCGATTAAGCATGATATTTTGTGGTGAGTGCCGGGTATCCAATTCATAATTATTTTTGTCCATGGGGGTACGGGGCTGTTTACTGTGTTTGGCTCTTGGCTGTCAGTGTTTTTGATAGGCCCCAAAATTATGAGATTATGAGAAATTATGAGATCCAGTTGTCTACACGATATGATTGATTTCAATATCCATATCTCTACCTGGGGTCTGTACCACCTCATTTAAGTCAGAGTTCGCCGTCTATCACTCTCTTAGCTTTAGCATTTTCATATATTCTCCTCAAGATTCGAATGAAAGTTGACAAACTCTTTCTATCTCATGTTAAGAGAGATTTCGGGTCATGTCCTTATCATGTGATGCATTACCAGTTTAATGTTTACAACTGACTGATGTTTCATTGGAAAACGAAATACCTTCAACTGGACCATAATTTTATAGTTCTACACTTTGTCATTAGGGTAGTTCTATCGAAGAACATACTCTGCATTTCCTGAATGTCAGCAACGAATTTTTTTGTGAATTTTCCCCTGCTGAGTATGTTAAGTCGTTAACTGGCAAAGCTTCTTTGAATCTAGGGTATGTCTCTTATCTGGATTCCATTGTCTCCACATCTTGAAAATTTCTAGTTCCGATTAGCCCCCATTTTTCTCTTTTGCATAGTAAACGCACCACATCAACTTCTTCAGTTCATCCTATGCTCATCTCTTGCGATGGCTTTGAGCTATTGCTGACTCTGGGTTCCTGGGACTATCATCCATTTAATGACCAGACGTCAACAAGCTGACATAAGCTCGATTTGTGAGTAGGTATGGGACATTCGTAGAACAAGGCACTGTAAGATTAATTACATTTCTTTTTCTATCCATATTGCTCATTGGTTATGAGAGAAGTTTCGCAGGAAGAAAGTTGGAGTTCACATATCACATTAAATCTAAAGGTTATTACCTGTCATGTTACTGCGACTCACACTGGCTTCGGGACAGTGCCCAGCAAGGGATCCCTCCGATCGCCTGTCGACATTACTAAACCCTACGGGATTTTTACTGACTGCTGAAAGCAGCCTCCTTTGTTGGCTAATGCAAAGTTCAAGCCACCTTTGTAAACAACGGCCTGGTGAGCTGAACCAATTTCTCTCCTGTACCTTCCATGGACCGATAACAGGCAGTCCAAAGGTTCATGACCGTTCCCTCTCTACTCACATCCCGCTGTGGATGCAGCTACTCTAAACATGGAGATAGACCCTGCAGCCACCCACTGCTGATCTAATGCTGCGGTTTTGTTCGAGGTGCCTTCGCCATCTTCATCAATCCGTTTTTCTTCTTCAAAGATGCTGTTGAGGCTCTCCACTAGAGTACTTCTTCATCTGACCCCTCACCTTCAACCTATTCAGCTAGAGAGGCCCTAACAGTAGCTTGACTACCACTGACATAGCTTTCAGTCTTTGGGTAATCAAGCTACACCACCAACAAGGTCATGTACTCCCTAGGTGATGTTATTATGAAGCTTGTTATCAGTATATATTATTATACAGAGGGAGTTTACCAATTTTTTTTCGTGAGAACATGATTCAAAAATACATATATCTGTTCCAGAAAAAATAATAGTATATAAGAACCTAAATTTAACAAACTCCTTCTAAATTATTTATTTATATTTTGACGGACTTTTCTCCAATATACAAATACAGAAATAAAATTACGAAAAATATTACTCCTAAATATCACGACAACAATACGAATATTATACAAATCAATACACAATTAATACAAATATCATACAATACAACTTACTCATATCGCAAAATACAAATATATGCAGTTCAGTAAAAACAAAAACATTCTACCGGACTCCAATTGTTGGAACCTGGCTCATTTATCATCCTCGTCAGTTGAGTGATAGTTAAATGTTATTTGCGGTGTAGGTATTTGTATAAGTCACCAAGGAAAAAGTATCTTTATGTCTCGAGCGAATGACAGAGAATCTAAAATTCAATTCTTTAAAAAACGAGAAAGAAACGCGAAGAGACGAAACAGAGGGCATGTTTTGGGTAGAAGAGATAAGTCTATAATCATGATCAATTTCTCTCCTGCATGGATTGCGAATGCCTAAAGATTCTGAAGATTTTGTGCTGGACAGATTTAATTTTAGAAGAATCAATGTGCAAACACGGAAACTAGACAAGTGATGCAAACATTAAAATAGGTTTAACAAGGATTGTATGTAAGGTTTTTTGAATGTTTACCACTTTGAATTCAGCACATGTTCTTCGGATGAAACCAAGGATTGGGTTGGCTTTATTAGTCATGTTGTCAGTGTTTAATTTATTATTAACACTATTTGTTCTCAATTTAAGACAAAAGAATGTGTTGGATTAACAGTAATTTATAAGTAGTAAACAACATTCTCTAATATAGAATGGAACAAAATAATATATCTCAAAATTTACAATACAATAATTAAAACAAATACTTGTACAAAGATTCAGAATAACCATCTAAATAAATAATAAATAAATAAATATTTTATATTATTACTTTAAGTTTTAAATATTTTGTACATTTTATTGTTAAATTACTAAAAAGTTGGGATTCAATTTGTTGTTTACTTAGGGGTCGTGTATCTTCAAGTTCAACCCTATTTATATGCTCCAATTTTGGGAGCAAAAAATCAGTTGCTGGTTAAAAGCAATGAATCCTTGTCGAACAATTTCACAAGCCAAGTGAGTGGCGGGGCTGCATCTCTTCAAGGACAAGTGTTCCTGATCTCAGGTAAGTTAACTAATAAGGTTTGTAGTGCTGCCAATTAAAAAAAATTCTCTTTAACTTTTGTCCGAGCCAGGTACTTTTGTAACATGTCCGGGCATGGAGTGTCCACCAGACACAGCTGTGCAATCAATGATCAATGTTTTCCACTGTTCTCTTCATGAACTTTTGCACACCTATTGGTTTAATTGTTGTAGGATTTCAATATCTTGATTGAAAATTAATAATAAATTAAATCAATTCCTTTATTGTCACAAAAAATTTTAAAAAGTGATGGAGTATAACAATTTTTTACAAGAACACAATGCACTTTGAACAAGTGTAAACTTTTCTTCTCTATAAATTCCTGTGAGTTTTTGTGAGTAAAATGATTTTCTTGTGAGTGTTTTCTCTGCGTGTCTCTCAGAGCGGCAAATGTATCATTTCCATGCTTTGCAGACCATGTGGTTTTGTCATCAAATCATAGAAAAAAGTAAGCACTTAGAGCAATCGAGTCCCATTGTTGCTCTACATATAGGTAGCCATAAAAAATGTTCTACAGTACTGTTGCCATGTACCATGCCTCCAACACAGGAGTTGAGTATCTCCTTCCTAGAGACCTCGAGGTAGTGCAAAATGAAAATCACCATATGTTCTTTTCACCAAAAGAACATCAGTCTCACATCAATACAAGGCATTCAATTTTTGATAAGCAACAGATGTAATAAACAAAAGAGAAACATAATTTCGATGGTAATGTCAAAATAGAAATCTCTCTCACAGTCTTCTTTGGACACTTCTTGCCCTGTTATGTTTCTTTAAAACAAAATAACTATTTTCACTACCGTTTGTTGACCAAATTTAGTGAAATGTCTCACTCAGATGCTCCAATTAATAAGAGTAATGAAAGCACAAACACAGAAACATTTCAGTTTACGTTATATGACACTAAATATAAGTGTCCAATATAACAGTGTCCAGCAGGCTCTGATTCCCCAGATAAAGGTTAAATATGGAAAAATAAAGTCATATTTTTTTTAACTTTTCACACACTCATTTTAAAGCAAAAGAAATCCAAATTTACTTTCTCGCTATTACTCTGTAAGAATATATTATACTGTAACTGTGTGCTGGAAAATGGTGAATTTTCAACAGAAAACATTAGAGAGTAATGTTTTAAATTTTATTTTATGTTATTTGTACAGGCAATTATCCAATTTATGGATTAATTAAAATCTTGCAAAAGTTTTACTGCTGCTTGTGATTATAAACACAATCTGATAAATCAATATTTACAATATTTGCTAATTTATGCATGCACCTCAAGGGAAAATTTGCTATAATAAAAGGGTTTTTAAATATTTTTAACTGATTTTCTCCAAAATTGAGAGGCCTTCAGAATTTAATGTTAAAAATACTATCAAAAACTAAAATTTCACCAAAATTGTTTGAAATTTGTATCTACCCTTTTGGTACAGATAGTACTCAACGACCTGAATAAGATAAATGAACACCATTTTGCTATATCTTTTGTTGTTGTTTGTTTTGTGTTCGTTTTTGTTTTTTCCTTCTCGTAATAATTAATACATTCCGTGTTCAAATTGTCATTTTACCACCTCAAACGCTTCCTGGCAAGATTCATGCCATCATCATGCTAAATGTACTCTATGAGATGACATGTATGCCTTATTGCTCTATTCTTTTGTTTTTTCAAAAATATTTTTTTTATTTGTCTCCCACGTTAATATTTTTATTAGCGACCATTTGTTCACATTATTTTATTTACAGGTACATGTGCTTTAAATAATGTCATATAAAGTTTTTCAAAAACTCAACTGTTTTCTGTGAAAACTAGCTCCAAATTTTCAAAAACACTCGGACACATTTACAGTATCGCTGAAACGCCATTTTCTTAAAAATAGCTCCAAATTTTTCAAAGAAAATTGCCATTTAGCATGGGGGTTTACTGTTTTTTCGTATTCTTAAAATAATATTTCTGTTCTAAATAAACCCGAAAAATAAAGAAAAATTCAAAAAATGTACTTTGGGCAGCAATAGATGGCAGCTGGCAAGAGTATGTGGCAAATACAAACAGCTAGCTGAGACTAAGGGAAATAGAAAACTAATACGGGAAAGTCCGGTTGGAATAGACAAAGCACTATAATGCGAAGTTACTATAAATCCTCACGAAGTTACGAGTAAACATAATGTCACAAACTCTTCAATGGATCACCTCTACATCCCAGACTGCCATGCCACGCACACTGATTGTCTTAGAGTAGTACCCTGTGCTATTAAAAAATTCAAGGATTCTAGGGATCTGATCACTCGTGAGTCAAAACTAACTTCCCGATAAAAATTAATAGAATCTTCACTGAACATTCTGGGTCACTTGCATACAGCGAGAGAGAAATACAGGGTCTTTAACTTAACTTGCAACCCATGTCTGTAAACACCACCTCCTGTTTTGGCAATTCGGCAATGCATGAAATACCTTTAGCATCCCTTTCACATCTAGCGATCCACAGCAGCATGCCTTAAGATTTCGGAGTGAGAGAATATGGCTAGTTTTAGTTGGGAGAAAGAGAAAGCACTTATTCTGCCCTTGTTAGTCTTCTAAGTACTGCCTCTACACTGAAAAGAGTAAACGCCTGTGTCGTGGCAAAAGGTGGTCATTTTGAGAATTTAGTTAAGAGTCAGTTTTTTGTCATTTTAAGGAAATTAATTTTTATTATTTTCAATAATTATTTATTTACTTCTTATGTTTTATTGGTATTTTTAATAATTTTACATTATTATTGTTATAAATAATGAAGAGCTTGGCTGTAATGTTTCACGAGATATCCGATTTCCTGAGCCAACTTTCATTAAATATTATTGTTACGTTGGTGATTGATAAACAGTCATAACTTCCTTCCACATCTTCAGTATTAATGTTCTGTTTCTTAAGCATACTGAACAGAATCCCCTAAAGAAACGTTTCCTCTCATGCCTCAGCCCACCCCACCCCACCCCACCCACTCGCAGCCCACGTGCAGCGCGAAATGCTTCCGGCGTGTGAGCCGCGTACCTGCCCGCCTAAGCTCTGGAATGGCAAAAACACAGAAACGGGAAAGTTGCTGCAGCTTATGACCTGACGGCCATCTCCTCTACTGTCTCGACGTGCCAGGCACGACTGCCTTGAAAGGTGGGAAAGACACGCGGTTGCCAAATTGCCAAAACAAGAACGAGTGCTCTCAGGCATGGGTTACGTGTTAAGCTGAAGACTCTGTATGTGCCTCATAATCATTTTATAAGTTATAAACTTCTCGAGAAGCGCGTTCATTTATACAAGCAAAGGGGAGAAACAGCATCCATCGCCAACTAGCTGAGTTCTGTTCATGTGTTGCGGCTTCCCCCCTGATCGCCGCTTGCCACTGGCCCGGTGAATTAGAAGCGCACGCACCTTACCTCCCCGGCGAAGATGCCAGAGCTGGGGTTAGAGCAGTGCAGGGGCAGTGGGATCAGTATCGCCGCAAAGATCGGAATAGAGCGTAGAGTGGATACAATATTTTTATCAGGTGGTTCATTGTAATTTTAATTCTCCAAATTCATTAACTCCTCATTTTTGCTTACCCCAGCAGTCTGGAATTTTGCGTGTTTTGCAATTGAACCTCAGAAAATTGAGTTGTTTGAGGAAATCAAAAATGTTTTGAAACTCCAGATATTGCCTTCTCACCAAAGTTTTTTTTTATCCCTATTAAAACGTATGAAAGTCTATTTCTTTATCATTATGTTAATCTGCAATTGTGAATTTATTATTAAAGAGATGTTTGGTTTTTTTTTTTTGCCTATTTTAGCACTTTAAATTGTCTGGTAAAGTTCTGGTCTCTAATCAAAAGAGAACGAATCCCTTCAGGTAGGATAAGAGGAAAGTAATAAACCCGTCTCAGACGCATGGTACAAATTCCCATCCCTGCTGCGAGTGCCTGTATGTTACTCCAAATCGGAGCATACCTTAATGGCTCTGAGCAACTTTGGATTTTTATTTTAGAATATGCTAGCCAAAAGCACTAGATGGGCTCTAACGCCGTATTACCTGCCTTATGTGTCGCAGGGGGCCCAAATTAGCAGTGGGATTTGGAAGTAAAAATACGCTAAAAGATATTGCATGTATGTTCAGGAGCAGGCAGTCTACCGCCGGTGGGACTCCAGGCAGCCCAGCAGCTGAGTGGTGGACCGCAGCAGAACGTGACATTACTGCCGCAGTCGGTACTACAGCTGTGCGAGGAACCAGTCCAGGACGCCGTGGCGCCTACGACGTCTAGTACCCCCGCCGGTCACAAGCGCAAGCAAAAGAAAAAGCACGTTTGCAAAGTTTGCGGAGGTTCTTTCGTTTCGCAATGCGAACTCGACATTCACAATCGCACGCACACAGGCGAACGTCCGTACCTCTGCGACGTGTGCGGTGCTACTTTCGCTAGGCAAAGCCAACTCGCGAGTCACTCGACCATACACACGGGAGAGCGGCCGTATGAATGTGACTTTTGCGGGAAGACATTCCGCCAGAAATCAAACCTAAATTTACACCTGCCCTTACACACGGGAAAGCGCCCGCATCGCTGCGACGTGTGCGGGAAGACGTTCTTGCAGAAGCAAGAATTCACTGAACACAAGAACCTGCACACGGGAGAGCGGCCGCATCGTTGCGACTTATGCGGGATCGCTTTTCGCAGGGCGCATAATCTTAGAATACACAAGTACAGGCACACGGGCGAGTGGCCGTTTCGCTGCGACGTGTGTGGGAAGACGTTCGCCCAGAAAAGCAGGCTCACTCAACACATGCCCGCGCACACTGGCGAACGGCGGTATAACTGCGACGTTTGCGGGAAGTCGTTCGGCTTCCAGCAGAGCCTAGCTATACACCGGCAGATTCACACGGGAGTGCGGCCGCATCGCTGTGACGTTTGCGACAAGACCTTCCGACTGAAAACGTCGCTCGTTGCTCACGTGCGTATCCACACCGGGGAGCGACCGTACAGCTGCGAGTTGTGCGGGGCTCGCTTTCACCAGCAGAGCGGCGTTATGAATCACATGCGCACTCACAACAAAAGTAAACCCCCTTAGACCCTCAGAAACGATCATTTGGCTGTCACGTGTGCTCTTTGCAGCCCCCTCTTATGGGGTGTCTTTCTCACATACAGACCTCATTATTCGAAGGAAACTTTTATGCTCGTTGATTCATATTAGAGATTGTTTGTTCGGTACTGGCCTGAAGTACCTACTTAAGCACTTGAATCACAGTGATCTTTATGCAAGAAATTACGAAGATTTGAAAGTGATGGGCGTTATAAAGCTGTAAATAAGGCAAAATATCTGTGGTTTTAAAAGGATATGATGAGAGTTACAGATTTAAGTCAAAAGACTGGATCTTGTCGTGCAAGCAGTTAATAAGTTTCCAAAATGTTAATATTTGGACCTGTGTGCAGAAAGTTTAGTTCCTTTGTCAATTGTCGTCAATTGGAGTCAATTGAATTCACTTTAAAGTTCGATTTGTGCTCTTTACATTATCAAATGTTGGAAAACAAAGAAATTAGAATGACATTGTGTAGGATTTGTTGAACTGATTCTTGTATATATTTGTGGACAGATTAAATTTTATATATGAAAACAATACGAGTATTTAATTGCCTCTTGTCCCTTATCAGGTACATTTTTCTGTTCATGAGATCCTTTTATCCTTTTCCCTTTTAGCGTATAGAATCTAATGTAATTCAAAAATATCCAGTTTAAGATTTTCACAGAAATAATAGGGTGATGCCAGACTTGGAAAATCGGGAATTGTCAAGGAATTATTGTTTTTAACTGGAATAGTCGGGAAAATGACATTTCGCTGGAAATTTTAAATACATTTAGTTTTGGTTGCTATCATGTAACTAAGGGCATTAGCAACCACTATTATTTGTAATATTTTAAACGTTACATCACAAGCAGAGAATTATGAATTCCAATTTAATTTGGCATAACCAGTAATTTTTGGATATGTATTTTTTCACAGCCTTCAATGGATTGATTGGAGATTCTGGGCGCTTCAACCGCTGAGGTCAGTGTGGGGGGTGGCGGTGATTTTCCCCCGCTGGATGGCGAGATCCGGCATCGACCTACATGCTAGATTGCGTGGTTTCCCCAAACATGTATTTCCCAACAACGGGGACAAGCTCTAAGCCTTTGACTGGTCTTCTCTCATGTACGTAGTGTAATGCGCGTATGAGAGGGTAGAACACTGAAGAGTAAGGAAAAGTCGCGCGCGGTTCGTGGCTCGTTTGTTTAGAGTATTGCTCAGGCATTTGCATGGCGTTCATCGAAGAAACCACGGAAAACTACCGATCAGCCGGCCGCTAGAATTCTCCCGACAGCGACAATTCCAATTTTCTCTGTAGCCACCTCTGGGAAACTAAATATTCTAGAATTACGTTTCGCGCTGGTTACGGACAGTTACACCGCCCCTCGTATGTTTTGACTTCAAAAAATATGGCGGCAACTAGTTCGGCGTGCCTCTTCCAAGAGCGGTGAAACAATAGGGACGGCCACTCTATGTATAGAGCGATTTTTATATGAATGAGCCAAAGTGACAGTTCGCTAAGCAAGTGAACATCACATGTAGTTAAGAAAAGTATCCCTCCGCCGCGGCAGCTGTTCAGCCACGTCTTTTCGTGAAGTATTTGTTTAATGCTCCCGCGAATACATCTCTATACAGAGTTGTTTCGCTGAGGAATAAGCACGTACGCGAATCCAGAAAATATTGAAATTTAATTACGTATGTGGAAAATGTCTTAACATGCTCTCATATTCAGTTAAAGAAAACTGCCAGAGTGTGAATAGAAAGAAAAATTATTTTTCGGGGGGCATTCAAATACCTTTTCTGGGCGTTTCACAGCGAATGACTTATGCAATTGAGCAGTTAAAAGAGTGGTTATTTATAATTATTGCACCCTGACTACCAAAATGCAAGGCTCACGAACACAGCTCGCCACCTTACAATGCAGGAGCTGGAATCACGTGCACCTCAATCAGTATGCATCTCACATTAAAGACTCGATTTTAAAGCAAAGATAATACTGATCACGTAAAATCTAAATTCAATGTAATGTTTAAAAAAATATTTTTTTACAGAAGAGCTCATAGCTCTGCACCTCCTAATTTTAATTATTTCTCGTGGCGCACTATATTTTCGTCGGAAGAGAACATCATAAAAGAAATCGTCGAAGCCATTTACAAATTAGTCAACTGCAAACGGACAAATGAAGGGAGAGTCTAATAGGCCCAAAAACATAACGATCACAGAACCTTCATTTGTGTTGCCAGCACTGTCAAAACGTTCCATTCTTATAAAAACCTCTCTGTAGTATATTGTAGCTCGGATTAAACACATACAGAATGTTTAAAATCCAAAGAATAGACGTTAAGGCAACGAATCAACAGTCTAGTATGCCAAGCTGGATGTCATAGCGCGGTTCATTTGGAGAGGCACGGCCGTAGTCATAACATGCGATAAGTTTGAAGAAGGTATTGAAAGCTGTGATTCTCTGAGAAGAAATGAATCAGTCTCCGACCTAAGCTCATGTAAGGAATCAGTGCGTTAGGAATGTTTGTTTCAATATAGTGTCGGTTATTGGTAAATAGTATTGAAGCGGGTAAATTATTAGTGTTGATAGATTAACATTGTGCAGGTAGTGGTTCGAAGGGTTTAGAAATATTAAATTATAATTGTAATTTTTGTGAATGTAATTTGAGACTCAAGTCAAATAGACTCCGTATTTCCGAAGGGATTTATGACAGGACAGCTCCTTAGATGGGGAGGATTTTTTATATACGTCGGCTGGAGAGAGGCGCCACATTATTATTATTATTATTTTCATGAGTTTTGGCGTAGATTAATTATAATAATAATGTTTATTGAGTCACATATTCCATTACAATCGTGTATGTCGAGTCAGTATAGTGTCTGGGTGGAGAGAGCGAAGTTACATTACTGTTCAGGAGCAAAACAAGGAGCCATCTCAGCATTTGGTCAAGGAACCAGGTAAACTGAACAAAACCTGATCGAGATGGGGTCGTTGGATTATAATACAATACTTGCTACAGATAGATTAGGATATTATATAGTAGATAATTATTTTTGGTAGCAGATAATTTAACATTTCACGGTGTTATTGTCATTTTAATGCTACTATTTATATTAATAATATTAAAAAATGCATATCAATTCTGTGAGCAACTACATCAGATTTAACAATATTAGTACATTCTATATTTAAAACTTGAAATGGTGAGGAGGAGGAGCGGCAGGTTTTGACCAGTTTTTTTTTTTATTTTTCTCTTATTTCAATTTGTACACGTAGTTCTGCTGCAGCACCTAATGCATCTAGTGAATCCAGAGAGAAACATATTTCTTTTTTTTTGGTCACGCATTCTCCTATGTCATAGGATGCGATATGCCAGTTCTTTTTTCTTTGCTTCAGCACAAAACAGTTAACATGAAACAGAGAGTCTAATGGGATAAGAATTTTTTTATTTATATTTTTAGGGTACTTTTTTGATAAAGTGTAGTTTCAGAGTGGGGAACATGTAGGTTATCCTTCTGACGAGTGTTGTAGTTGTGTACATCGGAATTTAAAGTAAAAGTGTCTTTGTTTTCCATGAGAATTTTTTTGTGAAGACCACTATTTCAAATATATACATGCATGGTAGTGGGAAAATCCTTAGTCTATTTAACAAGGGTTTGCAAGACTTCAGCTATTGAGTGCTTGTCATTGTTCGCAATATTCATTTTTGGATGATAAATGTTCGAGTGCTTTCAGGGGCATTTCCCCAGAATATTATTCCATATTTTAGGTGTAAGTGCACATTTGCAAAATACATTGTTCAAAGTGTTTCAATGATGGAGCTTGACCTGAGGGTGTATAGGGCTTAGCAAGATTTGGTGAGCTTCTTGTTAAGATTTGAGATGTGAGCATTCCATTTTAGGTGTTCTTAAATTGTTTGAAGGAAGGAAGGTAGTTTCATGAGATATCGTTGCAGTGTTATTGTTTATGAGCAAATGCTGTGAGAGTTTTTCTTCAGATCGGGGATTCATGAAATTTAGAAATACTGTTGTGCTGGTGTTTATGATGATTTCGTTGTCTTGAAACCGTTTTACTAGTGCTTTCAATGTTTCGTGAGTTTCTTTTTCTAATAATTGTTGTGTTTTTGCTTTAATGATTATGTTTGTGTAATCTGCAAACAAAATTATTTAGTTATTCCTTAAAGCCATAGACATTTTACATCATTTATGCATGTAAGGAATAGCATTGGCCCAAGGATGAATCCTGGCGGGACTCCACAATTTATCATTTAGAAAAGCACACAAGCTTGGCGGGAATAGGAAGACTTCGTGAGTATAGTAAAGAGATGTATACCACTGAGTTGTAGAGATTGTTAATTTCGAATTTGCTATCAATTCAAAATTCAAAACGATGAAAAATTGTGCCGGTCCATTCGGACGCGTCATAGCGATTGCTAAAAATGCAATAAGATTTATTAAAAAGAAACAGTCGAAGGTGTAAGGGTGGAAGTACAAAGTGTTTATTTCTACAAAAGTCCAAGAAACTATGCTGGTAGCAGACCAGGGAAGAATATATAAATAAAGAACCATTTAGAAAGTATACACAGTCATTCGAACTCTGGATTATTATATAATGAAAATGATCGGGCATGAATATGATCACGTGTTATTACTGCATTCCCGAATGGGCCGTACTGAACTAGGACTAGCCGTGTGTCGAAAAAGCCCGTGACTCAGTTTTCTGTTACGATTGATCCGTATTTTCGACACACTCAACACAATGCAATATACCTAAACAAGTTTTAATCTTACAGGAAGAGAATTTGTACTCGTGGTAAAACTGTCGTGATCATGTAAGGGGGTCAAAACAATATAATATTGCCGCTTAGCACTTATCGAAGTAATCAACTTAGAAATCATTTTAGAAGTGACAAAAAAATCAAACTGATTGCGTTCAGCAAACGTAACATTTTTTACAGGAGATATTTAGGGAGCTGAACACAAATATTTTAACTTGTCTTGAATATGTAATAAAATTACAGCAAAACTTGAAAAGTAAATGTCTTGAATGTAAATGTAGCTTCACTGTGCGCACGTTTTTTTCAACTCCTTTTGCTTGTAATAGTAGGAGGAGAGGTCAGGGCGAGTTACTATTTTGTTAGCAATGCAGAAAAATCATACTTGCAATTCGTTTACCGATCCAAATAAGTATCCTATTACTCTGAAACGAAAATGTCTATTTTTTTCAAATATTGCTAATGTTACGAATTTTTAATTTTTTTATTTATTTATTTTAAACTTTTACTCATCTCTCCACTATTTATTGTTAAAATGACTGGAAGGGATTCTGGAAATCAAGAAAACGTGTGCAGATAATATTTTCCCCCACTGAATTCATATCGTTTGATGCCATTAATGTCATTGTATAAAAATTAATTTTAGAAATCATATTCATTCACTTGCCCAAGGTTAACGTTTGTAGGAAGCTTCACCTCTAGCTTGATAACAAAAACACAGCACCACAGCTTAATTCTTTATAATTTAATTTTAAATTTCAATTTATTAAAATAATTATCCAAAAGTAAATATTTAGAGGGAATTTTCACAGTTACGTAAATAAGAACAAAACAATCAATTCTATAACACAAATAATATTTTATGGCAAAATTTGTTAGATGTTTAGCACAAAAACATCATTACAGATATTTTGGTAACAGTTCCAAGGACACAATTTTATTTATAAGCAAATTTACTTATTCCAGAAAAAAACATTACACTTTAATTGTAACAACATTTCTATGTCATCATAGGGGATAATTGAATGTGGCAAAAGCAAAATATCAACAGTAATAAAAAATCCAGTACAATAATACACATTACTGATAACAACCTGCAACCCCGACTTACATGTTTCAAAACTTCTGATCATGAACAAGCCACAAACTTGGCAAGGTTTGAAATTTTAAAATATTTTTAAAAATTGTTCTGTAGTCATTTTAGTGTTTTACACTTCAGTACCCTCCCAATGATTATATAAGAAGGTTTTTAGTCAATTTGAAAATATAAATAATTTTCAATTAAAAAAATCGTTGAAATATGACTTATCTGATTTCATTCCATATATTTTATAGGTTTACTGATTGAATGGTCTTAAATTTAAGAATTATTTTTCAACTCAAAATATCAAAATTGCTTTTAACAACAAAAAACATAGTACGTCTTAATATGGTTTCATTGTCATAACTCAAAAAAATGTATTTTGAATATGGTAAATTAAAAGCGTTGTCTGGTATCAAAAATTTGTTTTGCTAATGATCGGTTCGATTGCGTAGTGATCATCCTCAGAGCTAAAATTAGAATTATCGAAATAAAATTATATTAATGCATGAATTATAAAAATTTTGGGATAAGTTAATACAAAATATAGATATTGTATTCCAGATGTGTAAGCAAAGAAGGTCATACATACCTTGCAGCTTCCGAGTCGTAAACTAAGTTCTGCTGTTTTAGAGTGCGTCTTGTTTAAAACCACAGAACTTCGTTTTCGGTCCGGTAGCTGCAAGTAAGCTGTTGATACTGTTACCTGATGAATGTGATTACTACGTCGAGCGTTATAGTTATAGACATCAGCGTTTGTTGAAAATATAATCCCGCCCTTATGTAAGTCATTTTTGACAAAAACCACTGGTTCATATTTCAAGAGACAAGATAATGGTAAAATACCTAGATTAATAAAGAGAGGCTTACAAGAATCACGTTTTCTTATTATTCGTACAATTATGTTTTGTAATCTAAAAGTCTGGGACCTATAAGATTATTTTCCAGAATATTATGCCATATCTGAGGCGGGAATGAACATTCGCGAAATATACACAACGAGCAGTATGAAGGCTGATTGAATTTGAAAGAATTCTGAGTATAGCATACAGAATTTAATTTAGTATTCAGTTCATTTAAAAGCATGTTACATTTAAGGTTTGACTGAATTGAAGGATCTAAAAATTTTGTTACCTTAATATGGGACACTGTTCATTTTCATCGGAGTACAGAACTATTTATTTGAAAGGGAAATCTGTATCAAAACCGTTTTCTTTTCATTTATTATTAATTTATTATTACGTAATCAATTTGAAATATCTGATATTGTATTATTTACGGTTTATTTATTATAAAGAGTATTCGTATAATACGAGAAGAGAACAGTTCTTCCGTTTCTAATCGTGGAGGGCATATCGTTTACGGATAGTAGGAAGAGAATAGGGCCTAAAATCGATCCCTGCGGGACTCCACATGCAATTGGCAAAGAATTGAATTGAATTAATGCCTAACTTTCAAGATATTCAAGAATCAGAAAGGTGTATACAAAATGTTCCATTGTATTCGTAGGCTCCGGCGGCCGAGGTCATATTTTTGAAGAAAGCCACAACACGGAGGCCGAGACGTCAACTCGATCGACTGAGACGCGGCTCATCGCAGACAGCCAAGAATCCCAAACATTCCATTATTCCAGAAAGGTATTTCTACTGTTCGGATTAATTGGGCAGTTTAACATGAAATATTATATTATTAATGATTTAAATGATTCATAAAGGCATATTATGTTCGTTTCTTTTGAGATGTCCTAAAAATTATATGATTTGTAAAATGTTAATTACATTATTCATGAAAATCAATTATCTCGAGATTTTAAAAGAGCCGCCTCGTTCCACCAATCACAGCGCAGATACTACCATGGCTGGTGAACGATTTCAACGATTCAACAATGATTCAACGAATCAGACTGAAAAGTATGTAATCGCACTATCGGTTCAATCAACAGTTGGAGCCCCTCCCGGATGCCATCACTAGTAAACTAAGTTTAAACAACAGTATAAATACCCTCTCGGGTTAACCTCCCTTTTTTAATAATACTGCATAATATTAAAGGTACCGTACTATACAGTACATATACTGTGATAAAACACGTGGATTGTCAACTCTGGCATTCCACACGAGCCAAGTCGCTTTGTGTAATAATGTTGTGAAGGAGGATGTATACAAATAATTATGCAAACATATACAGAACATTGCTTTGGAAGCATAAGCCCTGATCATTTTGCGTACATTGCGATTTAAACTTTTAATAATTTATATAATGCACTCAGTGTGAAAGCCTATATATGCCAAGGTACTCTGCGTTACTTCTATTACTACTAGTAAATTGTTTATTTTTTATTGTCATTGAAAATATTTATATAATAGTGAGGTAGGTTGATATAGATAGATTTATATTGCAGCTACAGTACAAACGCGTGAAAATAAAATTCTTCCTATAACATTCTTTTTATAAGATGTGGTTTTCATATTGTTTTAGGGCAATTCAAGCATGGCTGAATCAGTTGCGACTGTGAGTTGGATAGACCACACCAGTGAACTTGCTACAGAATTTAAAAGTTTTTTAGACAACAGTTCTTTTGTTGATTGCACTATATCTGCTGAGGGTCAGAGCCTGCAAGCACACAGGCTAGTTTTATCTGCATGCAGTCCTTACTTTCATGTAAGTAAAGTGTTTTAATAATTATTTTTTCTCTTTTGTTTGGCTCTTTTTTTCTAGTTTTTTTTCTTTTAGAGCAGAAAAATAGATTGAGAGATCAAATATATCTTCTAAGTATCATCAGTGGTTAACATTTTAACAACAATCTTTCTAAATTTGGGCATTTTGAGATGATACTCAAAAGATATGTCTGCCAACCAAGTCAGTGATAGATATTGCTGAAATGAACTGGAAATTTGCCAAACTTATGGATCACGGTTTTATAAGCTTTAATGCAGATAAAGATTTTTTTTTTTTCATTCATTTATAATGGTACACATCAATTTTTTAGAGACATTGTAAAAATATTTATTGGTTAAACAAACTTGTCAACCCTTACATACATTTTTCAAACTTTTCTGCCACATTTTGGGGCACGTTGTGGCTCCATCATCAGGTATTAACTGTAATATACAATTTTTACTTTTTTCGTTTGACATGAAAAGTCACCATTTTTTAGATATGTAGTCATAACTTTTATCCATCGATATGTTGCCTGTTGGTTATTAACGGAAGCATTTCATGTTCCGAACTCCTTTTCTTGATATTAATTATGAGGTTTGTGTTGTTGTTTTTTCCAGTGATTTACCATTTAAATATCTTTTGCTTCGGTTTTCAGGGCCATATGCCATCATGAATACATGTTTATAACTAATGAGTTCATGTTCATCTTTTTAAGTACATTTCATGATTTTATCTTGTTTTTGTTCTTTAATGATCATATTGCTTGCTGGGAACAATAGTGAACAAACTTCAAAATAGCTGTTACGAGATAATTGCATTTGAAGTTTTCCCATTGTTGTTCTTTTAAATTTGCACTAAAATGACACAGTGGTACTTTCTAGCAGACACAAATATTGAATTGAATTGAGTTGAATTGAATTGAATTGAATTGATGCCTTATTTTGCGTGTGAGACTCGGGCCATGAGGCCCGCTCTTCCATCTGACCATTCAAATATCGCTGCGCTCCTGTCACCCACTTGCCGAGAAAGAAGGTATTTCTTGGGCGATGAAACAGGCAATTTGAATTTAGCTCAGAGGCATCATTTAGGCTTGAGGATCATTTACAGGCATGTAAATCTAAAATGGGACAGCCAGCTTTACTTCCCCTGCAAACAATGCCATTAGATTATTTTGCCCTTAAAAATCCACGGCTTCAATCGGGTTTGGACCGCCAACTTGGGGTATAACAGTCCGATACGCTAATCATTAAACCATTGCCGCCGTCTATAATATTCTAATTTTGTCACGCATGCATGATAAAAGAATGCCATTTACAAACACTTTGACCTGCTCATTTTCTCCGATTTTAGAGTTTGGTTCTCAGTGTACACTATGATTTGGGTCCTGTTCTTAGAGTATTTTTAGTTTTGAACTTCTTATTCCAAAGTACATTAGAATATTTGTTTCATCCAACTGGTTGTAACATATGAAATGGGATAAGTAATTTTTATATAATACAGCACAATAGAATAGTACCAATATAATAAAGAAATATAACAGACCCAATAGAAGCATATTTAACATTATACATCCTTTACACAAGCAATCCTTCAACCCTGTATATCCAATTATATCTTTAAAATACTTCTTGAAGACGACCAAGGCATACAATGACAGCATCAGCACAACTGCAGCCTAGCCCACATTTTAGGGGGTTTGGGGTGACTGTGGTAATCACACCTTAATTTACTTAACTTCAGTGTGTAAAAGTTTCAGCATGTTGTCATAAAAACTATTTTCAGTAATTTCAGAAAGTGATATTATTGTAGCCAGCTTACGAATACATTACTTTGTACAGTAGTGGCATATGTGGTGTAGGTCGTTCTTTTGTTGAAACACAATAATATTTGTTTATTTTGTTAATAAAAAATTAATTTAGCTTTGGATCTATTCATAAATAACATTAATAGTTAATTCGGCCAGGATTATAAAGAAGAAAAATTAAATGACTCATCGATTTTGTTATACGTACCGGTATATAACATCTATTCTAAGTAGATTTAAAAACTTCTGTAGAACAGAGTGCAGAAGTAGTGCCTATTAATGAAAATTGTAATGCCTGTTTTTATTAAAATAAATCTTGCAATCTACTTCTCAATAAATCATTGTTGTGATAATGGCTGAACGTTCATTATGATAGTACAAACGGAAGTTCGGTATGGAAGATGTTATTTTTACATAAAATGTATTTCTCACATATCTTTTTTATTCCTTATATTATAACAAAGAACAAGTGATTTCTTTGTATAGAGGTGAGAATTTCACAAACATTAAAGTTTCATAAATGTATGTACATGGTATTGGTAGTATATGAAGTGTTTTAAAAAGTTTTCTACTATTAGTTTCTATGAATGTTGTTTTTGATTGATTCCAAACTTTGAAAATAATTTAACAAATCTTTCATATTTTTGGTGTATGCCATGATGTTGTTAGATTTAAGTTGTAAAGAGTCATATATTTTTTTCCCATGTTCTATCTTTATAACTGTATTTCTATATTTGTGTACCCCATGATGTTGTTGGACTTAAGTTATATATAGTCCTGTATTTAGGGTTTCCTGCTGGATTTTTATTAGGTCAAATAAATAAATAAAGAGCACCTTCCCCAGTTGTTATCAGCATTAAAAGTGAAACCATGTTTTATTTGTTAATAAAACATGCATGTTATAATTGAGCACCTCCGTGGAAGAACGTTGAATACAACAATTTAATTGAAAATGAGATTAAGGTGAAATAACATTGAATTTAGAAGCCTTCATTTTATAGCTTAGTCAGTTGGTACCATCGTGTTTATGTTGGCTTCTGAGGAAAAAAGGTTGGTTGTTGTGACAAATGGCTGACGGTAGGGAGTGTAAGTTATCACCTTCGATGATGAATAACATGAATTTGTTAAAAAAGAGGACGGTTTGCTTCGATAAATGGGAGCTTAATATTAGAAAGATGACTAGAATCAGTGAGAAGGAATATTTCAATAGAAAAGGAAAGAATTTCCCTTTAAAATGTTCTATTGAGATAAGTGGAAGAATGTTGGTTGATGTTTTGCAAACTGCAGTTGTGTGTTCTTGAATTTATAGGAAACTACTCGGGAATACAATAATAAACATTATATGCAATTAATATTTATAATAAACAATAATATTTGTTATTATTATATTTATTGTAATAAATTATAAAAAGAAAATGAAGCCAACATTCTACTTCAAATGTCATTTATTTAATTCCAATTTTTTTTAATATAAAGTTGTTGTTTATTGTGTTCCCAATTCAATTTAAAATGTTTGCTATTTTAAAAGAAACATTTATAACATTCATCATTTTTCCATGGGGAAAAATATTGGTTGCATAGGGCAGTAAGTCATATTCAACTTTCTTTCATTGAAGGCGCAGCAAAACACCAAACTTTATGAAAAATTACTCTACCAACAGTATTTTATAAAAGAAAACATAATATTTCCTACAGTGCATGTGTTTTGCTTATTTAGAAAATTCTTATAAAATTATAACACTAAATAATCATTTTTTTAAATTCCGTTAAAAGATGCCCTACTCCCACATCCAAATTCTTTCATAAAGGTACTCAATTCTTGACCCTAGTAGTACGAAGAGTGAGCAATTATTTCCCAGCTTTATTGTTTTTATTTTAATAATAATGTATTTAAAATTTAAAACATGATGTAACACTTCTACTTGTTACGAACATGGTAAAGTATCACTACAGCCCACATTCATATTCTACATTATCACAACAATAAACTATTAGGGACACATTATGTAAACTAGTAGTGAGAGATAGTAAATCAGTGCTGAAAATGTCTATGATATTTTGATATACTTTTGTTAAAATTTGCTTCTTTATTTTAAATCAAAGAGCCTTTAAACCATCAGATAAATAATTATTACTTTACACAAGTGTACATACACAAGAAAGTAAAAATTAATAACATCCAATACTAATTATTATTATTATTATTATTATTATTATTATTATTATTATTATTATTATTTTCAAATATCACAAAATGTTTCAAAGTTGTTGATCGAGCATCCTTTGTTCAGCAAAACGGTTTTGATATGTCACCATAATGCGGTAGTCAATCAGTGCTTTAGGTCTGTGAAGTGATGGTTTCAGAGAAGCAAAATTAATCTTTCTTACCATTCTTCTTCTGCATTATTCTTTATAGAAGCTGTTTTGTGAAGAGACTGAAGATCATCCACTTGTCATCCTCTTAGATGAATCATTTCAAAATCTGAAGGCAGTGATTGAATTTATGTACCTTGGGGTAACACAAATTCCAGAAGCCAACTATAGAGCATTTGTGACTCTCGCTAAGTCGTTGGAGGTCAAGGGACTAAGTCAGCTTTCTGTATGTAAAGCAGTGGTAGATTTTGTAGTTTTTACTAAAAAAAAAAAAAATGTATTTCATGTGTTGTTTTTTCTTTTTCTATAAAGAGCAACCCACCCGCCAGTACTACTGCCCCTAAAGATCCATCTGTGAAGAATCAAGTCACTGGTGAAGTTAAAGGCAGTAATGCTACCCAAAACGTCAGCTCTGAAAATGAAAAGTCCCTGGAGGGCAAGGGACCAAGTCAGGTTTCTGTATGTAAAGCAGTGGTAGATTCCGTAGTTTTTACAATTAAAAAAAATAATTATTTCATGTGTTGTTTTATGTTTTTCCATAAAGAATAACCCACCTGCCAGAACTACTGTCCCTAAAGATCCATCTGTGAAGAATCAAGTCACTGGTGAGGTTAAAGGCAGTAATGCTACCCAAAAGGTCAGCTCTGAAAATGAAAAGTCCCTGGAGGGAAAGGGGCCGAGTCAGGTTTCTGTATGTAAAGCAGTGGTAGATTTCGTAGCTTTTACAATTTAAAAAAAAAAAATTTATTTCATGTGTTGTTTTATCTTTTTTCATAAAGAATAACCCTCCTGCCAGTACTACTGCCCCTAAAGATCCATCTGTGAAGAATCAAGTCACTGGTGAAGTTAAAGGCAGTAATGCTACCCAAAAGGTCAGCTCTGAAAATAAGAATTCTCAGAAGATTGCTCAGCATCTAAATGGCAACACCGACCCTGTGGACACACATTCTCCTGTTTCATTTAAAGGAAATAGTGCATTGTGTGAACTAAGGCCAAAATCGGCGATGAAGAGAAAATCAGTGGACACACATTCTCCTGCTTCCTTTAAGGGAAATAGTGCATTTCGTGAACTGAGGCCAAAATCAGTGAAGAATACAAAGTCTGTGATTTGGCCTTCACAAGGACAAGAAAGTCCTCAAGGTAACGATGATACATCCAGAGCCATGGAAAAATCTGTGGAACACGAAATTTTATTTAAATCATATTTTAATGCATTTGGATTACTGGAATAATGGAAATTTAAAAAATACAATTGTATAGCAATTATGTCAGTCATTTAGAAATATGGCACCACAAAGTGCAGAAAGAACTCGTCTTCTCAACCATCACATCGCATTATATTCAGATTTAAACGTCTTGGCACTTTGAGGTCATTAGCTGCCCAAAGATGGGGACACTGACATTCAATCAGGAGCTTTGTTTCAACTTATGTTTTTGGAATTGAAGCTCCTGATTGGATGACAGTGTGCCCCTCGCCTGTCAGCTCATGATCCTGAGGTGTCACTACATTTAAATTGGAGTTTAACAAAACAAATTCAGATGCCTTGCTTTGTTAGCTCCCAGGACTTAGAAACATTGATTGCCTATATATCTTTCTAGCTGAACTGTTGCCACCCACATATCGACCAGATGACTTCACAAAATTGCTTATGAATGTGCTTTTTTTCACATTCATAGCTGTGAATCACGTGGGATTTTTTCTTCTTCTTTTTTTCCCTTGTGTATTCCAACTTGACCACGTGTGCATCCTGCTTTAGCAGGTGCAAGTACCTTTCTAGGGGAGGGGGGTCAGCATTTTAGCTGAATCCCTATTTTTATCATCCAAGGTTGTTAGCCCTGGGGGTATGGACGATGAGATGATGATGATGAGAGATGAAAGGATGGCACACACAGGCGTATACAAATACACCTATGCCTGAGGTGGGACTCGAACCCGCTGTTTTCTGGTCTGACACCGCTGCAGCACCACTGCCCTAACAGTCCTGACAATCTCGGATTCATTACTTAAATTTTGTTTGCATATTTTTCAGATTCCTTGGAGTTCATTTAAGTGCAAAAGAATAGAAATTACACATTTCATTGTGCTTCAGGTACATTTTTAACGTCATAATTGTAAATATTATGAAAAGATTTATTTTCCAAAATACATCATTTTTGATTTTCAATTTCTCTAGCTTAAAATGCTTGAAATACATGCAAGTTTTCAGGGGAAAACTTTCAGCAATGGTTATTGATAATTAACCATAATATAGCTGTTCAAACTTGAAAATTCAATTTTTGATTTTTGAAGTTTTTTATTGATGCACATAAAACTTATTCATTAATTTTGTGATATATTATTTATTTATATAAAATTTTATATTTATTTATTTGCATAAAATTTTAAATTTATATAATAATTAAAAACTATCATTAATTGTGTAATATATTACAAATTTTATTATAACGTGTGACCTACGAAGGTAAATTTAACCTACATTCATTTCAAGCATTCAAAATAATGGTTATTATAATTTTTTTTTTTATAAGTAATATTATTTTGAGTTAAACCTATTACACGATTAATATTTATGTAAATTGTTTATAACTGAATTAACTGTCTGCAATCACATTTCTTTAGTTCATCACATTGAATTGAAGAGAGAGAAAAGTAACTACATCAGTGCTGATCGACTCCAAATGGTGCACAGTAGAAGTAAATTGTTTGAAATATTGATTTTAGCATTTTCAACACTACCTGTATGTACTAGATGTGGTTAGATGTTTTGTTCTTCAAAAATTTGAACTGGATAATACATTTAAAACTGTGTTGCAATAATATTTAATATGGAGCGAAACAAAAAATCTTGTTTGCTAAACAATTTGGCATCGAAATGTTCTGAAGAAGAACAGGTCAAAATAGTGAATTTGTTTTCCATGAAAGAATGGGACTTGATGCAGCAAAGATCTAGAATGAATGTAGAAAGATTGTTTGAATCGTGAAAAGATGTTATTGCCATTTTAAAGCAGTGTGAAAATTTCTGTTGTGATCCATGACGGTAATTTGAGGGTGCTGTTGGTTGGTAATTTGGTTGGTTGGTCATTAACTCAGAATTTGACACAAGTATCATGCTGATTTGCCAGAAATTGGGGAAGGAAAAAAAAAACTTAGTAGACAAAGCCAAATAATTATGGATGATGATGTCCTTCGACTCCCAGAAAGACCTGTAAAGGAAGACTTCGATTTCCTGAGACCCGATGCAAGTGGTAACACGTCAAGTATCTATAGAAACGAATCTTGCAACAGATGCCAATTACAAAATGAATATCTCCATCTGTATTTTATTTTATTTTATTTTAGAAAATTAAAAAGTTTTTCCTTTAATTACTCTAATTTTCAATTTTAGATTTTTTTCAGACAAGTGAGTTTGAAGTGCCACTAAATGTTTTGTTACCAACAATATGAATGACATACTTGTAGAGAGAGAAATTATTTCTCAATTGAAAGAAAAGTTTGAACAGTCTGACACGATAAAAGACCAAATTATGATATTGTCCGTGTTACTTTCTTCTTGGTCTGTGTCAAAAATCCAAAAAAGTTTGATGCTTCCAGTTATTTGATAAAAAAAACAACAGTTGCTCAAAAAAGAAGGCATATTATGTATTCCGAAACCGAAATTAAAAAATGTGTTACCACAAGAAAGTTTGGATGGACACTTGATTGCGTAATTGAATTCTATTCATATCAAGAAAAAAGTCATGAATTGCCTGGGAAAAGGATTTTGTGAGCATTCAAGTAGCTGGAAAGGAGTTCATAAAGTGACAAATGATTTTGTAGAAGATTTAATTAATAAATTGGAAAATCTTACAATACATAATTATATTGCAAATAGGCAGTCCAAGTTCTTTCGTTTTACGAAAGAAAACCTTGGGGATGGAGAAGTTTTGCCTGTCACTGATTTTTCTGAAAATTATTCATTCATTAATCAAGATTGTATACTGAAAGTGTAATGAAATAACTCACAAGCTGCAATTCATTGTTTCGTGTGTTACTTTCAATTCACCAATACAAATATTGTGAAACCTTGACCTTATTATGAAACCCAAACACCTCAACAGATGTTTGATTGGAGCAAACAATATATTTCTTAAATAACAATAAGCTTTACATTGAATGAAGAAATGGCTAAACATAACCTGCAATTAGAAAAACGATTTGAATGTGCAATTTACACACAAGGCATCAGAAATTATCGCACAAGGAGGGCGGTTTGATACTTTCAAAATCATTCATTTTCTGAAGATGGACTATGTATTTATGATTTGGAAACCTATAATGAAACTATGGAAGACAAAACAACTGTAACCAGGTAAAAATTCTGTAAATAATTGTATAAATTATGTGTTTAAAATCCAAGTATTTATACAATTTTAATTTATTACAAAGGAAGGAGAAAACAAAAAAAGTACTGAGCTGTAATCATGAAATTAGATATACTGAATTATTATTAATCTGTTATTACTAACAGTTATTTATTTTTATATTGATAATTAAACACATGTATTTCTAAATTTGTAATGTATTTGATATAATGCTCGTTATCTTACACTTTTTGCAACATTGAATTTAGTTCAACTGTATAGCAGTTGGACTCTACCTCCACTGATGTAGGTATGTTATATCTCAAAATTAATGAATAAGTTTTATGTGCATCAATGAAAAAACTCCAAAAATCAAAAATTGAATTTTCAAGTTTGAACAGCCATATCAAGGTCAACTATTAATAACCGTGCTTGAAATTTTTTCCCTGAAAACTTGTATTATATCACACATTTTAAACTAAAAAACTTGAAATTCAAAAATGGTAATATTGAAAATTTTTCACAGTTTTTAGAATTACGATGTTAAAAACGTACCTGAAGCGCAATGAAATGTAATATCTATTGTTTTGTTCTTAAATGAACTCCAAGGTATCTGAAAAATATGCAAACAAAATTTTCATAGAGAATCTTAACATTACTTTTTATTTACATCAAATTGTATAAGATAGAATTTTTTCATAGTGTTACCACAATACAAAAACGTGTTTATAGCTAATTTGGAGATTGTTGTGAATTTTGTTTGGTGAATATGAAAAGAATGACCCAGTACATAAACCTGCTGTGTGAAAAAACAGGTGGTTATGCCAACTTTCATGGAGATTGATGGAGTTAACCGCTCTTATGTATACCAACATCCATGGCGTGTACACATGTAAAAAGGGATAAGTCACGTTTTTGTCTAAAACAAGTATGCAAAGACATCGCTTTACTAAGAAACTATCATTGTGTCTCAGGGGAGAAGTGACATTTCAACTTTGCCCTTAAACTTTATTGGCAGAATTGAAGTGTCACTTATCCCCCCAATACACAATGATAATATTGTAGTTAGGCAGTGTCCTGGCATAATCACTTTGGATATAAACTTGACTTATCCCCTTTTACATGCATGCCTGCCATATATAGATTATACAGATGGAGATTTCTAATTTGAGATGTGAGGACATGATACAGAAATACATTTATGTATTCATGAAAAAATAGTTTTTAAAAACCTAAATTTAAAAAACCCATCCTATATAATAAATTGATGTATATTATTACATTAAATTTAAAATATTTTATCCATTGAAATGTTCATTTATTATGTTGTGTACCTAGGGGCCCTGTATCTCCAAGTTCAGCCTGGTTTATATACTGCAATTTCGGGAGCAAGCAATCAGTTGCTGGTTAAAAGTAATGAATCCTTGCCAAAAACTTTCACAAGCCAAATGGGTATTGGGACTGCGCCTAGTCAAGGACAAGTTTTCCTGATCTCAGGTATGTTAACTATTAAGATTTATAGTGTTAGCAATTTCACAAAAGATTCTCAGAATACGGAAAAATTGAAATGTATGGAGAAATAAAGGTGTTTAGTCACTTTTTTATAACTTTGCAAGAGCACATTTTGAAGCATTTTGAACAAAATCCAATTTAAAGTACTTCAAAATTTTGTCAGTTAAAAATATTGGAAGAACTTCATGTAATTGTATGTAGAGAAAATTACTAATGTATTTCAATTTAAATATTTTAATTTCGAAGAGTAAACATCACTGCAAACTTTTCTTTTAATTAAGGTGCTCAAGCACATGTTTTGATGTCCTTAATTTATCCAATTGTGGACAATGTAATATTTCATAAAGAAATCCATAATAACTAATGATGCTGGAAGGGCACATACATTTTTGCTATTTTTATAACTTCTGTAATTTTTTAAAATCCAGAGTGTTTCATGAAAAAGAGATCAGTGCCTTCCTTTTAAGCGTCCTAGTTGTTCTCTCTGTAGAAAAAATTTGGATCAATTTTTGTGAAAATGTTTTTCATAATTTGGATCAACTACTCGCAGAAATTGTGTGAAAACTACTCACTGTTTCAAAAAAATTGTACATTACCTTTTTGTACTGATTGAGTTTTTAATACAGTTTTTTTAAGATAAAACACTCTTTTATCAAATTAGTAGTTACCTTTTTGCAACTTTTAGAAATAGTGAGTTCTCTGGAAATGAGACTAGTGCCACTTTTTTTTTAATTCTTTAATATTGAATTGATGCCTTATTTTACGTGGCACAACTCAGGCCATCAGGAGCGCTCTTCTGACTGACTATGCACATTTTGCTATGCACCTTTCACCCACTAGCGAAGAAAGGGAGGTACCATGCAGGGAGGGCAACAGGCGATTTTAATTTAGCTCAGAGGTTTCATTTAGGCATGAGGATCTTTTACATGCAGTAAATCTACTAACATGGGATAGCGAGCATTACTTTCCCACCGAAGGAAGAAGTATGAAGGTTTTTTTCGCCCTTAAAAATCCATGGCTTCGATTGGTTGAAACCCAATTGAAGCCGTGGATTTTTAAAGGGCGAAAAAATCTTTCGTACATCTTGGGTTTTGTGAGTTTCAACCCACAAACGTAGGTATAACAGTCTGATATGATAACCGTTACACTATCGCTGCCGCTAAATATGTAGGAGGAGAAACTTTAAAAATAAAATTTGGAGCAGTTTTTGAGAAAATAATTGTTTGAAAATTGTCTGAGTCATGCAAAATAATGTGAAAACTACTCATATTTTTGAAAATTTTTGTACATGACCTTATTTTAAGATCTGACTTTTAATATCAAATTTTACCAAGGAAGAATTCAGAGTGTTTTGTATTTTGAAGTTGGAATATTCACCAATTCTGATCTTTTGCATTTCTTATGCAGTGCTTATGTTTAAAGTTTATTATTCATAATGCCTCCCTCAATTTATGCCAGTAAGTGCTTGCAAACCAAACTTATGTAAAGAGCAGCATTAGCAATGACTAGCATATCCCAGCATATTATGCTTACCCAATTAAAATTTGAGAAATGGTACATGACTTAAGTAATATCAGCACAACCTCTCTTGACTGATGACCTTGCTTATCCCTCTCGTAAGCAATAAACAGTTGAAGGCAGCAAGCACTGACGACAACATTCCAAACATTAAAACTTTGTTGATGCAAAACTGAAGCTAGTGAAAGGTAGTTCTTTGAAAGTCAAGAACTTCACTTCAAATTTATTCTCAATAATATTTAAAGAAATGGCTGAAGCAGGTCCAGGTCATTCCATGGAGGCGTCTAAAACTCTTGAGAAAGTTAAGGAGACGTATACTAGTGGCAAATGCAAAATAATCAAAAAAGTCGTGAGTGCTTGTGAAATGGAAAAGGGGAACAAGGGCCTGTTTCCTGTGAGTAACACTTTAGATGACACTTCAGGTTATATACTGGAGCTTGTATTTCCACAATTCATAGAATAAAAACAAAATGAACCAATAACCTTTTACAATACCTAGTAATTCTGTAAAATTCCAGGTATTGCCCCGTAAAGGTAACGTTCAAGGTAAACAATTTATCATAGTCATTGTAATTATATTATTTAATTACTATTTCCACCAACTTAACACAGTTGTAAGAAAGGCTGATTTATTATAAGATTTTAAAAAAATGATTGCCTTGTCAGTTACTCTTTTGACTGTCACAAATGATAAGAATAAATTATTATTACAAAATAAGATTTGTCACTTCAGGTAAACAAACTCGGCAAAAACAGTATGCTTCCCAAGACAAGAAATTAACCAGTCATACATTACAATATGTGAGTGGCAATTTTAAATTCAAATCTGAGAACATTTCTATTAAAGATATACTGAAAGCGAAAATAAATTAAGCTATAATGAAAAAGTTGGAGTACATAGAGCACAAATCATAATAATGAATGATTTCCTGAAATTTAATATTCCTTTATTCTTAAAAAATGAATAAATAATTGTCATTAATTTTCCAAAGGTTGGAGGTTACTTAAAATAATCTAGTGTCCGACTTCGTGACTATTACCCTCACTTCTCCTGCATTTCGTTAATCCATCGGTCAAGAAAAGTTGTGCGGTTATTACCAAGATTTACATATTCTTATAAAAAATACTATTAAGAAATCTTTGTTGGCTTTGTTAGGATTATCTAAATTTATGACAATAAAATTGCACACCAATCTAAAATATTTTATATAAAATAAAACAATGAATGAACCAATGAAAATGAAGTAATCTGAGAAAATCATGAAAGGAGAATTTCATACTTTAACCAACGGTATTATAGCAGTTAACAATAATATCCATATCAAATTAACACTATTACAATGTAACAAAACATCTGATAGCTGCATGCATTGTGAAAAAAGGGACCTATGTCACTATTTTGTGCATATTGACTGAATGATAGTAGGGGTAGATGCATCTTTTGGTGTAAAAAATGGACCTCATTCTACCATCACATGAGGAAAAAACTGTACAGATGCAATCTGATTTCATTGGAAGACGGTACCCGAGTCACTGACTTCAATAATTTTTTACAATACAAAGTTGGCAACAATGATGCCTTTGCATGTTGAGTTTGTTTCTTCATCAGCTGCTGCTAGGCAGTGGTTCATCTGTAGTTACCAACTTCGTTTATAAATGTAAATAACTTCTGTGGTAATTATAGATTTTTAAACTATTTGATTATGTTTTATTGAGGTATTTAGAAAATGTTCATGGCAATGAGTGAAACTGAGTCAACTGAATCCCCCTGAAGTGGAGGAAAGGAATCTGTGGTCCTGACAGCTATAAGAGAAGTAACATCAGAGCATCATGGGTTCATGGTTATGAGTATATTGACCATGGAGGTAACAGCCACCCTGCAGATACGTGGATTTGAATTATGATGAAAAGTAATGCATTATTAATGTAAACTAATGTATGTTCAGTCAGTAGTAACTTACAGTCAGGATGCATTATTCAATGAAGTTAGACGATAAACATTTCTATAATTTGCCTAAAGGTGTCCAAACAAATGCTGCAGCCAATTTGAATAGGAATCCATTGTCTACCATTCTGATCTATTGTGTACCAATCTGATCCATTGTCTACCGTTCAACCTATTTTTGCCAAAATGGATATTCCCCAATCGCTCTAACTGATGTCACGGACCCTGGAATTTGAAACCAATATTTTAATTTTGGGGAGTTCTGTACATGAAGCCCCTGGGACATTTTCAAAAAAATGGCTCAAAATTTTATGATTAAATTTTGTTTTTGAGTAGTGCAAAAGGTGTTTAAGAGAACGATGCAGGTCTCGTTTTCGTTGACATTCCCGATTTTTCGAAACAAGGAAGAAAAAAAAATTAAAAATTCAACATTGGAGATGGAGATTTTGCCACAGACAAAATCTATTATTGTACACTATTATCTCTTTAAAAAAGATCATGCACATATTTTGAAAAAAATAGTTTGTGCAGAATGTGCGTTTGAAATTTACACATTTTTTCCCAAAAACTGGTCCAAATTTTTTCTTTAAATTTTCTCACTTATGAAATAACAGGCAGTAAAAAATTTTATGCTTGTCCCATTTTTGGGTATTGCTTGTTTTTTTTAAAAATTGCAACAAAATAAAAAACTTCAAAATTAGAAGACAGAGATTTTTGCCTCAAACAAAGTCTGTTCAGAATTAGCTCTTTAGAAAAGGTCATGTACAATGTTTTGTAAAAGTTGGTATTTTTTGTGTTTTGTTAAATTAATGAAGCATTATGAGTGTCCCGTCATATATAACAATAAGATTGTGATATTGCGAGAAAGCATATGCTTTTGTAGCACCACTAGTTAACTTTGGCCTCTGCAGTAATATCACTTATAACATTTCTGGGTATGTTAATAGCTATAAATTGTTTACTCTAAGTTTTGATTGCTAATTATGTTATTCAAAATTTGAAAGCTAGTTCTATGTAATGAAACCAAGTTGGTGTGAAATTATTCCTGCTTTTCTGTATTGTGTATGCAAATATTATGTATGCTAAATTTATTCAGGATTGTTTCATTTGTAAACGTTAGAAATGACTACTGTTTCTGGCTCTCGAAATTAAATGCAGGTATGCACCACAGTGGTAGTTTGGATTGTTGTATTATACTTTTTCAAGTTATAACTGAATTTTGAATATGGCAGAAATTACAATATTTCAATAATGCGAAAATGAATGTGTTGTAGCACCACTAATTTTACGTTAGAATAAGGGACTAGCTAACCAAAAGATCTAGAAGGGCTCTAAGACCAGATTACCTGCCTTATGTGTCTCAGAGGGCCCCAAATGAGCTCTGATATTGTGAAGAATATGCTAAGAGACATTGCTTTAATGTTCAGGAGCAAGCAGTCTCCCGCCGGTGGGACTCCAGGCAACCCAGCAGCTGAGTGGTGCATTACAAAACAACACGACGCTACTGCTACACAAGGGACCAATCCTGAGCACCATGGTGCCTACACCGACCAGTAACCTCGCAGGACACAAGCCCAAGCAAAAGAAAAAGCTCACCTGCAAAGTTTGTGGAGTTTCCTGCAATGCTCAAGCCAATCTCACCATTCACGAACGCACGCACACGGGAGAACGTCCATACCTGTGCGATGTGTGCGGTGCCACGTTCAGTACCTCGGGCATACTCACAAGTCACTTACGCACGCACACGGGAGAGCGCCCTTACGAATGCAACTTTTGTGGTAAGACATTCCGCCAGAAGTCTCACCTCAATTTACACATGCCCTTGCACACAGGAAAGTACCCACACCGCTGCGATGTGTGTGGGAAGACATTCTTGCAGAACAAGGAATTCACTGAACACAAGAACCTGCACACAGGAGAGCGGCCTAATCGTTGCGACATATGCGGGATTGGTTTTCGTTTGGCGCAAAATCTTCGAGTACACAAACTCAGGCACACAGGTGAATGGCCGTTTCACTGCGATGTGTGTGGGAAGACATTCCCAAGGAAAAGCAGACTCACTCAACACATGCCGGTGCATACTGGTGAGCGATCCTATAAATGTGACGTTTGCGGTAAGTCGTTCAGTTTTTCACGGAGCCTAGATCTACACCGGCAAATTCACACTGGAGTGCGGCCGCATCGCTGTGAACTTTGCGGCAAGGCATTCGTACAGAAATCGTCGCTCGTTGCTCACTCGCGAGTACACACTGGGGAGAGACCATTTAGCTGCGATTTGTGCGAGTCTCGCTTCCACCAACGGGGTGGCCTTGCATATCACATGCGCACACACAACAAAAATCGATCCTCTTAGAGACTCAGGAATGATCACTTGGCTGCCACATGTGCTCTTTGCAGGCCCTTCATATTGGGCATCTCCCTCTCTCTCTCTCTCTCTCTCTCTCTCTCTCTCTCTCTCATACACACACACAGGCCGCATTATGCAAATGAAGCTTTGTCTGATGCTCGCTGATTCATATTGAAGATTGTTTGATATTCACAGACTTGATTCATAGTGATAATTTAGTCAAGAAAAATACCATGTTTTGAAAGTGATCGGCGTTATAAAGCTGTAAATATGGCAAAATAAGCCAAAGGGTTTATTAAGAGAGAGTTATGGATTAAATGTTCAAAGAATGAATCTTACCATGTCAACAGTTATTCGATTTCCAAAATGCTAATATTTTGGAAAGTATAGTTGCATTTTAATAAAGACAACTGAATGCACTGTAATGTTGGATTTGTGCTCTTTACATAATCAAATGTTGGAAAATAAAGAATTTAGACTGGCAATGTGTGGAATTTATTGAACCAATGCTAATATCATTGCTTATACTTGTTGATATGTTACATTTTATGTATGAAAAATTACAAATATTTCAGTGCAACCTGTGATCCCTTTGTCAGGTATACACATTTTTCTGTTTTTCCACGAGATCCTTTTCCCTTTCTCCATTTTATGTAGCTTAGAGAAAGTAATGTGATGCAAAAAAGTCCAACTTTGGATTTTCGCAGTAATAATAGGGCTGCTATACTTCTGTATTTATTGACTTATCTTCCTAGAAAAGTAACAAGCAATAACTCTAGCAGAGAAGAAAAGAATACTCGAGAACTCCTGTCTTCTTGTGATGCTCTAGTGTGGTTTCGCAAGAAAGCTTTTTAAGTGAGTTTTCTTGTTTAACGTTGCGAGATTGGATGAAAAATTGAAGAAAGATACAGTGTCTCTGGTTTGGACAACAAAGTGATTGTCTTTTTTTAAAACTAGTGTTAAAACCTCATCTAGTGATTTCTCTTTTTATTGTTGTACATAGTGTTTGAAATTTTAATTTATATGGAAAAGATGCTTCTGTGATGAAATTAGAAAATCAAGAATTACCAAGAAACATAAACAATATGCATTTAATTTCATGTGTTATGTATGTTTTTGGATTATAGAGTGCGCATGAAAGTGCATAAAAATGTTATTCAAGTTCTTTGCTTTAAACTATCACTGTTTTAATTCTTTTCTTACTTCTTCGAATATGATATCATTCACACTGTTCACCACACAGGGAGCACATGCAGTCTTCTTTCACTTTGTGGTGATGTAAGATTGCACAGATTTTGTGATGAAACCCATGAGTCGCCAGTCTTGTGATCACGTGTCTTAATTTCTGGTTTGTTTCAGTCCATTTCGTTTCCATCTTGGCATCTGTTGAGTAAAATTCTGGCCATATTTTTCTTCTCTTCTTTTTCCTTACTTCTAGCACTAGTGTACTTTGCCTTGTGGATTATTGGTCCTCAATTTTTGAATGGTCCTTTGGTAAGGTCATATACTAATCTTGATTTTGTGTTCTTTGGAAGACACTCTCTTCAGGTATCTTCCCATAGTTCTTTCTATGAACCTTAATCAGCTATTGATAGTTTTTTCTCATATTAATTGTATTCCGTTTGTTATGATTGGGCTCATGTCTGCATGAAATATTTTGATTGCTAATTCTGGGGACCGTTTGTGGATATTATTTTTTATTGAGTACTGATCTGAGCTCTGATCGCGGTTGCTGCTTTTTCTCTGTTTTTAATTTGGAATGAGCTGCCTTTTGTCTGAAGTGTTATTTGCAAATATCTGTAATATTGAACTATTTCAAGATATTAGTTCTAGATTTTTTTTTCCCCTTCCTGCTATTTTTCCTCCTTTTTGAAAGGTCATCTGCGCTGTATTGTTTTGGAGGTAGTTTTCTTCTGCCCAGTTGTTCTGTTCTCTTTTTGTCACGATGTCTTCTTTCAGCATGATGGCAGCTGCGTCCTGGTTGTTATCTCTTCTTTCTTTTTGAAATTGTATCGTTTTAGAACTTAGGGTTTCCATGGTTTCCTTGTTGATTTTCATTGTAAGTCTTTGATTTGTATGAAGTTGTGGTCCTGATATTTTCACAATTAATGTCGTTTTGATCAGTATGTCTTTCTGAGAGGTGTGATTGTTGATGTTCATAGTACCTTTTGAGATTGGGATATTAGGTCCCTTCCTTTGATGTGTACTTGATTTATGAGCAAAGTAAGTCTTGAAATCATTTCTGTTTACTAGTCTGAAGCCATGTTCTGCCATTAGATCTATTACTGTTTTGGTCATATAATCAGGTTTACCCAGTCTGCAATCTCCTGCAATAATGACGTTTTCTTCTTGTTCCTCATAGTTTATCACTATAGAAAGTGTTGCTTCTTCCATAGATGCTTAAAGTTGTTTGTATAGACCAACTATTGTTACTTGCACTGCTGAAATGATGATCATATTTTCATCTGTTTGTACATGTATTACTTTGCCATGTGGTGGTAGACATGATACTCCTCCATAGGGTTTTCCTCTTTCTTTTTGTTTTGCTAACACATATATGTTGAATATCTATTGATTCTGTGAGGAATGTTTCTGTGAAAATTATTCTATGATTTTCTAGTGTTTCTTTTGCGCTTCTTACATATGTATTAAATATTCTTAGTACACTTGGAAATTTTTCTACCCTCCACAACAGTAGGCAGACTGGTGTTCTTTGTCCATTGTTACTCTTGCGGTTCGTGGGCTTCCATTACATTATTTGAGTGTTAAACAAAGTTGATTTCTTCTTGTCTATTAGCATTGTGCCTGGGGAAGCGAAAGGGCCATACTATTACACCTTGTGACCAGAGAGCCGGGTTTTCAGTAGCTGCCTGATGCTCCATTGATAACCCTACTCTGAAGGCCTTGTTCGTTATATTTTTATTCGTTCGTATTTATATATTTTAATTTTGAGAAGTACTTTACATGAAGCTTCTCGGGCATTTTCAAAATTTAAAGAAAATGGCTCCAAACTTTCTGATTGAATTTTGTTGATCAATGGTGCAGCTCTAGTATACGGTGGCGTCCCCGATTGTTCGAAAATTGCAAAAAAATTAAAACTACAAAATTGAAGATTGAGATTTTCAGATCAAAGACTGTGGCAATAGGTTAGATCTCAAAAAAAGGTACTAATTATGTAATAATTTCTTGATAAAATCTAGTAGTTTTTGCGTAATATGCTTGAAATTTTCAACAACAAAATTCTCAAAAATCGCTCCAAATTTTTTCTTTAAATTTTCTCCACATGTGTAATAAGGGACAGTAAAAAATATGGTGCTAGTTATATTTTCGGGTATTGCTCTTTTTTTCAAAAACTGCTAAATGATTCAAAACTATAAAACTGAAGATATTTTTGACTCAGAAAAACTTTCCTGTAGAAAATAAGCTATTTGAATAAATAATAAACTTGTGGTTCTATATAACGGCACAGACTTCCCCACCCTAGTACTTTCTAATCTCGTACTCTTGACTAGCTTTCACGGCAAACCTAAAGGCCCATTCACAATGCAAACATAAGTATGGCGTTAACATAAAAGTTAGGACTACGTCCATAAGCGGACTCATTCACAATGCGTTCGCATAAGCATAACACGTAAGATGTTAACTTAAAATCTTGCAAGCTTCTGTGCTTATGCTTAAGTAAGACATAAGAAACGAACCAATCACAGTACGTTAACTCAAAATCGAAAATGGAACGAAGTCGATAGAACGCCATATGGGCCATGAACACAGTCGACACCTCAATATCGATTCTCGCATCCAACCAATAGTAAACCAGAATGTCTCACAGCCAATAGAAACTCTTATCTTGCTTACATTTATGTCAGACATTGTGAATACTTCAGTTTATCACTTATGTTAATGTTTACCAGGACATGGAATGCAGGGGAAAATCGATTTCAATGGAACTACTCGTTTCGGGGTCACCTGATACCAAAAAATTTCTTTTTTAAACGTCCATCTATGTCACAACACTAGCGCCTAATACGTACGATTGTTTCGAAACGGATATTCCCCGATGGCTCTTGCTCGACTCGAGGCGCTGCGATTTTGAAAAGCTTCAAAATTTGGAGGTACTTTACACGAAGCCCCTAGGCATTTACAAAAATTCTCAAAAACGGCTCCAAATTTTTTCTTAAAATTTCTTGTAAAATAGAGTAAAATAAACTGATAAATGTGGCATGTATCCGATTTTCTCTGAGTATTCGAAAATTTTGACATATTTTCTGGCGTCTTCCTACAACTACAAAACTCAAGATAAAGACTTTTCGTTCAAATCAAATTTGTTCTCCACAGTGAGTTCTTTCATTAAGGTCAGGTTCGTTTTTTGAAAATATTAGTAGTTTTCGTGCAATATTGCGAGCAAAAGGTCCAATTTAAAAAAATAACAAAAACAAGATTTTCTCAAAAAAGGCTCCAAATTTTTTCTTTAAAATTTTAGTAGGGATAGTGCTAAATTCACTCAATGATAACATACACGCCGTATTGCTCTATTCTTTTATTTTTTCAAAAATTACAAAAATGTAATCTAGCTTGGCTTTCATGTCGTTAATATTTGTATTAGCGGAAGTTTGTTCACATTATATTTATGAGTACATGTGCTTTAAGTAATGTCATAAATTTTCTCAAAAACTAACTGTTTCCTATGAAAACTATCTCAAAATTCCGTATTTTCAGAAACGCTCAAATCCTGTGTTCTCAAAAACGGATTCAAATTTCTGAACTGATAGTGCTAATTTCACCATGTAATATAACGTAAAGTTCATTTTGAAGCATTCTTTCTTATTTTCAAAAATTACATAAATGTATTTTTTTAAAGATTTCACGCCATTAATACGCATATTTCCAGCAATTTGTGAACACTTATATTTTTAAGTGTTAATGTGTTTGAAATGATTTCATATGAATCCTACTCGATACCGTTGAAGTATTTCTTGTGCGTGTAGTGCAACCATTTATTTAACGTTTTTACATGGCCTACGAGCGTTGTATACCTAATTGTGGTGAGAACTAGGATGGAAACGGACCATATGTTCTCTTGTTTGTTTCACGATACCTTTAGAAAAAAAATGCATCTCTGCCTTCTTCGGCAAGACTGCCATGGAACAAGCGAATGTAAGTATTCACATTCTTGTTTCTGTGACAAGTTTGTGATATAATCTACATTATTCATGCTCTTGGAATGGTACCACGCCATACGTATCTATTAAGCACTAAACGTTCATATTATTATTATTATTATTATTATTATTATTATTCAAAATTTATTTGTCTGATTTTATATCTCGGCCCTCAAATTTCAAACTCTGCTATTTTGAGTCAATACACGTTTATGGACAACATAGTTCAAGAAGTGAAATTATTTTTCTGAAAACATGAATTAAAAACGAAATGTATTGAAAGAGTGGGCGCATATTTCTTTTCTTTTTTAATTTGTTGCGTCTATATCGACGCAACGCGTCTCTTTAAGGGGCGTCGAGCGCATCGTGGAGAAACCCTTCGTTAGCCTTTAATTGGAGTAATCTAATTCTCCGTTATTAATCATCCAGCACCCTCTAAGAGCCGCTATGTAGTCAAGTCACGTCAGTCGCAGTTACTAGTGCATTCAAGTTCTAAGGTCTCCCGTATTTTTATCTAACTAATCACCTAAAAAACTATGAAAGTGGCGTTACTTCTCGACATGATCGCCCTGCAGACGTACACATTTTCACAACGTCTACGCAATGATTCCATGGCAGCGGCAAAGGTTTCTTTAAGAGTCTGTTTTGACCACTGGAAAATCGCTGAAGCAATAGCAGCGCGGCTGGTGAATGGGCCGCCACGGAGAGTGTCTTTCATTGTTGAAAAAAGCCAAACGTCACTTGGAGTCAGGTCAGGTGAGTAGGGAGCATGAGGAATCACTTCAAAGTCGTTTTCCCGAAGAAACTATTGCGTAACGTTAGCTCGATGTGCTGGTGCGTTATCTTAATGAAACAGCTCACGCGCAGCCCTTCTCGGACGGTTTTGTTGCAGAGCAGGATGGAACTTGTTCTTCAAAACATTTTCGTAGGATGCACCTGCTACCGTAGTGCCTTTTGGAACGCAATGGGTAAGGATTACGCCCTCGCTGTCCCAGAACGTGGCCACCATCATTTTTTCAGCACTGGCGGTTACCCGAAATTCTTTTGGTGGCGGTGAATATGGGCTTCCATTGAGCAGACTGGCGCTTTGCTTCTGGATTGAAAAACGGCACCCAAGTCTCATCCATTGTCACAATCGACGAAAAGAAAGTTCCATTTGTGCTGTCGTTGCGCGTCAACATCGCTTGGCAATATGCCACAGGGGCAGCCTTGTGGTCGTCCGTCAGCATTCGTGGCACCCACCTGGATGACACTTTTCGCATTTTCAGGTGGTCATGCAGGATTGTGTGCACAGAAACCGCGAAAATGCTAACACTGGAGGCGACCTGTTGAAGTCATTCGGCGATCCCCAAAACAATTCTCTCCACTTTCTCGATCATTTCGTCAGACCGACTTGTGCGAGCCCGAGGTTGTTTCTGTTTGCTGTCACACGATGTTCTGCCTTCATTAAACTGTCGCACCCACGAACGCTCTTTCGACACATCCATAACCCTATCACCACATGTCTCCTTCAAAAGTCGATGAATTTAAATTCGTGTCACACCACGCAAATTCAGAAAACGAATGATTGCACGCTGTTTAAGAAAGGTAAACGTCGCCATTTTAAGTATGTAAAACAGTTCTCATTCTCGCCGCTGGCGCTACAATTCCAACCGTCGTACAGTGTTGCCATCTCTGTGACGTATTGACAGATCACGCGCGCTCATTTTAAAACAATTCACATGTTCTTATTTCATTCCATTCTGCAGAAAAAATCGGAGGCATTAGAACTTGAATGCACCTCGCAAGTCAAGGAATCGCCGATAGGTAGCGTCTTCGCGCTCGGGAAGCCTTACTACTCGCGTCTCCAACGGGAAGCCTTACTTTCACAACCCGGAGCACACAGCTCCCCCCCCCCCTATCAATCTAACCTAACTGTGACATCACGGCTCGGCGTTTGCTGTTGGCCATCCAACACTAGCATCGACGTCACTCTTCGCCAAGCACGTGCGTCGTGCAGGCAGGCATCCTTGACTCTGACTGAGTTCTTTAGAGAGAAGGCCTGCGAAGCGGCCGGAGAGAGGGAAGCTGCCGTTGTTCCCACGGCTGCTCTCTGTCCCACGGACTCGCCGCGGATAGCAAGCGCCTGAGAGACGCGACGCCGTGGCAGAGCTGGGCGGCCAGGGAGGTGGCGCACAAGAGCCCAGCGGGAGAAATAGTTGAAACATAAAATATGAATTGCACCTAAACTCCAAGCCGAGTGTGCGATTAGATATAAACTAGAATACTGGTACCGCGAGTTCTAGCAACTTACGTTTTGAACGTTATATCTGGCAGGTTTTCTGACCTTATCTTTTCACACAACCAAATGCAACACCAGTGAGCATGGTCAATTACACTTTTAATAAACTGTCTAATATCAATAGATGATCACCCTACCACGCGACAATCTCTTCTAAATGCATACGAAATAAAATTCAGCACTTTGTCACACACGTCAACAGTACGCAGCAAACCAGAATTGGGTTGTACCAATATGGCCGCCGCGCGAACTCACCGGCTTCATTGGAAAACCATAGAGTACCATAGAGGAGAGATACCATAGAGTAGAGATATATCTCTACTCTATGTAGAGTACCTATTCTCTATGTGGAAGTAGAGATATCCAGAATCAGTGACTTTTTAGTAGATCGAGGGCAGCACCGTCGCCTCTGGATGGCAAGCGGCAGGCTGTTGTAAGCCGTGAACACGAAATACATGTGTCGATTTTCTTTTTAAACGTCGTGTTCATTCATTGGGGGATTTTCCTCTGCAAATAATGGTTTAAAACGTTTTTTTTGTTTAGGTACACATTCTCGCAATGAGATGTTATTTTTTTCTCTAAAATAAATTTGTATATTCACGATAACCAAATTGTGTCAGATAGTGGACTGAGGCATAAGGGGTCAGGAGAGACAGTAAGGTTTTTTTAAATGCCCCACTGTTTCCAAAAATCAGAAATGTTAAAATTATATCACCCTCGGGACAAAAATCTACTTTGAAGCAAGAAAAGTTAGATGATTATTTCAAGTCAATAGTAGGTTGCAGATTCCGCTCATCTTCGTAATTCGCAATTCACACGTCTAAATATTTTCAGGTCATTCTCAGATCTTTCACGTGAAAACGTATGTAGACTTTCCACATTTTTGTAATAATATAAACAACGCACAAATGAAGATGACTCTCAATAAATATGCTGTCATTTACTTGCATAGCCTGAACGCATTGTACATACACATCTAAGCTAAGACATCTTTTGAAGACTTTAGCTGTGTAAGAGCTAAGCCCAAATATTACGTAGGTTACCAAATCAACTGTTTTCTTCAGCCACCAGAGCTATCAAGTTGTATCCCAATTGTCTTGCGAGGAATGGCATCAAATGTTCAGTAAAACTTGCCAGGCTGAATATATTGAAAATACGTTTCATAAAAAATGTTAACATTAAAATCATGGGGGATAATAAGTAATATTTTAACAGCGTGATTTCAATGTTGAAATTCAACCATCAAAATTTGAATTCAGCACAGGAAAATGCAAACATTAAAAAAAAAATTAAAAGTGCAGTAAATGTTGTTTTTTAATTCCTTGCAAGACAATTGGGATTTCGTGTATTTATTACAGTAAACACATTGAAATATTAATAGTTAAATTATATTAAATTCTGATGAACTTAGTGTTGAAAGTGTTTCCACTCTGTGAAAAATTATGAACATTTTTGAAACTGTGTTTCTGAACATTCTGGATTTTTTTTCAAACGATTATTAAAGTTTTATGTGGGTAATATTTCTTTCAATGATAATAATCAATACAGATTTCTAAAATAAATATATTAAAAGCAGAAAGTTTTTTAATATCTACGTCAGAAGTCTCTTCTATGTTAATAGTTCAGGGGCCCAAAATTAGTTGGCAATTTTCGTAACCGATGAAAGGGCACGTAGAACCAAATGTTTCATACATTTCATTTGATTATAAAGCAGCACCTTAGCATCATCGCTAAGGTCATGATAATATTTACTTCGTTTAAAAAAATAAGAGATAGTGATTTGACATAGTATGTTTATAAAATGGTGCTTTTTTAGAGACAATTTGTCGACAAAAGTAAAACCAAACATCGTGACGTCTGGACATCTCTATGTATCCCCTTTGGCGAAAGATTGCTTCATTGGATTGCTCTGACGTGCCACGGTATAAAATAAGTAAGTATTACTATAAGTAAGTATAAGTAAGTATAAGTAATACTATATCGCAGCTATCGAACCCGATGGCTGGGGGGTAGTATTGAGGTTATGGGAACTTTATTTATACTCCATTTTACTACGTTTACCGTTGTATACGTATTACTATTATGTAATGAATATTAAGTACAGATAATGTATATACAACTACATAATGTATACGGTATGATATAGTACATATAATATGATGTAAAACGTGGTTTGCTCACCCTGATGATAACCTTAAAACTAGACCTGCAGATCTTTTTATGTACATTGCGTTAATAACTTTTAAGTTAATTATATATAATGTAATACGACTAATACTCTACATGATAACCTAGACCGGCCAGGGTACATAATGTTATTTTCATTACAGGATGTAAATAGTGTATGGCCTATGTATTTTTATTGCCAATTAAAATAGTTACATTGTATTCAGATAGGTTGATGTAGATCAATTTATATTGCAATTACAATACAAACTCTTCTGAAGAGAGATTTCTTCCTTATACATACTTCTTATAAATGATTTAAGAAAATGTGGTTTTTGCATTATTTCAGGGCAATTCAAGTATGGCTGAATCAGTTGTAACTGTAAATTGGAAAGACCACACCAGCGAACTTGCTACAGAATTTAAAAGTTTATTAGATACCAATTCTTTTGTTGATTGCACTATATCTGCTGAGGGTCAGAGCCTGCAAGCTCACAGGCTAGTTTTATCTACATGCAGTCCTTACTTTCATGTAAGTAAAGTGTAATAATTATTTTTCTCATTTTTTGGCTCTTTTCTTTTTGTTTTACTTTAACTATAGACATTGGAAGTTTCTCAGGTCCCTAAAGGTCTTTTAGAACAGAAAAATAGATTTCAAGATGAAATATATCTTCTAAATAACATGTTCATGGTTAAAATTTTAACATTATTTCAAAATTTGGTTGTTTTGAGATTGTCAAAAAATGCATTTGTCTTCTAACGAATTCCAGTGACACATATCACAGAAATGAATTGGAAATTTGTGAAAATTATGAAAATTAATCACATTTTGGATAGCTAGTAATGGAGAATTTTTTTATATTCATATTAGTACAGCTCAATTTTTTCAACACAGTAATAATATTTATTTGTTAAATAAACTTGTCAACACTTGCATACCTTCTTTAAATGTTTTTACATTTTGGGGCACATGTGGCTTCATGAGACAAAAACTGCAAGATAACTTTTTTCCTTTCTCATGAAAACTCTAAATTTTTTTAGGTATATGGGGATACAAAGTAGCCATCAATAGTTGTCTGTTAGTTATTAATAAAAGTACTTCTTGTTCCAGAATTCTTTTTCTTGAATTTTAATAACAAGATTAGTGTTGTTTTTTCAGTGATTAATAATTTATTTTTTGGTGTACACTTTCTCTATGCAATAAGTTTGTTTTATTATTTGCTTTGATTTTCAGGGCCATATGCCATAATGAATACATATTTATTTGTGAATGTTCATCTTTAATAAATCCATTTCATGTTTTTTAACTCCTTTTTTTGTTCTTTTAAGTTCGTATTGCCTGTTAAGAACAATAGTGTACAAACTTCAAAAAGCCCTTATGACATAATTGTATATAAAGTTTTTCCATTGTTTTTCATTTACATCTTCACTCAAATATGACTTTCTAGCAGAAACAAATACTCCTAACAGTGCATGCACTCTAACACTCTATGCTTCATAAGAGACGCTATTCACAAACACTTTAGCCTCCCCATTATCTCTTATTTTAGAGTTTAGTTCTCAGCATACACTACAAGTTGTTTCTTGTTCTTATAGTGCTTTTAATTTTATACTTCTTATTCCAAGGTATATTTATGCATGTCATTTGATTGATTCCGAACTTTGAACATAATTTAATTAAAGAGCACCTTTCCCATTTGGTATCAAAATCAAACCTTGTGTTGTTTATACATGTATTATGTGATAATTCTTTACCCTAGTAGTACCAGGAGTAAGCATTTTTTCCCTAGCTTCTTTTCTTTTTCTTTTTTTTTTTAAATTTCTTTTAATAGTAATATTTACAAAATTAAATAAAAAAATTAACATTTTGTTTAACACTTGTTACCATCATGGTAAAGTACCACTACAGCCCCCAATGGTACAGTGTGTTCGGTAATGTGACCACTTTTCTTAACATCTATTGTTGCCAAACCACAGGTATGCCGGGGGCACCACAGTTGATGATTAACTAAAATTTGAATGATTGATTTGATTTCATGAAAGTTGAGTAACTTGTCTTGAAGGCTGGGAACCATCTATTGTATTGCCTTTCCGCCAGTAGAGAAGGTTCATTGAAAAATATTTTGTTATATTGATAGAGTCGTGTGGAAATATTCTGTAACTGTGTTCAAAATAACCAATTTAAAATGTAATGTTTTCTGTGTACTGTATTCAGTTAACATTTGGAGACTTCACTATAGAAATGAGAAGTTAATCTAACAGGAATTGTGTTTGTCATCTTCTGTCTGCGTCTTCTTATTCACTTCTACTTTCCGACAAGGATTATGAATGAAAGAAAATGAACAATATAAGTGATAATTCTCACAGAGTAATGAGGCCTTCATTGATATTAGTTTGTTGTAGAAGCTGTCAGAAAATTCGTTTACTGGCCTCAATGCTCAGCATTTTATATTGCCACAATAATAAACCATCAGAAATTAGACTTTATTTTTTATTATTTATTTTTCTTTGTCATAATTGTTTTGTATTAATGTAAATGTGAATTAACTCATTGTTTAAGTACTCTGAAGTCAATCAGAGAAGTCAATGAATTTTATTCATTTGAATTGTGGTTTATGCATATTTAGTACTTTTATGTATGCAAAAATGAGCAGAAGCAATATTAATGAGTTGTCACCAAGTGACAGTGAAATTACTTACAAGTTTGTCTATATGATGCTGATTGAGTGTGAATTGGTGCTAATTTATCCATTGTGACAATGTCAGTGATATTTTAATCTATCAATTTAAACACCTATTAAGGATTAAGGTTGGATTCATCGAAGAGCCAACTATTAGATTACTAATTATTACTTTCTTTATTCTACAAATGCAAAAAGGTTAAAATAAGTATACCAACTATAGTACTGTATATTACTATTATTATTTTCAAATATTACAAAATGTTTCAAAGTAGTTGATGGAATATCCTTTGTAAGGTGAAGTGGTTCTGGTTTCTGCCACCATAACTATCAGTAGCCAATCAGAGCTGAAGGTCTGAGCTCTGGCCCTTGAAGTGATTGTTTTGGAGATGAAACGCTAATCTTTCTTACCGTTCTCCTTCTGCATTATTCTTTATAGAAGCTGTTTTGTGAGGAGACTGAAGATCATCCACTTGTAATCCTCTTAGATGAATCATTTCAAAATCTGAAGGCAGTGATTGATTTTATGTACCTTGGGGTAATTCAAATTCCACAAGGCAACTATGGAGCATTTGTGACTCTTGCTAAGTCCCTGGAGGTCAAGGGACTAAGTCATGTTGCTGTATGTAGAGCAGTGGTAGATTTTATAGTTTTTACTAATTTTTGAAAACTTTATTACATATGTTGTTTTCCTTTTTCTGAAAAAGAACAACCCACCTGGCAGTACTACTGAAAATGTCCCTCGAGATCCTTCTGCGAAGAATCAAGTCATTGGGGAAGTTCCAGCCATTAATGCTAGCCAAAAGGACAGATCTGAAAATAACTCTCAGAAGATTGCTTATCATTCAGATGACAACACAGACCTTGTGGATACACATTCTCCTGTGTCCTCTAAAGGAAATAGTGCCTTGTGTGATGTAAGGCCCAAATCAAAGATCACACCTTCACGAGAACTAGGGAGACCGCAAGGTAATGATGATACATCTGTAACCATGGAAATAACTGTTGAAAGTAAAATTTGAATGCAATAACAGACATTTGCTTACATAAACTGCCAATAGGGTCTTCAATCAAGGGGGTGTTAGATGTTTTCAAAACACATGTTTCGTTCATATACATGGAAAAGCAATTTTAATCTATTTTACTAGTTTAAAAAAATTTAAAATATATTTAAGTAAACTTCAGATAATTGATATTGGAATATGGACAATAAAAAACACAATTTAATAAGATGCAGGTTTTGATTTGGTTGTCCTTTTCATGATTAATTCTGAATTTTAAAAAATTGCAAAAGTTTGAATTTTTTCCACGGCTTCCTCAATTGAAGATAGAGATTTTTCTTTCAAATAAAATTTGTTGTCCTTGTGAGTTCTTTCATTAAGGTTATGTATAAGTTTTTGAAAATATCAGTATTCACGCAAATTACAAAAATGTATTTTTTTTATTTCTCTCATATCGTTTATATTTACATTAGTGGCGATTTGTTCACATTATTGTATTTATAAGTACATGTGCTTTAAATAATGTCAGGTAAAGTTTCTGGAAAAACTTTTCTGTAAAAACTTATCTCAAACTTTCGCATTTTCAGAAATGTTCAAACGCCATTTCCTGAAAAACAACTCCAAATTTTTCCTTAAAACTTTTCATATGGGAGGTACAAATTGCAATGTTTAAGATGACATAATAGCCATTTTCTACATTCTTTGTTTTTTAAAAAATTACTCAAATGTATTTTCTTTGAAAGATCTCTCACAGCGTTAATATACCCATTTCCAGCAATTTGTGAACTCTGTTGTATTTGTGAGTTAATGGGCTTCAAATGACATCTCATGAAGATTTTCAAAACCACAAAAATTTATATAAAAAGGAGCTTCAAATGTCAAATTTACAGTAGACTTTAAACGCCGTTTTCTTAAGAATGTCTCCAATTTTTTCGAAGAAAATTATAATTTAGAACAAGCTTTTACTGTTCTTTAATATTCTTAAACTAATATTTCCGTTGTACTCTTAGGAAACCAAATTATTAAGAAAGTGTCAAAATAATGTTCTTTGGACGGCGATAGATGGCAGCTGGCAAGAGTAGTCCGAATAACTAGCTGAGCCCAAAGGAAATAGAAAAATAATATGGAAAAGTCTATGCCATTCTGAATCACCTCTAATTTTTCTTTTGAATAGCCAGGAATAAATACAGTTGATCCAAGATTATTCCAATATTTTATTCAATGAAAATGGTTCAAGTTTTGGAAAGTTTGATCTCTCTCATCAGCCTACAATTGAAAATGTATTTATGATATATGTTTATGACCATTATTTAATCAATATTATAAATATTTTTGTTTCTTCATTCATGAACTAATATTATAAATACATTTTCTGTTGTGGTTTGATGAGAGAGACAAAACAGTCCTCAAATCGTCGACAATTTTCGTTAAATGAAATACATTTCGGTGTAGTGTATTTATTTGTGGTTGTCCAAAATTTTAAAAGAGTCTGAGAAAATATTAGAAACATAAATAACATAATTATGTTGCAATTAATAATATTGGTTGGACCAGATATTTAAATATCAGGTGGAGTATGCAGAAACTCGCCTCTTCAGCAAACCCTTCAGCCCCTATATTTATTTATTTAGTTATGGTAATATTCCTTTCAAAGATTGTAGTAAGTAAATAAATTTACAAGTATATAATTTGTTAATTGGAGTGTCACAGAATGATTGTAATATACATCGGGGTCAATGACAAATTTGGCATTTTGGGATATGCTCTCGTGATTTAAAATATAAAAGAAATCAATGAATATGAAATAGACAAAGAACAAATGAACTTTAAAAATAAACTATCAAATATTTTGGGTAAAATGCAAATTGATTAATCACAGCTATGTCATGAAATATAAAAGATAATTTTTATAGCAGAAAACAAAGTATATCAAAGAGTGTTCAATTATATGTTTAAGGCAATATTTCCCCAGGGGTGGAATTTTGTAGGTTTACTGTCAAAAAGTCCACTTCGTCACACATTTCGTGTCACAACTTCAAGTCTGAGACCGTTGAAAATATCGCAAAAAGTGCAAATAACTTGTCCTCTGCTTGTTATATGGAATCGTTTGTGAAGTCTGTATGTGCGTATTGATAGAAAACACATTTGGTTGCATAGGCTTGCTTAAGTTATCTAGGCTATCTGGGACGAGCCGCGTCACTGACATGGTGGCCGAGTAGTATGCTCTGAGGAAGTCCACAATACGCTGGCGGAAATGTCAGTGATGCGGCTTGTTCCGGTTAGCCTAGATAACAGAAAACACATTTACCAGATGTTTTTTTGCATTAGCTCTGAAGATGTACAAACATGAATCTGCATGAATATATGTTCCGTTCGGAAGAACCTTTCTCTTTCTTGCTTCTGCTTGTAGCAGAACTTTTTACTTTCTTATTCGTGAAGAGTAATATTATCATGCTAATAAGCAAAAATCATAACTCTATATTCCCTCCTCTATTTTCTGTTTACTTCATGATGAAATATAATTATGAAAGAAGAGTAATAAATAAAAGTAAATAATAAATCAAGCATCTTAAATAATTGAGTTCCCTAGTATTGCGAAACTGTTCAAATAATTGAGTTCCGAGGAATGTTAATTAGTATGTTGATATATTGCAGCATAGAGAATGTAACGTAATGCTGCAAAAAATATCTGTCGAGATTTTAATGGAAATTCATGTACTTGTAATAGCAAATTAGTATTGTTTAGTTTTTTGTTCTTCTTTTAAATCTTGTGTATGTAGACTCTCCACCTGTGAGCAACAATAGTGTCAAAGCGACTTTTATATTTTTTTTGAAAATGAATTTTTGCTGGTAGTTGTGGCCCAACTCCAAGTGTGCAATTTTCAAAAGAATTTTTTTAAGTTTCGTGAGTATGTGATGTGAATCTCTGCAACAGTTTGAAATTTTCTGAAAAATAGCTACAATTTAAAAAAAATTTATTTCTTGTAACAATGTTCTTGTAACATACATTGATAATGGCATATTTTTGCATAATAGTCATTGCATGATACTCATTTTATCAATTTTTATTTATAACTTTTCTGTGTTAATTCTTTGTGTATAGTATTTTCCTGATAATAAATAAATAATAATCTGATTGTTAGGGTTAACTCTGGATTTTCAAAAATTGCCAAAGTTGAAATTTTTTTGGGCTGCCTTGTGTATCTACATTGTTATTGAAAATAGAGATATTTTTCAAATTAATATACCACAATTAGTTCTTGTGTCATGTTAATTTTTGGAAAAGTTTGGTAGTTTTTTGAACTTGTTTCAAACTTGAGTGAAATATGGGCAATATTATAAACAATTTTCTCAAAATGCCCTTCCGCTTTAAAGAAAAGTAAGGCTAGTTCTAAATTATCTGGTTTACATGATAAAACGCCATTTTGATGTATTCTTTTAGCTTTATCTAGGCCTGCCCATGCTTTCACTGCCCATGTACCCATATGGCTAGGTCATTTTCTTCGTGTGATGTTTTAATATCATTTAACCAAAAACAGCAATTCCTCTTAATTTCTGGGTCTTATTTGAATCTTTTAACAAGAGATCATTAGATATACATTTGTTCAATGAATTTCTGGAGTTTGTTTCTTTTCGGGTGACATGCATATGTTATTCAAGGCTCTGTAGGGTCTAATTTTTTGTTGAATTCTGAACGATGGTGACTTTCTTAGGTAAATATAGGTCCTGTTCTGGAGAATACTGTTTCTGAGGTCACAGAGTAAGTTTTTAAGTCAAAAATTTTAGTTTGGAGAAAACTAGGGTTAGATTGACTTGAGAAATTTTACCTTTGACTTAATTGACTTCAGAACTTTTATCCCGTGACCACAGGTTTGTTTGTAATAGAGAATATCATATTATATGGATTTATGAAAAAGCTTGAGAGAGCAATGCAAGAGAAATGTGTTGTTGCCATTTGGCTAAAATGTGCAAATAAAGCGTACTTTGCCTCCAAGAGGTTCATACATATCTATCGTCACTGCATTTAAGTAATGATATAAACCTAATTTGAAGCCAATATGTTTTTGTTTTTTCATTTCTTCAAGCCCTCACAACTATTTTTGAGACACGATTACTCACGTGTTGTATTTTTTACATTAGAATTTTTGGCATTTCTATGTTCAATAATATTTTTCATTCTTATAACAATTATTTGAGTGTTTTACATAACTTAGAATAACAATGAGAGAACATAAACAATGAAAATATTGCCCGCAACATTTTCTTAAATGTCCTACACACTACCGAACAAAAAAAATAATTCAAAAAAACATAAAGAACCCCTCCAGAATTAAAATATCGGTTTGAAATTCAAGGAGCCGTGGCATCATTCAGATCAATTGGTGTGTATCAATTTTGGAGAAAATCGGCTGAACAGTTTAACCGGTAACGTTGTTCACAGACGGAAGGAGAGACTGAAGTTTTTCCGACATCCGAATTTTTGAAATCAACGACCCACACAATATGGATTCTGCCCACACCACGTGTTAGAAGATACATTTTCCTAATTTAGCAACTGCATTTATCCACTTTTTTATTACACTTTTATAATTAAAGGATCTGTTGGAAAAATTAACACCAGAACTTACATGTTGCAAAATGAACAACAGACACTCCTTTATTCTCAAATTTCACTCTCAGAACGCAACAAACAGTAAAGGTAACCTCTGTTTCTGCCATAACAATGAAGTATTCATGAATACCTAAAAGGAATTCACTACTGAAGCGCAGCATTTCATGTAACTATGAAAAATCTTACATTAATGTACTTTTTACAACAGCATGAGTGCTTGAAGGTTAATAGAGGATTGAACAAATGTTTAAATGACAAGCAACCCCAAAAATTTGGGTTTGTTTTTTGCTACAGCAATGAGTTTGATGTCAGTGATCTGTTTTCCGATCAAGGTGTAAGGCTAATGTCACTAGAGAAATATTGGTGAATTCTGTTCAGATACTGAATGCAATCATTGAAGTTGTCGAAATGCTCTGTAATAAATTATAAAATTGAGGGAAACATTACATTAAAAAAAATTAGGCAAAGAAAATAATGTTCCAGATCATAAGAAATTCGAAAGTAGAGCATGTGTTTACTAGTATTTTTGAACTCAAGATAAAGAACATAAAAATACAGAAATATAATTATTTTTGGAAAAAATAAATGTCGTTTGCTAGTACGTTGTACTTTTTCACACACCTCTGTGTCTCTCCGCCTCTCCCTCGCTCTCTCTCCCCCTGCCTCTTCCTCCCCCTCGCTCTCTCTCCCTCTCCCCCATCTCGCCCACGCTCTTCTCTCCCCCTCTCTTCCTCTCCCCCATCTCGCCCACGCTCTTCTCTCCCTCACTCTCTCTCCCCCATCTCTCCCTCTTTCTAGTCTCTCTCCCTCTTTCTCTCTCTTCTATATCTCCATCTCTCCCGACTCTCCCTCTTTCTCTCCTGTTTCTCCCTCTTTCTCTCTCTCCCGCCTCTCCCTCTTTCTCTCTCCTCCGTCTCTCCCTCTTTCTCTCTGACCCTCTCTCTTCGTCTGTCTTTCTCTGTTTCTTTTTCTTACTTACGTGCACCGTTGTCCTAGCATTCTATGCCTCGCTCTGCATCACACTCAGACAACAATCAGCAATATGGACGCCCAAGTGAAGTGCAGTTTGAATGGACATTGAATTAAAATGAAGCGTAATTTTGTTCTGCGGGTTCATGTAGTGGAGTTACACCAAAATGAACAGCACATAATCTTTGTATGTGAAAAAACATGTAGATGTTTCAACTTTTGTGCTGATTGATCACACGGTGTCAGAGTTTACCGCTCTGAGCAATATCAATTTTTATATAGTAAGATTAAGTTCTCTATGCGCTCATTGTAGCCATATGGCAACAGTTCATAAAAAAAAGTAAATAAATAAACTAACGAGAATAAAATGTCCAGAACTTGATTTGATGTCTTCTGATGTTTCTCTTTTTCAATTTTATGCCCAGCTCCTTCTATGAAGAATCAAGTCACTAGTGAAGTTAAAGGCATTAATGCTAGCCAAAAGGACAGCTCTCAAAATAATTCTCTGAAGATTGCTCACTGTTTAGATGGCAACACTGACCTTGTGGACTCATGTTCTCCTCTTTCCGTGAAGGGAAATAGTGCCTTGCGTGAATTGAGGCCAAAATCAGTGATGACACCTTCACAAAAACAAGGAAATCCTCAAGGTAATGATGATACATCTGTAGCCTTAGGAATAACTTTGGGGAGTGAAAATTGTATGCAAGGGTGGACTTTTGCCTAGATAAATTAGGCGGGTGCCAAGGGGTCAAAGGGGGCCTCAGATGATAGTAGTGAATAGAGCCTGGAAGTTTGGCAAAATGTTTTTTATTATTGTGAAGATTGTATGACTTTTAACAACAAAAATTGCTAATTGTACCTCTGGAGTTGTTTTAATGGGTGTTGCTTTTGCCTATTTTTGGCATTTTCCCTCATTTGTATCCTTTTTCATAATCATTTTCTCTTTTATCACCATGCCACCTATCTCTATCAAGCTGGAAACATGCCTGCAATCCTGGGCAAATGAAGATACAGTCATGTATTGTCTTTCTGTAAACATGGAGGCTCCAGTATTCGGTTGTGTTAAAAAACATAAAAGGGAAAGGAATGTGATAACAGTGAATATTTTTAAGTCTTGTTTTCTCATGAGGAATCTCATTCTATGTTTGTGTATAGCCTCTGATCCCTTTTGAGGATTGACGGTATGTTATATACCCTTCTCAGTTCCTTCTTTTTCTCTCTTCCCTTTTGTGGATTACACAAGTGTGAAGAATGAAATATACAATTCTGTTTTAATTGAAACCATTGAAGATTAAAAAGCGACTACAATAGCGTTTCAAAGAGACAGTATCGCAAATACTGTTTAAGTTTGTTTGTTTTTTGTCTTCTTGCGGGAAGGTCAGGTCCAATCAAAGTTAAAAAGGAAATGTAGTTTTCTTCCCTGTGGGCGCTAATGTAAATTTTAGAGTTAGAATAAAAATGTGAATAATTTTAATTATTAATTTTTAATGATAATGACTTTTAAATGTTGGTTTTTTAATGTTTTCAGTGTTATTTACTCCATTCTTTAGCCAGAAAAAATGCAATTTGGCCTGCCTATTTGAGGTAAAATTAATGCATGAACTTCCAGGTTCTAGTAATAAACTGCAAAATGGGCTCCAGTGAAGTTTTCTAACAAACTCCTTTTTTTGTTCACAAATATGGAAAAGCAATTTTAAACCATTTTACCAGTCAAATTCATTAAAAAAACATTTAAGTAAATCATATGCTTCTTAGATTACTTAAATTATGGAAAATAAAAAATACAATTGGTAACACTTCATAATATTGCTTGCACCAGACTTATGGCACAATGTGCAAGAACCTGTCTCCTCAACAAACATGCTCATGTGTTTACTTACTACATTAGAGTCAATGACAAATTTGGCATCAGGTGCTAGGCTCTCATGATCTAAAATATAAAAGAAACAGATCAAATAGATTAAGTACAAATAAGCCCTAAAAATAAACTTTCAACAAATATAATGGGTAAAACAGTAATACAAACAGAAGTATGTCGCAAAATATCATAATATGAACACAACTATGTCTCAAAATGTAAATGGAAGAGTTTTTAGCAGAAAATCATATATTGTTCAGTTTTGTGTTTAAGGCAATTTTTATGTGGTTGTGGAATTTTGTAGTGTCCCTGTTGTAAATATCAACTTCGTAACAGATTTCTTTGGCTTCGTGAGATATTCTGTTGAAAAAGTTGAAGTACAAATAATTTGTCCTGCTGCTTGTTATGTAGAATGGCTTGTGAATCTGTTGTTGCGTATTGATAGAGAACATGTTTTATAATGGGTGATGTTCTACACCAGCTCCCAGGACATAGAAACCTGAATCTGCAGGATTATATATTCTCATAGACAGATATATATTCTCCGTGTACCTTTCTGTCACGTGCACACGTTTTCCTGAGTCCCAGAATACCTACCCCTCTCCTTTACTAACAGTTAAATTAAGAATAAATGTTAGCAATGAGCATTGAAGACAAAATCTGTATATCAAAAATGTTGAAGAACATACTTCAGGTTCACTATAATAGTTCCATTGTTGAAATAACCAACCCTCTACTTTGTTCAAGTCTTGTAAAATTAGGGCCCCCTGAACCTGTGTGTGGATAATAGGTTAGGACAGATTTACTGCTTACTTGAGTCGGTGAAGGGAACTGTTGAACTGGGCTTGTGGCTTATATTACCAGTGCAAGACCAGCTGTGTTGAGAATGCAGATGAACACCATTTTGGTCCTGTGAGTTCTCGTTTTTGAAACCACCACATGAATGTGGCACTGAATTTTGAAAGTAAAAAATTTGTTTTGTGTAATTTTCCCATTTGGGGAGTCACTTACTTAGGGTTAGTTTTAATTCTCTGTTTATTGTGCTGACTATATATCGCCTATGAACAAGTTCTTATTTTGAATGTTAAAACTATTTATTAGTAAGGCCGGTGAAGATGGTCTTCTTTGCATCTCGCATCAATAAACAACCTGCCTGCAGTTCCAAGTGTACAAGATGCAACATATACTTCAAGTCTTTTTTAAATTGTATTTCAATTGATTTTCTGCAGGGGAGATGCACATGTCCTCATAGAATACACTTTAAGCCAGTGTAACTGGGGAGGTGGCTAAATTTCTTGGTACATAATGATGGTTGGTCTTGTGTCTGTTTCAATGCCAACATTGCCTCATCGGCAGTGGTGTGTACACACACTTCAGTGGGTGAAAGATTTTATACAGAACGGAGAAGAGAGGGTGTCAGAAATGACAATTTCTATGAATGTATTTTTTCGATTTCAGACACTTCTTTAAGTTAGTGGAAATTAACTACCAATTTTTTTAGAATGTATTAAATTTATCAATTTTAACCATTTTACATAAAAATCCATTGAAGCTACTACTTAAAACTAAATATAACTCAACATCATCATTATTATTATTATTATTATTATTATTATTATTATTATTATTATTATTATTATATAGCCATTATACAGAAGGAATTTACAAGTTTGATATATGAGAATATGATTCAGAAAAACATAGATGTATTCCAGAAAAAACAGTAGTATATAAAAACCGAAATTCAGTAAACTCCTTCTGAAGAGTTATTAGTTATTTTATATTATTACTTTAATGTTTTAAATGTTTTGTCCATTTTATTGTTTAATTACTAAAAAAGTGGAATTCAATTTGTTGTTTATCTAGGGATCCTGTATCTTCAAGTTCAACCCTCTTTATATGCTCCAATTTTGGGAGCAAAAAATCAGTTGCTGGGCAAAAGTAATGAATCCTTGTCAAGGAATATCACAAGTCAAATGGGCGGTGGGACTGCATCTGTTCATGGACAAGTGTTCCTGGTCTCAGGTATGTTAACTAATAAGATTTGTTTTCTAAGCAATTTCACAAAAGATTCTCAAAAGGAATATAGAAAAATTAAAGGGTAGGAGTATTAAAGGTGATAAGTCATATTTTTTAACTTTTGAAGGAAGTATTTTAAAGCAAAGGAAACCCAATTTATAGTACAATGTTTTTACTGCCTTGCTCTGATTTTGTAAGAATATATAATATTGTAATCGTATGCTGGAAAACGGTAAATTGTCAACAGAAAACCACTTATTGCCAGGCTTTAATAAAGAAGTACATAAGTCTCATATAGTATATTACTTCCTCATTACATTGTGTAGTCAATGTAAATAACGTTGTGTAATCAGAATCCATGTTTTGTTGGTCCATGTCACGAAAATATTGATTGACGGCAAAACGTCTGTCCATCCATTCATTTGTGGTCAAAGCTACCACCTAAAATTTATATTTTATTTTATTTGTACAATCATCCAATTTTGGTGTTATATTTAAATACATAAAATAAGTGTATGAAAAAAGAAATATTTAAAATACTGATGAAGAACATGATAACAATGATAGTTTCTTTTTGATTCTACTAGAACAGGGGTCTCGAAACAATGAAGCTCTATATGTGTGTTAATTATTACAGATGAAATGTCCAGAATTGTGCTCATATGGGTTTTAAGAATTAATTTGTGAATTGTTCACTGTTTTGTTGTTCTTTAATTAAAATTTAATGTAACAAATGGACAATAAATTCCATGCTATCGTGAAATTTATTCGCCCCCAGTAGAAGAAAGAGTGGAGACGACTGTACTATAAAATGCACCATGTTGAAACTTCTTTTAGCTGTTGAATTAGTATTCTCATCATTTTTAAATGATTTTTCAAAATCATTAAAAATATTGGTCAATTACCTGACAATCAAAAAGCATATCTTTATTGTAACTCTAATTTATGTTCATCAGAGTTCGTTCAGACTTTTCTTTGCGGCTTATATAAATAAACATACACACATAAAACTCTTTCTCACTTCTCCCCTCACCCCTCTCTCCACTCTCTCTAGCTATATTTCAAAATTTTTATGACTGTCAATTACTAATATTGTTATTGACAATTCCAATATTTTTTGCAATAAACGTACAGAACAAATATATTTACTGTATTTTGAGTATTCCAAGTACTTGAAATATGTATGTATTTAGCAAATCAAAACCTAATGTATTTTAAGTATTTAAATACTAAATTCAAAGTATTTTGCCCAACCCTGCATGTAAAATATATTATCAGGAGAGAAATAAGAATGAAGGAGTTGTGGAATGGAAGTAGAACGCTTTTTGTATTCAGTATTTGAATAAAAAAATGATGTTATTTTGCCTATTTTAGCAGTTTAAAGTGCCTGATGTTCCAGTCTCTAATCATTAGGGAAAGAATGCTCTTCAGATAGGATAAGAGGAAAGTGTGAGAAAATAATCCCGTCTCAGATGCATGGTAAAAATTCCTATCCTCGCTCCGAGTGTCTGTGTGTTACTCCCAACCGAAGCGCAAAGCAGGGCGCCCTGTCATAGCTTAATGTGTGCTCCTGCCCCTCGATCAGGGCAACTTCGGTATTTTTTTCGTTTAGAATGACTGGCGAAGAAACAACTCTAGATGGACTCCTAAGCCGGATTACCTGTACGGTGTCGCAGGGGGTGGGGGGTGAGCGCAAATGAACACAGATTGTGAAGTAAAAATACGCTAAGAGACATTGCTTTTATTTTCAGGAGCAGGCAGTCTACCGTCAGTGGGGCTCCAGGCAGCCCAACAGCTGAGTGGTGGATCACACCAGAACACGACGCTACTGCAGCTGCCAGTCCATGACGCCACGTCCAGTAACCCCACCGGTCACAAGAACAAGCGAAAGAAAAAGCACGTTTGCAAAGTTTGCGGAGGTTCTTTCGTTTCGCAATGCGAACTCGACATTCACAACCGCACACACACTGGCGAGCGTCCGTTCCTCTGCGACGTGTGTGGTGCTACTTTCATTAGGCAAAGCCAACTCGCGAGTCACTCGACCATACACACGGGAGAGCGGCCGTATAAATGTGACTTTTGCGGGAAGAGGTTCCGCCAGAAATCAAACCTAAATTTACACCTGCCCTTGCACACGGGAAAGCGCCCGTATCGCTGCGACGTGTGCGGGAAGACGTACGTGCAGAAGCAGGAATTCATTGAACACAAGAACCTGCACACGGGAGAGCGGCCGCATCGCTGCGACATATGTGGGATTCGTTTTCGCAGGTCGCATAACCTTAGAATACACAAGTTTAGGCACACGGGTGAGTGGCCGTTTCGCTGCGACGTGTGTGGGAAGACGTTCGCCCAGAAAAATAGGCTCACTCAACACATGGCCTCGCATACTGGCGAGCGTCCATATAAATGTGACGTCTGCGGCAAGGAATTGCGAACAAAATGGTCGCTCGTTGTTCATGCGCGTATTCACACGGGGGAGCGGCCGTATGGATGCGAATTGTGCGGGGCTCGCTTCTTCCAGCAGCCTAGCCTGAAATATCACATGCGCACCCACAACAAAATTCGACCCCCTTAGACCATCAGGAACGATAATTTGGCTGTCACGTGTGTTCTTTGCTGTCTTGTGGAACATCTCTTCTCCCGCGCGCGCGCACACACACACACACCGAATTATGCGGAGGAAACATTATTCGACGCTCGCTGATTTATATTAAAAGTTTGTCGACACTCGTAACTATCGTAACACTGGAGTCATAGTGGTAATTTACTCAAGGAAATGCAAGTACATGATGTTTTGAAAGTCGTCGAATTTTTAAAGTTGTAAATATGGCAAAATAATGCAAATTTCTCTGACTTCAAAGGGATATGAGAAAGGTATTACGTTCAAAAGAGTGGATGTTACCATGTAAATAGTTAATTTGTTACTAAAATGTTAATATTATTGACTTGTGTGCAGAAAGAATTGTTATTTAATGTAGACAACTAAATGCACTTTAATGTTACATTTGTGTTCTTTACATGATTGAATGTAAAAAATAAAAAAAAAAATATATTTCAATGTGGAGAACTGGTTGAACTGATACGTTATTTCATATGTTTGTAAACAGACTATATTTTGTAATGTCTAAAATACGTACTTTCATAAAAACAAGTTTAATACAATCTTCCACAGATACAGAGTAACGATTAACAAACGAGTTCAATAATGTTTCCAATAGATGTACCGAGAAGTACCGCCGCATTATACCCCGGCGGGGCTAAAGGTCCGCTGGCTAGCCGGACGATGACGGGCTGTGCGGTGTTTAGCTGAGCGAGACGGCGCCGAAGCGGCTGCTTCTGTCGTCCTCTCTTGAGCGGCGTTTGATCCCTCTCGGCGGTTTCTTCAAAGGTGCGCGGGCGACGAGTACATATTTTATATACGAAAGCATTACGCATATTTCAATACATCCTCCGATCCCTGATCAGGTACCTTTTTTTATTAGTCCATGAGATCCGTATACCCTCTTATGTAAAAAACGTAATGTAATGCTAAGGAAAACTGCAATGCCAGTTTAAGATTTTCATAGACTCAATAAGGTGATGCCAGACCTGGAAAATAGAGAATAGTCATGAAATTATTGATATTAACTGGAAAAGTTATGAAAATGACATTTCCTTGGAATGTTTTAAATTCATTTAGTTTCGGTTGCTTTAGAAGCAACTAATGGCATTAGCTACCACTAGTATTTGCAGCATTTTACACGTTTAAAACATGAATTCCAGTAATATTTTTTAATGTTTTTCCAGTAATTTTTATTGTTTTATTATGTAGTTGTTTGTTGGTATAATTTATTTAGTGTTCAATGGATTGATTAGTGATTCCAGACGCGTCAACTGCCAAGTTTGTTATTCCCGTAAGTGAAGTATGAGAAGTGATATTTCCCGCTGGATGGCGAGATCCGGCGCCGACCTACATGTTGGCGTGCGTGTTTTCTCTAACCATGTATCTCCTTGAAGCGGGGACAAGCTCTAAGCTGCTGACTGGTCTCCCAGCATGTGTGGTAGTGTAATGCGTGTGTGCCAAGAGAGGATAGAACGAGGCAGGAAAGATCGCGCGCGGTCCCTGGCTCGCTTGTTAGGGTATTGCTCCGGAATTTGCCCAGTGCTCAAAGAAACACGGAAATGACATATTCTTGGATTTACTGATTTTTTTTCTGGTTCAGTACTTATCGATATTACCAATGCGACCTATATTTTATCCCTTGGTGAGGGTAGCGATTTTTGTGACGTCACCCTTGGAGAGCTTAGATTCCTATATCTTATACTATTTACGCATTCTGTGTACATAGTGATTTGCGCAGACTAACGAGCTTTATTTGCGTAATTACTAATTCAATAGTCGCTCTCGCAGCACATCTAGAAGTGCTATTAATAGTTGCTTGATACCTATGAAGATTGTTTCTTATGCGTGTAGGGAAAACATTCATTTAACGTTTTGCCGAGGTTCACAAGTGCTGTGTATTATCCGCGCACTTTCTCTCAAGCCCGCGCTTCGTTTGTTGCGGGAAGAGTGGAGTATTTGATTACTTTGACAAAAGGAAGATTATATCATATTTATAATTCGTTTTTCGCTCAAAAATAGTTTTTACTACACAGGAGCGAACATTTCGGTTTATCAGATTTTGTCTACAACGCTCGTTTATTCTTAATTCAACCAATGCTGATAAAGGAGTGGGCGTTGGTATGTCGGTGCTTAAGAAAACGAGCGCGTATAATACCTAATTGTGGAGGGATGTGGATGTGAATAATGAAGATGTGTCTTCCTACGTTTGGTTTGTGTTTTACCTGTACCAGTGTTTTCGTTATAAGCAATGATTGGGTAAGCATTCAAGTCAGCGTGTTTAGTGACGTAGCTTTCTCAAGAAAAAAAAGCGTTTTTTAATATTTTTGTGACTATTCCGAAAACCTAACTGTCATATTAGATCTTTCTTTAGTAGGCCGTATTGACGACCAGTGTGAGGGCATGGTGTGATGCTGCCCACGTATAAGCTCTCGCTTGCAGGAAAACGATTCCTGACAGGCAAGAAAACCACGGTCTATCACGGAGCGATATTTAATTCGTGTCCTGGACATGGAGCGCGACGCCCCTTCGCCACTAATTCACTCTTACCTGTCGTCGCGCGCGTGGTGCAAGCGAAATATCTTCATATGTTGGATAACAGTTTTGAGGATAAAATTATATTCACTTCTTTTCGGTGACTGGTGATCTTTTCCGTGAACCACGATGATTAAAAATCAATTCACAAATTTCAGTAAGTTTGATTTTAATAAATTATTTCCATTCTCCTTTCCTACAAATTATGCTACATATACATATGCTGCAGAAACCGTAATATATGGCGAAATAAGCAAAATAACATTCGTCAGGAATATTCTAAATGAGCAGATTCGTATAGATATGTGATCATTTTGCAAGTAACAGCACAAAACATTGCACACAAATTCGGCTCTAACTATAAGACATGCAACAGTTTCAAATTTTTTGTAAATATTTCCAATTTTTATGTAAGAAATATTTAAAAAATTGTATTTACAAATTGTGTTAGAGACTACACCCTGAAATAGGAGATGAAATTAATGCTTGGACCATTGAAGTAACAATGATTACAACGAAAAATATGTTCAAGTTCTGGAGATAATGAGCGTAATTTGAAGCAAATTAAGCTATATGTCACATCCAATAACAAAAATACAGTAACAGGAAAAGTTGGATAACAATGTATACAACTACATTGTTAACAACGTGAATCCTTTGAACACAGTGGATGATCCACGTTTTTCGAAAATTATTGTTATATTTTATCAATATTTCTCCTTTGCTGAAAATTTTGAAGTAAAATAATTAAAACGGTAAACATCTTGATTGTGAAAAAGTATTGTATATAAAATATATTTTATAGATCCTGAAAGTAATGTCACTGTTATGTCCCGTCGAACTTTGGGCGGAAAATTGGAAAGAATTTTACTTAAAAAAAAATTAAAGAAATTCTTAGCAACGTAGATAACATGTCCACAACAGCGGATGTGCGGTCAACAAAACAGAAGTTTTCTTGGAATGACAGCTCATTGTGTATAGTGTTTGTTTTAACACGACAAATATATTTATTTCTAAATTCTTTTCATTTGCTTATTACGTATTTTATTAAATAATACTTGATTATACATTTTCTAATTCAGATCGAAGATTCTAGAAAGAAGTGAAGTGTTGTCATATACTAGACTCAGAAGAAGTCAAACTCATGACAAAATAGCGGATAAATTATTTGAAATCAATAGCAACTACAGTCTTGACACATGTAAATTAGTATCCACAGTAATGGATAACGCTACAAACTTTATGAGTGTTTTTAAATATTTCGGCGTACTGGTGGATATTCGGCGTACAGGAGTGTGTCGGTGGTCAGCAAATTTCAGGCGTGCACGCAAAATTTATTTGAGGGGGACGACAAGCGTGCAGCTTAAATGTCATCTGCCGCCGGCATTGAGATCGTCAGGGGGAGACGGTCCGGGTCGAATGGATGCATACGGCTTACTAATTTACTCTTTGAAGAAAACACCAGTCATGTCCTTTTTGAGAGGTCTGAGTGACGACGTTTATTTTAAAATAGAAAGGCACAGCCAAACTTGCAATACCATTGTTCAGTGGACTTTTATATTTTTTCTTTCGTACTCCTGTTATCAAATGCACAAGTTTTTATTTTTATATAGATGGACAAACGTACGTGAGTTGAATAACTCGCCTTGAAGGATTGCACGAACACGGGGTAGCCTCGCTGGGCGGTTCCAGTCGCGGCGGCGCTGCAGTCTCTGCAGAAGGGACGGCACCGGAATAGGAACAAGGTGCTCCTTTGGCACTCACTCAGGGTCTCTCCGCTGCTCGCAAGCCATGATGACAAGTCTATATCGAAAATTATCAGATTGGGCCGACATGCGTCACCCCTCTGCACTTCGTTAGCTGATACGACAGACCGCACTCCTTTGAATGCTCTATTAACACCGGCTTAACCAGTTCGTCGAACGGACTTAATTCCAAATTTTGACTGATGACGGACGGTCGGATTGCATAGATAGAAGAATTATAGTTTACAGTTGGTGTACAAGATCCATTATTTAAAAAGAAATTCTTCATAAATCTGTTTCAATATCCTGTAACGAGGTAATATTGGTATATGTCTGCATTTAAAATTCCCGCTAATATTGTGACGCAAACTGGTGTTCGAAATTCATTGGCTGAAGTCAGACACAATGCTTGAGAACCACCCCACCGTTCACAATCATGCGACATCTAGCGGCAGGACTGAGAAAGACGCGAAATGCAGTGACAGCTGGCGACAGCCACAGCCACAGTGGAATCAGGCCCTGAGAGGCAGATTTATAAAAATCGCACGTTACTGCAGGATGTATCGTACCGTACTGTCGTGTACCGTACAGTAACATATAGCGATACTATACACACGTAAATTGCCAACCCTGACAATAACCGGCAGTGCTTTGTCGCAACAATGTATACTAATAATTCTTCAAAGTATACAAACCATTGCGTTGAAAGCAGAAGCCCCCGATCATATTGTTGACATTGCGTTGTAAACTTTTAAGTAATTTGTATATAATGCGCTCTGGATGATAAACTAGACCAACCAAGGTTACGTTGTGTTGCTTTTATTACTACTAGTAAGTTGTGTCATATTTATATTGTAGTTCTGTGAGGTGATATAAATTTATATTGCAGTTATGGTACAAACTATCCTGATTAGAATTTCTTCCTTTTACATTCTTTTTATAAATGATCTAAGAAAATGTGGTTTTTGCATTGTTTTAGTGCAATTCAAACATGGTTGAATCAGTTGTGACTGTATGTTGGAAAGACCACACCAGTGAACTTGCTACAGAATTTAAAAGTTTATTAGATAACAATTCTTTTGTTGATTGCACTATATCGACCGAGGGTCAAAGTCTGAAAGCTCACAGGCTAGTTTTATCTGCGTGCAGTCCTTACTTTCATGTAAGTAAAAGTGTTTTAATAATATTTTTTTGTCTTTGCCCCCCCCCCTTTTTTTTACCTATTGGCATTGAAATTTTCTCAGGCTCAACGTGCCTTAAAGGTTTTTTAGAGCAGAAGAATAGATTGAAAGATCATTCATTGGCTGAAATAGTTTTAGAACTAAAAAAATTAGGTGATGAGATAAAGAGTTTGAAATTTTCACATTGTATTGAGATGTGTTATTCTTGCATTCACGCTTCTATTTTTTGTTGTTGGAATTCTGTACGGTAAAATTTTGCTGTTGCTTCTGGAAGGTAGACTAATTCGCAATTCTGTAGAGTGAATTAAAATCTGTATTTTTTGAGTTGTGCCATTATTGCGACCTATGAGCGAAATAAATATTGTGAGTAACATTGATTGTTAATTTTAACATTATTTCAAAATTTGGCCAATTTTGAGATAATGTTTCTCAAATTATATAATTGTCTTCTAATGAATTCCAGTGACACGTATTGCTGAAATGAACTGGAAATTTATCAAAATTATGGAAATGAATCATGCTTTTGTAAGCTTTAATGAAGATTCTGCAGTGTTTTTTATTTTTTCATTCATAATAGTACACCTAAATTTTTTAGAAACCTTATTTATTTATTAAAATTGTGATAGCCTTTACATAGTAAAAATACAAATTCAAAAAGAATTAAGAGTAAAGCATGTGTAGGTATAAAATATCAAAAAGATCTCATGGCCCAAAAGTAGTGCTAACATAAGCACAAAAGAATAAAAATAAAAGGAAATACAAGCTTACAAATTTCACATAATCAGAACTAATTACAATGTCTATTGAAAAATCCTTGAAAGAAGTTATTTCCAGATGTCAAAATATCATAAAGAGCTTCCAAGCTATTCTCCAAACCACAAATGCAATTCATTTTCTTATTACCACAATAGTTACTGGCCGAAGTGTCAACTAAAAAGGAGGCCGTTCTCCGTAAAGTTTCGCTTTGTTACTGTAAATGGTATGCAAGAACGAATGTCTGCGCAGTCCGTTCTATCCAACAAAATATGAGCACTCTTTCTTCTACAATAAAGGTTATTTAATTTAGATCTTAGGAGAATGACATCATATTCATGATTGTCTGGGGCCATTCTCAGACGAATTCTATGGAAAAAATCTTAGGAACTTGTGTTGAATGTCTTTCAATGGCTGATATATTCTATTTCTTATATGGGTTCCAAATAGGCAATGCACATACAGGAGTTGGCCTAAGAAGTACTCAAGGAAGAACCAAAAGGGTCATAGTAGATCAAAATTGCATAGAGTTCTGTAGGACATTACCCCATCTTTCCGGGGCTTAGAAATAACGCCCTGAATATGATTTCCAAAAGTCAGCTTACCATTAAATGTGACATCCAGGTCACTTATGCAATCAACTCTGCTCAAAGTTTCATCTACAAATTTTATAATCTGTTTATTATTTTATTCCTTTTTCTAGTAAATGACATAACAAAGCATTTCCCCACATTTAGTCTCGTATCATTTTCTCTGCACCATGTCTGCACATTGCAAAGATCTCGCAGCAAATCAATATCATCGTCATTGTCAACAACCCTATACAATTTTGTGTCATCCGCATAAAGCAGCCATCGACTATCGGACATATACTCTGGTAAGTCCTTTATAAAACGATTGAACAGTAGGATGTGAAACTTGCAGAAGCACAGTCACCTTAATGAAAATCATAAAAATAACGAGAAATCTATCTACTCTGAGGTTGATACGTAATGCCAGGCAGTTTAACAAACAGCGGAGGATGATACATATCACAGGGAATGAGGGAATCAATGGATTGCACTGTATAATAATTAGAAAATAAAAGGTCCAATAAGTTACCTTTAACCCTTAAGTGGTCGCGTGGTTGACATATGTCACCCACTTCCTTTATTTTCCTCAGAACTCTCTCCCTCCCCCGAACTATACCTCGAGGAGGCCGGTATCTGTCCATGCGTATCTGAACTTGAATGCCAGTTTTTCAGAACTCACTCAGTAGGATTCTTCACCTTGATCCGGTAACATCTCTTGGCTGGTTGACAACTGTCCCCCATGCGACCATTCTTGTAACCTTTTAAGGTAAGTGTTTATTTATATTAACATTTTATTTTCTGCTTTTATTATGTTTATTAAGTAAATTGTTCTTTCCTAAACTTTTCTTGGCTCACCCTACGCACATTTTGTTAATTTTTTAATTTGAGTTTTGATTTTGTTATTTTTTATTGATATAAAATTTTTACCTCTATTTTCAATTACAATGATTTTATAACTACACGTTTTTTCTATAGATTACAATGTTCCAACAAAAAAGAATGAGAAGTGAATGTTCATCAGATCCAAAACTTTGGAAGAAGTGGCTCGATGAGTTATTGAATGAAGAGGAAGAAAGCACTTCCGAAGAATCTGATTCAGATGAAATTGCTCACCTAACTGAAAGTGAGCATAATACTGATTCAGAGCAGTCATCAGACGATGACGGCACCTCTGATGGTGAGCCAAAAAATTCAGGAAAGATGGAAAAACAAAGTGGATGAACAGTTTGCCTACACAAAATTCTAAAACCCATGCAGAAAATATAATAAAGAAGCTTCCTGGTGCACAAGGAATAGCCTTGAAGATGAGCTCATAAATAAAATTACATGAGCTCTTTTTTTATAGTAATGGTTATGACATAATTGTACAGTCAACAAATGTTTACATAGACAATCTGAAATGTAAATATTCATGTGAAAGAGATGCCAGGCCTACACATGAAACAGAAGTTCGAGCTTTGTTTAGGCTTTTATATTTGACAGGGAGTTATGAAATGTCCAAAAAAATTATGGGACAACTGCGAAGGCAATGGTTTAGAGTCTTGTTATCTTTCGATGAGTAAACAAAGATTTGCTTCTTTACTTAAATGTTAACGATATGATAATATACAAGACAGAGCTTTTCGTCGAGAAAAAGACAAATATGCTCCTATCAGAAGTTTTTGATATAGTAAATAAGAATTACTCTAAGTATTTTATTGCCAGTGAATATACCACTATAGATGAGCAACTATTAGCAATCAGAGGCAATTACCCTTTCAGACAGTTCATTCCAAATAAGCCTGCTAAGTACGGCATCAAAATATGTGCACTAGTGGATGCTAAAATGGTATACACTTTCAACTTAGAAACATATGTTGGTGTTCAGCCAGCAGGACCTTATCGTTTGAGTAATTCTCTAATGGACGTTGAGCTGATTTTGGTTGGACCAATAAAAGGCTCGCACAGAACTGTAAAGGGAAACAATTGGTTCAGCAGTATACTGTTGGTCAAAACATTGTTAGAAACCTAAGAGCTCGCGTACGTTGGTACCCTCCGTAAAAACAAACCCGAAATCCCTAAGGATTTTCAGCTAAACAAGCATCGCTCTCAGTTCTCGTCAATGTTTGGATTCCAAAAAGACTGCACACTTGTTTTTTACTGCCCGAAAAAAAATACGGGCAGTGATTCTTATATCATCTTTGCATCATACTAGTTGCATTGATGAAGAAATGGGAGACAAGTGTAAGCCTGAAATTGTAACTTTTTATAACAACACGAAAATTGAAGTAGATCTACTTGATCAGCTTATTGCTAAATACAATGTGGCGAGGAACACACGTCGATGGCCAATGGCTGTATTTTTCCACCTCTTGAATATTTCTGCCATCAACGCTGTTTGTATTTATAAATCAAACACAAAGGGATGCAATATTACAACTACCGATTGAATTGAGGCGATGAGCATTTATCCTACTTGGCACTTCAATACAAGAGCCAGCCTCCACAGCCGCCAAAGGAAGAGAAGGTGATGCTGTGACTGTGGGCAACGAGATAAAACGGCAAGGAAATGGTATGAAAAATGTGAGAAATTCATGTGCAATGATCACTTGAAAAGTGTTTGCAAAAATAATTTTTAGTAATGTAAGTTTTCTTTTCTTAGTCTGTTGTTTCTCAAGTAATTGTATGTTTATTTTTAATTGTTTTGCTGGATTTTACAATATATTTCTTCAACTTTTTATGACTTTTATTTATTTAAAACTTTTCTAGACATCAAAATGGAACACAAAGCTAATAATTAGGTAAGTATATTAATTATAGAATGCTAAAAACAACCGAAGGTCTGTGGGTGACACTGGTCAACCATGCAACTCTCCATGTAAACATTAGAGGCATGACTACCATATGGTTAATACAAGCAATCCTTCATCCCTCTATATCTGATAAATCTGTCTACAAACTACTTCTTGATGAGAACCAACACCATAACTGTGGCCTAACCCAAATTTGTGGGAGATAGGGCTCTCTGTGGTAATCAGGTCTTCATCTGCTTAACTTGAATGTGTAAAACATTCTGTGTGTTCTCAATAATACTATTTACAGTAATTCCAGAAAGCGATGTTGCACTCAGCATATGATTACTTTATGTTGTGTAATATTGGCCTATGTGCCATAGGCCATTCTTTTATCCAAACAATCAGAATAATATTTGTTTATTTTATTGATAAAACTTCAAATTAACTTATGGATCAATTCGTGAATAATATTAAAAGTTAATTAGACTAGGATTGTAAAGAAGAGTTAACAACTTTGATGGATTTTATACCATTTTGGTGCCGTCCATTTTGATTTACTATAAATGACTCATTAATAATTTAAAAATATCATAAAAACTCTTACAGTACATTAATAAACTAGCTGATAATATCACTTAACTAAGAATTAAATGGGCTGTTAAAATTTACTTCTTTATTATTGAAAACATCAAAGAGCTTCTTAACTATCATATTAATAATTATTACTTTATTTTACATTCACAAGAAAGTAAAAATTAATAACATCCAATACTTCTGCTGATTACTATTATCATTTTCAAATATCACAAAATATTTCGAAGTTGTTGATCAAGCATTCTTAGTAAGGCAAAATAATTCTGATATCTGGCGCCACAACTATCAGTAGCAAAACAGTACTCTAGATCTGAAGTGATGGTTTTTGAGAAGAAAAGCTTAATGACTGAAATGCAGTTTGTGATCCAAAATGTTCACCCACACAGAACAGAAAACAAACAGAATGGATCTTGCGAGGATTTATGCAAGTGCTTGTGGAGAACATAAAGAATATTCGCCAAATGATTTTTAAGGTGAGTATTGACATAAAAAGCATGGGTAATTTGGCATAGGACAGACTCAAGGATGTTTTATGTTATTGCGAGGGCCGAAGGCCCGTGCCTTGGTATTCAACTTAGAACTATGTTGCAAAGCATCACAATTCCATGCGTGTAAACAAATCAGATCATAAAGTGCATTTCTACAGAGCTAATCTTTCTTACCAGTCTTCTTTTGCATTGTTCTTTGGTGGCAAAATGGTTCTGATATGTCCCCATAACTCAGTAGTCAATCAGTGTCCTTTGTGAGGACACTGTCTTTGAAGTGATGGTTTCAGAGAAGCAAAATTAATCTTTCTTACCTTTCTTCTTCTGCATTATTCTTTATAGAAGCTGTTTTGTGAGGAGACTGAAGATCATCCACTTGTCATCCTCTTAGATGAATCATTTCAAAATCTGAAGGCAGTGATTGATTTTATATACTGCGGGGTCACACAAATTCCAGAAGGCAATTATAAAGCATTTGTGACTCTTGCTAAGTCCCTAGAGGTCAAAGGATTAAGTCAGGTTTCTGTATGTGGCAGTGGTAGAATTTCCAGTTTTTACTTATTTTTGAACACTTTATTTCATGTGTTGTTTTCGTTTTTTCGAAAAGGACAACCCACCTGCCAGTACTATTGCCTCTCAAGATCCATCTGTGAAGAATCAAGTCACTGGTGAAGTTAAAGGCAGTAATGCTACCCGAAAGGTCAGCACTGAAAATAAAAATTGTCAGAAGATTGCTCACCATTTAAATGGCAACACCAACCCTGTAGACACACATTCTCTTGCTTCCTTTAAAGGAAATAGTGCATTGCGTGAACTGAGGCCAAAATCAGTGATGAAACCTTCACAAGAACAAGAAAGTCTTCAAGGTAATGATGATACATCCTTAGCCATGGAAGAAACTGTGTAACTTGAAATTTATTTTAAAAATGAGATATTAATTGTATATGGACAGATGCTTTTTTTCACCCTGGTGGCTATGAATCTCATGTGTCTAGTATGAGGAACTTTGAAGGTTATTACATGGAATGGAGGGCCTCTTTTGTTTTGTTTTAAAAAATTGCTTTGATAGATTTCCACATTTTTATTCCAGAATTCGGATTTGTTTATACCATTTTTATTCACATCAGGATTTCTAGCGAGCGGGAATTAGCTGGGAGTTTTTTTCCGACAGGAAAGAACAGGAATTCTCCAGGAATGTTTTTTATTTTTGTTTTAATTTAATTTTATAGTTTTGACTTACTTGTAATGTTATATTATAGATTTTAGTATAAGATTCATCTCGGTTATAGTTATAAATCATATTAATTATAATAGTTTTAGTTTGTGCTCGTTGCAATACAAAAGCTATGCTTAATAGAATATTATTTTATTTAGATCAAATACTATAATTTTTAAAACCAGTCGGTATTGAAACATGCTGTGATAATTGCATCAGAATTAATGCAAGTTAAATGGTTTCTGAGATTTAAATAAATCTATATATTCAAACTGCAACTTGTTTTGAATTATTAATAAAAATTCTGTCACGCTGATTAATGCTTAATGTTATCATTTTGATATTCAATTATTTTTATAAGATACTGATCTTCAAAATAGCTTGTCTGTAAATGGCAATTTTCTGGGGGGAGGGGAATTCAATTTTGTAAAAGAATTTCACTAGACACTCAGCTCATGCAGTGGAACTTTGTTGTGTAATTCTTGCAATTCAACAAAGCTTAATGTATTTATGTATTAGTCCAAAAATTACACAAAGGTAATTGTTTTGAAATACCTATCCCCTTATTAATATTTACATTTCCAGCAATTTGTAAATATTATTGCGTTTGTAAGTAGATGGGCTTCAATTTCTTGTTAATGATGTTCTCAAAAATTCAAAATTTTTCTTTAAAAATGAGCTTCAAAATGCTCATGGTATTCAGATATGCTGAAACAAATTTTTCTTTGAAAATGGCTGCAAATTTTTCAATGTAAATGTGCGTTTAGGAAGTAAAAGGAAACTAAATAGTACAAGAAAGGCTGTGCTGTTCTGGAACATTACTAGTTTCTCCTACTTCTTATTGCCGGGGAAAGAGTGTTATTAACAATGAAAATGAATATATTTTGTTTTATTAATATCATCATGATATATTATTACACAGAAGGAGATTTCTAATTTGAGATGTGAGAACGTGATACAGAAATTCATTTACATATTTGAGGAAGAATAGTTTTAAAAACCTAAATTTAGAAAATTCATCCTGTATAATAAATTAATCTAAACGATTACATTAATTTTAAATATTTTATCCATTTAATAGTTCACTTTCTCTCTTGTGTATGTAGGGGCTCTGTATCTTCAAGTGCAGCCTGGTTTATATGCTGCAATTTCGGGAGCAAGCAATCAGTTGGTAGTTAAAAGTGATGAATCCTTGTCAAGGAATTTCACAAGTCAAATGGGTTGTGGAAGTGCATCTGTTCAAGGACAAGTGTTCTTGATCTCAGGTAAGTGAACTAATATGGTTTGTAGTACTAGAAATTTTGCAGAAGATTCCTTCTGAATATGAAAAAATTTAAAGGTAGGAGAAATACGAAGATTAAGACATATTTTTCTTTCTCCCTACTGCTTACACAGTGGAGAAAGTTACATAATGCTGCATGAAAAAAAACGGCCAAAAAACTCATTGAAGGGCTCTGGTAACAAAGAAGTGGATTAATCCAGTTGTGAAATGAAAGAAAAAAATCTTTTGACTCAAGGCATAGCCAGAATTCAAGTTCTGTGGGTTCTTGATACCGAAAAATTGATTAACGGCAAAGCTTCTGTCTGTGAATAACGCTAGCAGCCAATTTTCTTTAAAATTGATATTCCCCAATTGATCTGGCCCTTGTTGCGGTCCCTTGAATTTGAAACCGATATTTTAATTTTGAGAGGTACATAACCCTAGAAGTGACGTGTGTGTAGAAACATAAACAAATTGTGGGGGCCATGTGCACTATGATTCGTAGGTCAGCTAATGTAAATTATTATAAAAATGTAATTATGAACTAAAGAAACCCATTTACAAAGATATAAAATCTCAAAATCGTGTTTATTGTTAATTATGTTCAGAGAAGAACCTATGGTAATTGTATTATCATTGTGTATGTACTCGCTGTGACTTTTGCCATCTTATCTCTGAGATGTCAGTTGTATTCTGTGAGTTACTGTATCTGCAGTGCTTGGCAATTACTAAAGAACAACTGCTTTTTGCAATGTGGCATTCCCGTCTGCCGCACAATAAACAGTCAATTCAGAGGGTGTAGTGGAGCAGGTCCGGTTATCTTTATGAAAGGGAGTGCACAAAAGCTGTGTGCGCGCGTGCATGCGTGCGTGCGCGCGTGCTGTTGTAACACCTCTCATTGTATATTATATTTTATTATGAACTGTCTATTATATTTTATTTTCAAATCGGGATCGAAATGGTAAATTCGTATTTCTGGCGTTTCGTTTGAGGCGATGTTATTACACATTGCTCTCTGATTAGCAATCAGACACGTAAGTGTTATTTATGTAAAAAAGGAAATGATAAATAAGTTAAACCTTTTTTAATATGCTTATAGTTAGTTTTTATATTCGATATGATTTACACTAAACCTTGGAAACTTTTGAGTTTTTGCCACTAATTTAAACGTTTATTTGAGTGTATAGAATGTAAAAGAACAAGCTAGAAGTGAGTAATATTTAACTGGCGCATCCACAAATTTGTTATAGTATTCGTTCATTTACTATTTCATATTATTTTAACTTTTTCAAAAACAAACTTTCAAAGTTGGAACAGTTTTTGAAGGCGAGTTGGCAGCAAAACTGGAACGTTTTACGGGCTTTGTAACTACCAATCTCTTGAGACGATAACTTCGTTTGACGCATTATCATTTCACAAATGACAACACTGGTTATAAATTCTTCGAATTCATCCCTTTGTTGTCGGTCGTGATAATTGCATGATGGTGATAATATTAAATTGAATGAGAAATAGAAGGAACACGCAATAACAAACAAATTACATACTAACTAAATTGAACTAACAAACACTTGTGTACTCTAAGTTTGGTTTGCTGAATATGTTCAAATGGTGGTGTTCAAACATTGAAAGCTCACTTCTTTATAATCAAACCAGGCTTATGTGTAATTATCGTTTTTTCTGTATTCGTGTTGTTTCCTTTGTAAAAGTTAGAAATGATTAGTCTTTCTCGCTATCAAAATAAACGCAGGTATGCACAGCAGGGCTTCGTTTGAATTAAATGTATTAGATTTTTCAAGTTATAACTGAGTTTTTACTTGGACGGAAATTACAATATTTCAATATCACGTAACTATTTCCAATATTGCGAGAAGACATATGTTGTAGCACCACTAGTTTTAAAGGCATATTATTATTATTATTATTATTATTATTATTATTATTATTATTATTATTATTATTATGGCTGGAATACTTGTTTTACGAGACTTGAAAGGACCCACTGAGATTGTGAAGTAAGAATATGCTAAAAGCCATTTGTTTAATGTTCAGGAGCAGGCAGTCTACCGCCGGTGGGACTCCAGGCAGCTCAGCTGCTGAGTGGTGGGTCGCAGCAGAACACGATGCTACTGCTGCGCGAGGGGCCATTCCTGAGCTCCACGGCGCTTACTCCGACCAGTAACCTCTCAGGTCACAAGCCCAAGCAAAAGAAGAGGCTCACTTGCAAAGTTTGCGGAGTTTCCTGCAATGCTCAAGCCAATCTCATCATTCACGAGCGCACGCACACGGGAGAACGTCCGTTCCTCTGCGACGTGTGCGGTGCCACGTTCAGTACCTCGGGCATACTCACGTGTCACATACGCACGCACACGGGAGAGCGCCCTTACGAATGCGACTTTTGTGGCAAGACATTCCGACAGAAATCAAACTTAAATTTACACTTGCCTTTGCACACAGGAAAGTACCCGCATCGCTGCGATGTGTGCGGGAAGACGTTCTTGCAGAACCAGGAATTCATTGAACACAAGAACCTGCACACGGGAGAGCGGCCTAATCGTTGCGACGTATGCGGGATTGCTTTTCGAAGGGCGCAGAATCTTAGAGTACACAAGCTCAGGCACACGGGCAAGTGGCCATATCGCTGCGATGTGTGTGGGAAGACATTCTCACAGAAAAACAGGCTCACTCAGCACATGCCCTTGCACACGGGCGAGCGGCCATATAGTTGTGACATTTGCGGGAAGGCATACGGTTTTAAACAGAGCCTAATAACATACCGGAAAATTCACACGGGAGAGCGCCCGCATTGTTGTGACGTTTGCGGCAAGACTTTCCGACAGAAAACGACGCTCGTTGCTCACTCGCGCGTTCACACGGGGGAGCGGCCATTCTGCTGCGAGTTGTGCGGGGCTTGCTTTCACCAGCAGGGTGGCCTTATGAATCACATGCGCACGCACAACAAAATTGAACGCTCTTAGATCATCAACGATCAGTTGGTTGCTTGGTGTATCCCTCGACCAGTTCTACTGATCGCCTTATGTGGAGAAACCCTTGCCTGACGCTCGCTGTTTCGCTTGTAAAGACTGGCCGTTCTGGGTTGGGTTGTCACTAATTTTCGGTAACCTTTTTGGCAACTGAAGAATATATACAAAATGTACCATTTTATTTTTTGTATATATTTTTTCTGGAAATACATTTGTGAATGAATAATAAAATCTTCACAAACAGATTAGATGTATAATATATATATATATATATATATATATATATATATATATATTGCGGCTGTTAGACGCAGCCAATCTTTATAAATAAGGTCTCTAACGAAAGAGAATTTCATGGGAACGTGACTAATTGCACTTTGACTTCAAAAATATGAAGGATTTGTTTTGAAAACGCATCTAAATGTTCATGCCAAATACACCCCGCCGCGAAAATAATCAGATGCTATATCAAGCAAAGAAGTAGTTCCCTTGTAATGGCGGACAGCACAACACGTGTATATCACATGGTGAGATTAGTTTTCAGTTTGTATCGGAGAACTGGCCGTCAGTGTACTGAACATGTAATACTGGAACAGAATGTGCGACTTGGAAGATGTTACTGAAACCTATTGTTGATTCTTTACTAATCATCCTCGGCCACGGCTCAAGTTTCTCAGAAGATTCAAGCCTGGAAAAGGTATAGCCACTGTCAGATTTAGAGACACCGTTTTTTACTTTCCCGAATACCTACGTATATACGGAGTAATATACATAGTATAGGAAGTTATGTAATGCTGCGGAAAATCGATTTCGAGATTTCGACAGAAATACACGTTTTGAGTCCCTTGATACCGAAAAAAGCGTTATTTTGTAAATATTCGTCTGGCGTTTGTGATCACAACGCCTAGTTTAAGAGTTGTGTTCACACGCGTTGGATTTTTTCCAAATTTAAGAAACCTGTGTTGATCTGGCTCGAGTGAAATCTTTGAGATTTAAAAAAAAATCTTTAAAATTTGGCGGTACTTTACATGAAGCCCCTCGGGACATTTTCAAATTTTAAATATTTTAATTTAATATTTAATTATTAATAATTTAATATAATAATTAAAAGTAAAAAAATACATTTTCTCTATTTTTTCTTTAAATTTCTTGCAAAAATGGAGTAACATACACTTATTAAGATGCCATAGGTCTGATTTTCAGGTTTAACACTGAATTTTCGAAAATTTCGCGCATGGTTCAGTTTCGATAGATGGAAGAAATTTAGGGAGTTTGTGCACGCCATAGCATCAGCACTATTGATCCTCTGCGCATGCACAGATGTACTAAAGTGGTGCGAAACTTGAACTGGGCATGCGCAGAAGATCGATAGTGCTTTAACGCTCGAGGTGGCACAAACTCCCTATTGTTGCAACGCCACAGCGAGTACGGCGGTGGTAGTGGTGCGTTGGAAACTGGTAGATGTCAGCAGAGGCCTCGTGCCACGCACTTCGACGAAGGGATATATTTCGGTTTGTTTACATGTACTTCATTCTCTTGGCCAAGGAATACGCTTTCTGTGTACACCGTAGTTAGATCAGACTGACGAGGTTTATATGCATAATTACGAATTCAAGATTCGCTCTCCCTGCAACAAGTAGAAGTACAATTAATAATTTGCTTCATACCGATGAGATCGTTTCTTATGCGTGAAGGGAAAACAATAACGTTTCGCCGAGGTCTACAAGTTCTGCGTACCTAATTGTAAATGGATGTAGGTGTACAGTGGAAGGTGAAGACGTGACTGGTTTGGTTTTGTATTTTACCTGTACCAGTATTTTCTTTATCAGCAGTGATTCGGTGAAACTTTCAAGTCAACGTGTTTAGTCTCGTAGCTTTCTCAAGACTAAAGAGCTTTTTAAATATTTTTGTAACTCGCGAAAAGCAAAATGTCAAGGAAGACTGAATAATTACTTCAAATGTTAAGGAAGTGTGAATTGTTCGAAGAACATGTGTACATAATATTGAATAAACATTAATTGAAAATTTTTTCCAACATCCATTGCATTGTTTTTATTATTGTTTCATATTCTGTATGTACTAAGTTACATTTCCACATTTTTAAACAAAGAAACACGTTTTATTATCAACGTTATACACACACACATACATACGTACCCGACATGTATCTCTGACCTCTGAGCATGTCTCCATGGAAGTTGGCACATCTACGTATTTTTTTTACAGAGGTGTATGTGCTGTTAAAAGTGTTATAACTACTACATTGCGCTTCATTTTAATTCAGTTTCCCTTCAAAGTGTGCTCGACCTGCGGGATTCATTGTTGCTGACCGTTGCCGTGGGGCGCAAGGCAAAGCCCAGGAGAACCGGACGCGCGCGCAAGAGAAAGACGGAGACAGACGGCGCGCTTAAATAAGAGACGAGAGATAGCCAGAGAGACTAATACAGAGAAAGACATAAACAGACAGACGGAGAGAGGTAAAGGCAGATAGTCAAGAGAGAAAGATACAGAGATATAGACAAACGGAGAGAGTCGGAGGCGGAGATAGATAGAGATAGAGGCTTAGGGTGGATTGCGAAAGCGATGTCTGAGACGCTGCTTCTCAGAGCCGTCGCCTGAACACCCGATTTCGCGTGC